ATTCTATTCTATTCTATTCTATTTCTTTCTATTCTAATTCTATTCTATTTCTTTCTATTCTAATTCTATTCTATAATTTTATTCTAATTCTTATTCTAATTCTATTCTATTCTATTCTATTCTATTTCTTTCTGTTCTAATTCTATTCTAATTCTATTCTATAATTCTATTCTAATTCTTATTCTAATTCTATTCTAATTATAATTCTATTCTAATTCTGTTCTGTTGTTCTGTTCTAATCCTATCCTATCCCATCCCATCCCATCCCATTCTATTCCAATTCCAATTCTAATTCCATTCCTATTACTATTCCATTCTATTCTATTCCCTGCATATCACCAGGAAAACACACAGTTGGCAAATCTCCCTTTGGAGTTTTAAAATGTTTTAGTAGCTGTAAACTGCACAGAGAACTTTAGTTATGGGCCAAGGATAAACTTACATTAATTTTTTAAAAAAAGAATAAACATTTTAAAAAATCTTTTTTTAAAAAAATATGGCAGCACCCTTTCCTCTAGGAGAGATCCTTTCTCCTCTCTCGTGCTCCGGGGGAGGGGATTATGGGGCAGGAGGAGCCATCTGACCCATCACTCACCTTCGCTCTGATTGTAGCGAAGCCTCAGAGTCTCCAGGCTTTGTCTGAACACCTCCTCTGCGCCCCATTGTTTCTGAGACTCTATGTCCCAGTATTGGGGGTCCTCCTTCCCCACCTTCTCCATCCAGGAGACTCGAGGCTGCATCTTCTGGCTGTTGCTGTCATAGTGAACAAAGACCTGACCGTCCACGTACCCCACAATGACAAAGTGGGGCTGCCCCTGACTGGGCTCCGAGATGGAGGAGTAGAAATACTTCAGGGAGTGCGAGGAAGCGCCTGGAAGGGACCCAGAGGGGCAGAGTTATTGGGGTTGAGATGAGGCTACAGCTTCCGTGTCTGAGTGGAGAAACAAGCCGGATCCCCCCAGCACCAGAAGCCAGAAAGAGCCCCCAAGCCTTGCCCAAAGCAGGAAGTACGACCCAAGAGGAGGGGGGGGGGTTGTGCGAAGGCAGCCGGGGGGGGGGTTCGTGAATTGATCTGATCCAGTGCAAACGCCGCTTTCCGACAACCTCCACCTCGAGGGAGGGAAAGAACTGCGCCCAGGTAGACTTGACTGACATCTGGAGGGGCCACCTTTATCCTGCTTCCAGAGGGCCTCTCCTGGGAGACAGGGGGGGGAGGAGACAAAGAGGCAGCAGAGTCCCACCCACGCTTTGGGGTCCCTTCTGAGAGGGGCCCTGGGGGAGCGGACGAGAAAGAGGACCGAATCGGGTAAACTTTAGAGAGCGGAGCGAGTGAGCGAGAGAGACTTCCTGAATTGATTCTCCCCCCCCCCGTAGAAAAGCGCCCCCGAAAGGGACTCACCGAGGCAGCTCTCCGGCTGACCGACGGCCACCAACACCAGGAGCAAGAGGGGCGCAGAGCGCAGCGCCATCCTGGCCCCGATCCACAATTTGTCCCCCTTTATACGGAAGTCGCAGGCAGAGAAAGACGCGCTCCTGGTGATCAACAACGCAACAACCCAGAACAAAAGCGGGTGATTGGCCAAACTCAACCAATAGAAAAAACATATTCTCGTATCGTCATTGTTGCTAGGCAGACGTTCAGGCGCAACCGGGCGGACAGGCGGGGAAAGGAAAGCGAAAGTTCCATCAAGAAATCCCCTTCCAGGCCTTCCGCCTCTTGGGGGGAGGGGCAGAAATGGGGGGCTGGGAAAAGCGGGAGGGTTATCTGGGCCTGGGGGGGGGGAGGAACCAGGGGAAGAGGAGGGGGGCTGCGTGTCCCTTTGAGACCCCATGCAACCCCCTGCCCCACAGCTGGGCAGCTGGAGGAGGTGAGAAACAAGCAACAAATTTAGATGGCTGCTCCCTCCTTTGGCAGTCCTTCTGAGACTCAAACAATACAGGTGGTCCTCGACTTACAACAGTTCGTTTAGTGACCGTTCAAAGGTACAACGGCATTGAAAAAGTGACGTGGCCGTTTTTCACATTTATGACCGTTGCAACGTTCCCACGGTCATTGGGATGCTTGACAAGCGGCTCGCATTTTATGACGGTCGCCGTGTCCCGGAGGGGGGGGTCACGTGATCCCTTTTTGCGACTTTCCGACGAGTAAAGTCAACGGGGAAACCAGATTCACATAACAATCGTGTTACTAATTGTTAGAATGGGGCAAAATTCACTGAACAAGTGTCTCACTTAACAACATCAATTTTGGGCTCAACCGTCGTAAGTCAAGGACTATCTGTAAATAACTATTCTGGCTACAATCCTTGTTATTATAATTGCTGAATGTAGTTGTTGTTACAAGGCCTGAGAAACAAAGAAAGTTATTTTTAAGGCTCCAGCCATTTCCTGCTCATTTCCCACCCATATGGACAGAGTAGAAATTTAAGCATGAAAGGGAGGTCTGTCCAGGCAGTCCTTGAATTACAACCACAATTGAGCCCAACATTTCTGTTGTTAAGCAAAATGTTTTGTTAAGTGGTCTTGCCCCCATTTTACAACCTTTTTTGCCTCAGTGGTTAAGTGAATCACCACAGTCTCCCGGTTGTTAAGTGAATCCAGCCTCTCCATTGATTTTGCTTGTCACAAGGTCGCAAAAGGGGATCAGAGGAGCTTGGGACACAGCAAGCAACGGTCGTAAGTCTGAACCAGTTGCCAAACATTCTGAATTTTGATCATATGATCATGGGGATGTTGCAAAGGTCGTGATTGAAACAATGGTCGTCTTTTTTTCAGTGCCGTTGTAACTTTGAACGGTCACTAAATGAATTGTTGTAAGTTGAGGACTACCTGTGTTTCTACCGATGAAGAAGGCTGAAGTCATTAGGGGGACCTTCCAATTGGTTCTGAGTCTCTGGAAACTGGCCGTCTGTAGGGCAAAGCCTCACCTTCAGATCCTCTCTTTTCTGTCTGGGGTCACAGCAGGGGCAACCTCGTCTGTTTATAGAACCTGGCTAGTTTATGGCGCCGCATCTCCTGCGGACAGGTTTCTCACACCAAGCACACAGTCCACCTTCGACAGGGCATCTGCTGAATATGCTTATGTTCTTAAGGATTTCAATACAGGTACAACAGTTGAGTCAGCGGTGTGCAGAATATGTGGGTCTATAACCAGGGGTAGGCAACCTTGGCTCTTTTATGACTCGTGGACTTCAACTCCCAGAATTCCTGAGCCAGCATGGCACAGCTTGGAAACCTCTCCCTTTCCCCTCAGCATGGCTGGCTCAGGAATTCTGGGAGTTGAAGCCCACGAGTCATAAAAGAGCCAAAGTTTCCCTCATGCTGGCTCAGGAATCCTGGGAGTTGAAGTCCACGAGTCATAAAAGAGCCAAGGTTGCCCATCCCTGGTCTATACATATGTTGTTTATAGTATGTTTAGGTGTGTGTCATGTATATGTTTCACTTTGAGAGCGGGCTAACCAAATTTCATTTTTGATGTGTGCCGTTGTGCCCACAGTAAAAAAAAATGACAATAAAGGTTATCTTATCTTGAGGCGCCCTTCCCTCCCTCCCTCCCTCCCTAGTCTCCCCAGTACACTGTCACCTATCTGCCCTGCGCCCCAGTGGTCTGGGCGGCTACTCCCACTGCCACTCCCCCTCCTTCCGATCCTGGTGACAGATCTGCAAGGCCTCCAAATTTGCAGAGCAGCCACAGTATTTATTTTTTAAAAAATTTGCATTGCATTCTGCCCCCCCCCAAAGCCTCTGTGATTGCCCGTCGCCAATCGCACGCTGCCTCGCAGCACCATGGCTTCTACCTGCCACCCAATTAGCTGGGGGCTATTTGTCCTGTGCAGCCAAAGGCCTGGGAGAAAGGGTGCCTGGGCGAATGGGGCGGGACCGAAGGGCAAGGGCCAGGGCCTCATTGGCTGTGGAGAATGGCCGAGGGAGGGCCAGCAAAGGAGGAGTAGTATTCAATTCTCCTCTCTGTTCTCAGAACTGCTTGCTTGCGGCTGGAGCAGTTCCGAGCAGGCCAACTGGTTTCGGAGAGCAGCCTCCAGATGTGGGGGGATTGGCTAGGAGTCCGAGAGGCAGGGAATGATGGAAGTTGAGGTCTCACCCATCCAGAGGGCCCCTGGTTGCAGCTGGAAAAAAAAAATTACCTCAGTTTAAAAAGTGTCCCTGGTTGCAACTCTTAATGGCAGGACTCGTGGAATAATAATAAACTTTATAATAAACTTTATTGTCATTGTATGTGTATACTGTGTATACACATACAACGAAATTTACGTGACACCCAAAGACCAGGTCCCACACACATAATCCCCAAACACACTCCCACCCACCACAATTCCTCACCCCTAAAACCACCCAAACATCCACCCAACTGACCAAGTAATACTGTCCAACAGTTCACTGATGGTGACCTTTTAGTTCATTATTAAGTGCAATTATAGCCTTGGGATAAAAACTATTCAGAAAACGTGTGGTCCGAGTTTTAAATGTTCTATATCTTCTGCCAGAAGGCAACAGTCCAAAGAGATTGTAAGCAGGATGGGAAGAGTCTCTGAGAATGTGTTTGTGTGAAGCATAAAAGTATTATTTTCAGACTGTTCACTGGGGAATTCTGTGTAGGAATTTCTGCTTCACTCCAGGCAGAATACTAAAGGCAGGACAGGCAGCAACGGATGGAAACTAATCAAGGAGAGAAGCAGCTTAGAACTAAGGAGAAATTTCCTGACAGTGAGAACAATTACGGTAATCAGTGGAACAACCTGCCTCCAGAAACGGTGAATGCTCCAACACTGGAAGTTTTTAAGAAGAGATTGGACAACCATTTGTCTGAAATGGTTTATACAGTAGTGGCCAAAATTGTGGAAAAATGTATTTTTGAGGTTTGATGGCTAATAACACCACTCTGTTTTTTGGAGTAGTACCATAAAATTATATATCAATGGAAAGATAATTTAATCAAGAATGTAATGCAACATAGTTTGTTCAATTATTTGTACTGTATTCTGCGAAAAGATGTAGCCAAATAACCAGAAAAAGGAAGCACAACTTGCTTAGGTTGATATCAGGTAGCTTTCCTTCATCTGACTGTAGCTAATGAATGAGTGTTTAGAGAGCCAATCAGGTGTCATCTTGTTTTGGCAATGAGCCAATCGGATCCCAGTAGGATTCAGTTATTGATGTCATGTATTGAAGCTGAGAGGACATTTGTCAATGTGTTATGTGATCGCTATCAAGATGGATGGGGTTTTTTGTGTTCTTTCATTTAGTGAGCTTGTAAAACGTAATAAAATTAAAGGAATGGTGCAAAGAGTTGAACTGGTCGCCCAGAAAGCGATGTAAAATAGTATTATTAAGTGAACAAGGTTACAGTTATAAAAAAATTAGAAGAAAAAATGGTGGAAACTTAACCAAAGGCGGCATTTCTACTGTACACTTTTCCCAAAAGGTTTCCACAATTTTAGCCACTACTGTAAGATTTCCTGCCTGAGCAGGGTGGACTAGAAAGGGGTCTACAACCTTGACAACTTTAAGACTTGTGGACTTCAGCTCCCAGAATTCCTCAGCCAGCTATGCTGGCTGAGGAATTCTGGGAGCTGAAGTCCATAAGTCTTAAAGTTGTCAAGGTTGCAGGCCCCTGGACTACAAGACCTTCAAGGTCCCTTCCAACTCTGTTATTGTGTTATCCACTGTGCGTGTCAACCCATGAAAACCCAAGAATTCAACACGGGGTTTCCACTTATCCTTTAATGATTTTTAAAAAATGGAGACGGAGAAGGTTGAGAAGCAAATTCATTCATTGTAAAATTTAGGGAGGTCATCTCCTAAAACAGCTTCTTCCTTGACGCCGTCTTTGGTGATGGTGACGAGGTAGATGATGCCCCCGCTGGAACCATCCCGGACCATTGCCAAGGCAATAGCTGAAGAAGGGAACAAAAGGGTTAAAATCAGCCATGGAGCAGTCGATTGGACCAAAATAAAGAGATAAGGCAGAGCTACACCAATCCCGTTCAAGAGAAGGTAACTTGGCTCTTCCCAGGTGTGAACATTCTCCAGTCAGCTAAGCGCCCACCCGCCACATGTCCTGACTTCATCTGAGAAACAAACAAGTTCTTGTCCTTCTCAAAAGAGGAAGCTGGAATTTTGCCATTGTTCCTATTAGTTTCGTTTCCAAGAAGCTTCCTGACTTTGCATGAGGCCCATATGTTTTCTTAGAACAGGGGTCTTCAAACTTGGCCTCTTTATGACTTGTGGACTTCAACTCCCAGAATTCCTCAGCCAGGTCACTTCCAACTATTCTATTCTATTCTATTCTATTCTATTCTATTCTATTCTATTCTATTCTATTCTATTCTATTCTATTCTATTCTACTCTACTCTACTCTACTCTACTCTACTCTACTCTACTCTACTCTACTCTACTCTACATAAATGGAGCAAACAAATAAATACACAAGAACTCTTTTCCAGCTCTATTCTAATTCTGAATTCTTCCTCCAGGTTTGAACCCACACTTCTTCCACTGGAAGCGTAGGCACCGGAAAAAACAGCAAAAACCAAGTATTAGATCGCCCAGCCAATGGTTGAAGAGAATGTCCTTGAGTCAGCAGTTGCTAAGTAGCTTCAGTTACGGAGGTTTACAGCAAGTGGGGATTCCCCTGCCAACTGTGGAGCAGCTTACCGGCGCCCCCCTGGAGGTGGAAAGATGCAACGAGCGACATTGACGGGCATCTCGGCTTTTTCTAGGAAAGAGCTTCTATTTCAAAGAATAGAATTTTTTATTGGCCAAGTGTGATAGGACACACAAGGAATTTGTCTCCGGTGCATAAGCTCTCAAGTGTACATACAAGCAATAAGTGATTAATCAGGATCATAGTCACCGTAAAAATACATTCATCATAAATCATAAGATGCAACACTTAGTGATAGTCCTAGGATACTAAATAAGCAGTAAACACAAATCGTACTAGGATACTAAATAAAACAATATAAATCGTAAGATACGAGCAACAAAGTTATAGTCCTAAGTAGATAGGTAATAGGAAAGATGAGAATAATAATAGCAATACAGCTTTGCTAGATAGTTTGACAAGTGTTGTGGGAATTAGTTGTTTAACAGAGTGATGGCATGGGGGGGGGGAACCTTGTCTGTGTCTACTTCAGGTGTGCAAAGAGGACCACCATCAAGCAAGGGGGATGGACTCAATGGCAATGGGGGCGTCGTGGGAAGAATTGAAGCACTAGGCCAGGGGTAGGCAGCCTTGGCTCTTTTATAACTCGTGGACTTCAACTCCCAGAATTCCTGAGCCAGCATGGTTCAGCTTGGAAACCTCTCCCTTTCCCCTCAGCGTGACTGGCTCAGGAATTCTGGGAGTTGAAGTCCACGAGTCATCAAAGAGCCAAGGTTGCCTACCCCCTGGTCTAGTGTAGAGGTAGGCAACCTTGGCTCTTTTATGACTGTGAACTTCAACTCCCAGAATTCCTGAGCCAGCCATGCTGAGGGGAAAGGGAGAGGTTTCCAAGCTGAGCTATGCTGGCTGAGGAATTCTGGGAGTTGAAGTCCACCAGTCATAAAGCGGCCTAGGCCTAGGCCAGAGGTAGGCAACCTTGGCTCTTTTATGACTGTGGACTTCAACTCCCAGAATTCCTGAGCCAGCCATGCTGAGGGGAAAGGGAGAGGTTTCCAAGCTGAGCTATGCTGGCTGAGGAATTCTGGGAGTTGAAGTCCACCAGTCATAAAGCGGCCTAGGCCTAGGCCAGAGGTAGGCAACCTTGGCTCTTTTATGACTGGTGGACTTCAATTCCCAGAATTCCTGAGCCAGCCATGCTGAGGGGAAAGAGAGAGGTTTCCAAGCTGAGCCATGCTGGCTCAGGAATTCTGGGGGTTGAAGTCTACGAGTCATAAAAGAGCCAAGGTTGCCTACCCCTGCACTAGGCTATGGACAGATCATTTTAGAAAAACTCTGTGTGGTCAATAAGAGTCGAAAATGACTTGATCGCACACAATCAGTTAATCTATCGGTTGATAGTGGAATCTATTGATCGATAGTCCACTGATCTATCGATCAGTGAAATAGCTTGCCTTCCGAAGTTGTAGGTACTCCATCCCTGGCAGTTTTTAAGAAAAGACTGGACAGCCACTTCTCTGGAAGGGAATAGGATCTCCTGCTTGAGCATGGGGTTGGACTAGAAGACCTCCAAGGTCCCTTCCAACTCTGTTATTCTATTCTATTTTACGATGCCCTGAACCATGATACACGCTGCGGTTTGTAAGCTTATGACAGTTGGTCCTGCTTTTGAAAAAAAAGGGGATTCTGGCAGTTTCATCTCATCCTCACCGACCCAGAATGGACACAACCGGATAGATACTGTTTTTGGTGAACTGACGACATTCTTCCCGACTCATGCCAGATTTGTAGGCAGAATCCACATAACCGTAAATGAAGGTACTTCCTGACCCCCCAATGGAAAAGGGCTGCCGGTTCAACATTCCTCCCAGTGTACTGTAAACCTGTCAGAATAGAAGGAAAGGATGAATCCTGCTTCGTGGTGCAAACTCATCAGCAAATTGAAACATTGTGGCTAGAATATATTCACCATGCATTAGAATAGAGTAGAGTAGAGTAGAGTAGAGTAGAGTAGAGTAGAAAAAGGATAGATAGAAAGAATAGAATAGAGCAGAGTACAGTAGAATAAGGATAGATCAGTAGTTCTCAACCTGTGGGTCGGGACCCCATTTGGGGTCGAACGACCATTTCACGGCGGTCGCCAAACAACGCAGCCCGCCATTTTCCCCCCCTTTTCCTTAGCTGTGCTACTCCCTTTTATTCTATTGGCTTTCGAACGCCAATAGAATAGACTCTCTTGAATAGAGTCTAATTCTATTGGCTTTCAAAAGCCAATAGGAATTGTCCAGGCTGTCTCTGCCCTGCTGAGCCCGCCCAAAGTCCCATTCTGCAAACAGTGCTGCACCAGTTGAGTAGTCCTTGACTTACGACCAGTTGAGTAGTCCTCAACTTACGACCGGTTGGGGGGGGTCGCGGCATTAAAAAGGTTGAGAACCACTGGAATAGATAGAAAGAACAGAGTAGAGTAGAGAAACAGAAACAGAATAGAATAGAACAGAATAGAACAGAATAGGAGGACTATCTGTAATTAGCCTGAGAAATGTGATGTTGTCAAAGAAACCAAGGTTTCTAAACATCGAATTCTCCCCACCTGTATTATAACCAGAAGCAGCTGCGTAGGTGAGAAGCAGTGTCGTGTACTGGTTAAAGCATTAGGCTAGAAACTGGGAGTCTAGTCTTCTAGGCCTGGCTTAGGCACAAAAGCCAGCTGCGTGGCCTTGGAACAGTCAGTTTCTCTCAGCCAAGAAAACTGTAGCCAAGAAAACTGCAGGGACTTACCCAGGCAGGCTCCATGAGATGGAGGAGGAGGAGGAGGAGGAGGAGGAGGAGGAGGAGGAGAAGAAGAAGAAGAAGAAGAAGAAGAAGAAGAAGAAGAAGAAGAAGAAGAAGAAGAAGAAGAAGAAGAAGAAGAAGAAGAAGAAGAAGAAGAAGAAGAAGAAGAAGAAGAAGAAGAAGAAGAAGAAGAAGAAGAAGAAGGCAGCTAAGTGGCATTGTGTAGAAAGAATTACCGCATATCCCCAAAAATAAGAGCCAACGTGATTTTTCAGGACACTTGTAATATAAGCCCCACCCCAAAAATAACCCCCCGTTAAGATTGTCAGCCAGACGGATGCATTTAGTACCGTATTTCCCCCCAAACAAGACCTAACCGGAAAATAAGTCCTAATGTGTCTTTTGGAGCAAAAATTAATATAATTAATTATTTTCAGGGAAACACAGTGGGGAGGGGGTCTTAATAGGTTATCAGCTGGACTTGATTAGAATACTGCATCCAGTTTTGATCACCATATTATAAAAAAAAGATGGAAAGAGCGCATCAAATTTATAGCAAAGGTTATGAGGAGGTTGGAGGCTAAAACATATGAAGAATGGTTGCGGAAATTGGGTTTGTCTAGTGCAAAGAAGGACTAGGGACGACACGATAGCAGCGTTTCATAGTTGAGAGGCTGCCACAAAGAAGAGGGGGAGAGTCAACCTATTTTCCGAAACATCCGAAGGCAAGACGACAAAAGAATGGACGGAAACTAATCAAGGAGAGAAGCAACCAGGAATTAACGGAGAAACTTCCTAACAGTGAGGACAATCAACCAGTGGAACAGCTTTGCCTTCAGACGTTGTGGGTGCTTCATCACTCAAGGTTTTAAAGAAGAGACTGGATAGCCACTTGTCTGAAATGATATAAGATCTCCTGCTTATGCAGGGGGCTGGACTAGAAGACCTCCAAGGTCCCTTCCAGCTCTGTCAATAGATTGATCCATATTTGACCACCGAGCAGCCTCTTCTCCAAAGCCCCCCCCACTAGACCTACCTGCCCACCCTTCTGGGGGTCCCATCCAGCCACCAGGAGGTGGGCCGAGAGTTCCGGGTGCTTGTAGCTGAGGGATTTCACCAAGGTGGCTGCAGTCAGGACCCGCGGCTGCATCTCCATCTCCAGGCTGTGGGGAGAAGGGAAAAGGCTGAGCATGCTCAGTTGTGCCTCAGTTTCTCTCTGTGTGTTTTGCAGTTTGGAAGAGCAGGTCCAAAGTGGATCTCCTGAAGATCTTGGACTTCTCCGGTCACTTGTGAGGAAAGCTGCGACTCCAGTTTCTGGGCACATTTTAGCCAGGGCTTCTGAGGGGTCATTTACACAACACTTTTAATCTGGATTAAACCCATTTTCTGGGCTTTGTCCTTTGTACAACAAAGAGGCTGGATTTGCCTACCATGCTAAGCCCCCACCTAAGTAGCCCTGACTAAAATTGACCACAGGTAGCCCCAAATGTATCTGGCTAAGTGAGAAATTTGTTAAGAAATTCGGCAAGAAAGGTAGTAAAATGGAGCGAAACTCACTTCGCAAATGTCTCACTTAACCACGTAAATTTGGAACTCCGTTGTGCTTGTAAATAGAGGACTACCTGTATATCGACTCAGAAGGAAGTGTTATTTGCAAGGGGATTTAATTTAATTCCTAATGTGTATAAAGGACCAGATTCTTCTACCATCGCTGGGTCCTAATTTCTGTGGATTTTCCATTTGTTTCCTGACGATTCGAAGTGAGTGCATGAGGATTATTAAAAAAAAAATTTGTTTCTTTGGCTCTTCTGGATTAGTAAAAATAAATTGAGGGATGGGTTTTAATCACGTTTAAGAAGTTTAAGAAATTGTGGCTAGGTATGGTGAAGAGAATAGATGGGGAAGAAATGGAGGTAGTGACAGATTTTATTTTTCTGGGCTCCAAGATCACCTCAGATGGGGACTGCAGCCAAGAAATTAAAAGACGCTTGCTCCTGGGGAGGAAAGCTATGGCAAATCTAGACAGCATACTAAAAAGCAGAGACATCACCCTGCCAACAAAAGTGCGTATAGTCCAGGCCATGGTTTTCCCAGTTGCAATGTATGGCTGTGAAAGTTGGACCATAAGAAAGGCTGAGCGCCAAAGAATGGAGGCCTTTGAACTATGGTGCTGGAGAAGACTCCTGCGAGTCCCTTGGACTGCAAGGCGTTCAAACCGGTCAGTCCTAGAAGAGATCAACCCCGACTGCTCTTTAGAAGGCCAGATCCTGAAGTTGAAACTCAAATACTTTGGCCACCTAATGAGAAGGAAGGACTCACTGGAGAAGGGCCTAATGCTGGGAAAGATTGAGGGCAATAGAAGAAGGGGACGACAGAGAATGAGATGGCTGGATGGAGTCACTGAAGCAGTAGGTGTGAACTTAAATGGACTCCAGAAGATGGTAGAGGACAGGAAGGCCTGGAGGAACGTTGTCCATGGGGTCGCGATGGGTCGGACACGACTTCGCAATTAACAACAACAAATGGTGAAGAGAGTGTAGAGGAGAAGGTTAGGTTCTTTGTCTTCCCCACCTGTAAAATGGGTATAATCATCACTATGAAGATGCAGTAAGTCTATTTATGCTTCCCTCTTAAAAAAAAAAGCAATTGGCACCATTTGGGCTGTAATTGTTCTCCCACTCACTCGGGAGAAAAATCCCCTGAACTGCCTTGCAAATGGCAATCTGAAAATAAACGAAGCAGACTTTGGAAGGGAAAAGACTGCAGGCAACGTCCAAGGTAGCTACAGGGTTCCTGGCCTCCGTTGTCGGTACTTTCCAACTCCTGCTCCAGGGAGCATTTGATGCCCTGATTGGAGCCAATGGGATCCAGCGTTTGGCAGCTGCCTTTTCTGGGAAATCAAGTGATAGAAAAGAAGCAGCAGTTTTATAATGGCCACCAGGGGGGGCGATGCTGCCCGTTCTGGGAAATCAAGTGATAGAAAAGAAGCGCCATTTTTATCGTGGCCACCAGGGGGCGATGCTGCCTCAGTAAAGTTTTCTCCACCAAGGACAGGGTGAGCTGGAAAGTTTGACTCTCTCAGAGATACACCAAGGAATAAATAAATTATTGGGTTTACTGATACAAGGATTGCTTGAGGCACATTTGTCCCTATTCAGAGGGGAAGGAGAGAAGGCTTTCTTGTTCCCGGAGGGCCAGGGAAAAACATTTCTCTTTCGCTTTTCTGACATGAGGCTCAGCTCATGAGGCAGAAGAAACGAGGGATGGAAACTAATCAAGGAGAGAAGCAACCTGGAATTAAGGAGAAATTTCCTAACGGTGAGGACAATTAACCAGGGGAGCAACTTGCCTTCGGCAGTTGTAGGTGCTTCATCACTGGAGGTTTTTAAGAAGAGACCAGACAGTCACTTGTCTCAAATGGTGTAGGTTCTCCTGCTTGAGCAGGGGGTTGGACTAGAAGACCTCCAAGGTCCCTTCCAGCTCTATTTTGATTAATTAAGCTTATAACAAGATGAAAGTGGTGTGGTGTGGCGTGGCATGGTATGGCATTAGAATAGAATAGAATAAAATAATAATAGAATAGAATAGAATAGAATAGAATAGAATAGAATAGAATAGAATAGAATAGAATAGAATAGAATAGAATAGAATAGAATAGAATAGAAAATATGGAATGGAATGGAATGGAATGGAATGGAATGGAATAGAATAGAATAGAATAGAATAGAATAGAATAGAATAGAATAGAATAGAATAGAATAATAATAAATATAATAATTAGAATAGAATAGAATAATAATAAAATAGAATAGAACAGAACAGAATAATAATAGAATAGGAATAGGAATAGGAATAAGAATAAGAATAGATAGAATAACAATAGAATAGAATAATAATAAATAGAATAGAATAGAATAGAATAATAATAGAATAGGAATAGGAATAGGAATAGGAATAGAATAATAATAGAATAGGAATAGGAATAATAATAGAATAGAATAGAATAACAATAGAATAGAATAATAATAAATAGAATAATTAGAATAGAATAGAATAGAATAGAATAGAATAGAATAGAATAATAATAGAATAGGAATAGGAATAAGAATAGAATAGAATGGAATGGAATGGAATGGAATAATAGAGTTGAAAAGGGACTTGGAGGTCATCTAGTTCAACCCCCTGCTCAGGCAGGAAACCCTATCCCATTTCAGACAAATGGCTGTCCAATCTCTTTTCAAAAACTTCCAGGGTTGGAGCATTCACAACTTCTGGAGGCAGGTTGTTCCACCGGTTAATTGTTCTAATGGTCAGGAAATGTCTCCTTAGTTCTAGGTTGCTTCTCTCCTTGATTAGTTTGAGCACAGAGATCGCTTTTTTTTTTTACACCAAAAACTCACAGAGTTCATGGGTAGAAAAACTGCTGCATCTTGAGATTTGGGGGATTTTTAAATGTTAACATACATACAAACACACACACACCAATGTTTCTGCTATTTGCTTTTAGGCTTCGTAGTGTGTATTTCCTGACTTTCAGAAAGGAGTCTCTGAAAAGATACGACACACACGAAGATCCCCTGAAAATGATCCTCTATATAAAGGAGACTTTTGTGTTTACTGAACAATGAAGAAGCAGGGCTGGGCACAGAGGTCAAGATGGTGGTGAGGAATGTATTGTCCGATGACTGCCTTGATGGCTAATTTCCACTCTTCCACTCTCTTTGCCTGTTCATTCCTGATCACCACTGATCAGAAGTGCATCATGCTTACACTATCTTGATCAAGGATCTTCAAACTTGACAACTTTAAGACTTATGGACTTCAACTCCCAGAATTCTGGGATTTGAAGTCCCAAGTCATAACAGGGCCAACTTTGAAGGCCCTTGATCTAGATCAAGGGTCTTCAAACTTGGCAACTTTAATACTTGTGGACTTCAACTCCCAGGATTCCTCAGCCAGCCAGGGAGTTGAAGTCCACAAGTCTTAAAGTTGCCAAGTTTGAAGACCCTTGATCTACAAGATCCTACTTTATGCTCTGCTGATATCTCTTCCTCCTTCTCACTTTGCATCAACCCCTCCCCTCTAGGCCACCCCGGGATCTGAAACCTGCCAGTTGGTGCCCCTTGAGTGTGCTTTCCTTTCAAGGATCAGAAGATGGGCAGATCTAGAGACTACTCTGAGGTTGGGCTTCCGTGAAAGAGGAGGACCCTGGTGGGCTCCGTTGAGCAGCTCCTTAGACTTCCTCACCTGTGGAGCTCCAGCTGGTAATTGATCAGGTCAACGATGGCCTGAGCATCAGCTGCGGAGCCAGAGAGTGCGCAGTAAATCCGGTCATGCAGGGGTTCTAGCTTGTTGAAGAAGCAGTTGACCACCGACTCCCTGGAAAGAGGAAGACAAGACATTGAAAGCATTCAGGACAGAATGGAATGGAATGGAATGGAAGGGAAGAGGAGAGGAGAGGAGAGGAGAAGAGAAGAGAAGAGAAGAGAAGAGAAGAGAAGAGAAGAGAAGAGAAGAGAAGAGAAGAGAAGAGAAGAGAAGAGAAGAGAAAGGAATATAATATGATATGATATGATATGATATGATATGATAATATAATATAATATAATATAATGGAAGGGAAGAGAACAGAACAGAACAGAAATAGATATAGAAATAGAAATGAAATGGAAGGGAAATAGAATAGAAATAGAAATAGGAATGGAATGGAATGGAATGGAATAGAATAGAACAGAATAGAATAGAATAGAATAGAATAGAATAGAACAGAACAGAACAGAACAGAATAGAACAGAACAGAATAGAAAATATGGAATGGAACAGAACGGAACGGAACAGAACAGAATAGAATATGGAATAAGAACAGAATAGAATAGAATGGAATGGAATGGAATGGAATAGAATAGAATAGAATAGAATAGAATAGAATAGAATAGAATAGAATAGAATAGAATAGAACAGAATAGAAAATATGGAATGGAACAGAACGGAACGGAACGGAACAGAATAGAATATGGAATAAGAACAGAATAGAATAGAATAGAATAGAATAGAATAGAATAGAATAGAATAGAATAGAATAGAATAGAATAGAAAATATGGAATGGAACAGAATGGAACGGAACGGAACAGAACAGAACAGAATAGAATTCTTTATTGGCCAAGTGTGATCGGACCCATAAGGAATTAGTCTCCGGTCCATAAGATCTCAGTGTACATACAAGCAGTAAGTGATAAATCATGACCATCATCATCATAAAAACGCATTCATGAGAAATCATAAGATACAACACTTAGTGATAATCATAGGACACCAAATAAGCCATCAAGCTAAATCATACTGGGATATTAAATAAAACAATTAATATAAATCGCAGGAGACAGAGGGAGAACAAGGTCCTCCACGTGATCATTTTACCACACTTCTGTCGTGGTGCACTTCCCATACTTCACACAGCCAGCAAGACTGGGCTGGTCAGCCTAAGAAGGCTCCTCCCTGCCTCTCCCTACTTTGCAAAGCAGGTGTTCTCCCCTTCCCCACCAACAGCTGCGTGTGAAATTCACCTGCCAGCAAGATCACCTGACCTGCGTGGGCACTTCCATTTCTCTTTGGTTAAATCCAAGGTCTCCAAATCTGACAACTTAAAGACTTGCAGACTTCAACTCCCAGAATTCCCCCCAACCGGCACACTGGGAATATGCTTTAAATCAGGTGTCTTCAAACTTGGCGTATGCTGGCTGAGGAATTCTGGGAGTTGAAGTCCACAAGTCATAAAAGGGCCCCGTTTGAAGACCCCTGTTTTAAGGCGCTGCCTTAAATCTCACCTAGTTTCATTTCATGGTAGCACCAAGCCAACTTTGGCTGATCTGGAAAGGTTCCGGTTAATACTTGGATGGGGGACCACTAGGAAATCCCACGGAGGAGAATTAGACTGGGTGGTTGAGGAAAAATACCCTGGAATAAGGCAAGAGCAAATGACCTCTTGATTATCTAAAAAAAAACTCTTTGGGCCTGTCCCTCAGGTCACCAAGAGTTGATCCGAAGGAGACTTTCCTCTCTCTCTTCTGGGCAATGCAAGATATTACACCTTTTCTCACATTCACTCAGACCTTACCCTGCAGAAACACGGGAGTCGGAGCCCAGGACGACCCCACCATCAAACTCCACAGCCATGATGGTGGTCTGTAGAGGAGAAGAGAACAAGTGTTATTTGTAGAGTGGAAGAGAAGTATCAGCACTATGAGGCAGTTCCTAGTGCAGAGCAACAAAGATGATCAGGGGACTGGAGGCTAAAACATATGAAGAACGGTTGCTGGAATTGGGCATGTCTAGTTTAATAAAGAGAAGGACTAGGGGGTGACATGATAGCCGTGTTCCAATTTCTCAGGGGTTGCCCCAGAGAAGAGGGAGTCAAGCTATCCTCCAAAGCACCTGAAGGCAGGACAAGAAGCAACGGATGGGAACTAATCAAGGAGAGAAGCAACCTAGAACTATGGAGAAACTTCCTGACACTTAGAACAATTAACCAGTGGAACCACCTGCCTCCAGAAGTTATGAATGCTCCAACACTGGAAGTTTTTAAGAGGAGACTAAACAATCATTTGTCTGAAATGGTATAGGGTTTCCTGCCTGAGCAGGGGGTTGGACTAGATGGCCTCCAAGGTCCCTTCCAACTATTCTATTCTATTCTATTCTATTCTATTCTATTCTATTCTATTCTATTCTATTCTAAATTCTATTCTATTCTATTCTATTCTAAATTCTATTCTATTCTATTCTAAATTCTATTCTATTCTATTCTATTCTATTCTATTCTATTCTACTCTACTCTACTCTACTCTATTCTATTGAGAAATGGACGTCTTTTATTACCTTTTTTGTTGCTTTGGGAACTATTCTTCCCTCTCTTCATCATCTCTTTACTTTCTTCAAGAGAGGAGTGGATGAGAGACACCTTGCGCCACTAAGGAAAAGTGCTCTCTGTTTTCCCAGCACCTGGTGCAGCCTGTGTCAAAGTTCTCGTGTCGCCCAAGCAAGACCTCGCACACACTTGGTTCCTCCTTGGTGTTTAGTCCCCAAGCCAGAGGGACAACTGATGATTGCACAAATATGGTTGAGTTCCATCAGCCACAGCCGGAGAAAAATTGAAGGGAGGTGTAATGACCAGTGATGAATGATTACAGCATTGTATTTATCTTATGAGGTTTTATACAGTTCTGTCTTTTAACCTTGTAAGCCTCTCAGAGTTACCATGTTGTAAGATGGGCGGCTAATAAATTTTATGAATGAATGCATGCATGCATGCATGCATGCATGATAATGGAAGTTAGAATGCAATAATACCCGGCTGGTTGTGGGCTACCCACCATTATAGACAAAAGAACAGGGACTCCAGTTGCGTTATCTACATGTTGTGTCCTCGCATGGGAAGCCAACAGTATCCTGGAGAGGCTGCAGCTGCATGACAGGGTGAAAAAGAGCACACCTGCAGCCTGGGACATGCCTCCATGCTCAGCTGTCACAGAAGTCAGGGGGGCAGCGGTGTCAGGATTCCCCTGGGGTCCATGAGGCCAGTGTCCCAGATAGCTACTTTCCTGGGCTGGAGAGATATGGCAATAATTTTTCAAGCCATGGTTACAGCTCATCTCGACCCCCACATCAGGCCCCAAGTAAGGCGACCTTTAACAGGTGCAAAATGTACAGGTGGATTGCCAATGGGTGCAAAGTAGTGGGCCAGATTTAATGCCTGTATTAAAGGATCCTTGAGAAAACCAGGTCGTCACTGGGAGACGAAAATGACTCGAATCAGAATCGGAATCAAATTAGAGCTGGAAGGGACCTTGGAGGTCTTCTAGTCCTGCCCCCTGCTCAGGCAGGAGACCCTATATACCATTTCAGACCAGTGGCTGTCCAGTGTCTTCTTTAAAACCTCCAGTGATGAAGCACCCGCCCACATCTGAAGGCAAAGCTGTTCCACTGGTTGATCCTCGCTGTTAGGAAGTTTCTCCTTAATTCCAGGTTGCTTCTCTCCTTGATTAGTTTCCATCCATTGTTTCTTGTCCTGCCGTTTAGTGCTTTGGAGAAGAAGCTTAATGGAACATAATCAATTGAAAACTCCTGTTGTGAACTCCACGTGGTGTCAGCAAGGGCGTCTGACTGGCAAATGCTCAACTCCACCCAGTTGCCCCCGACTCTAACCTGAATGAAGGGATTACATGGTTCTAAAAGGGAGTTCAGCTGAATCAATCGAAAACCCCGTTGAAAAGATCTGTGCGGTTGCCAGTTGGTTTTGTGTAGCTGCCAGCAGCCTGAAAACACAGCCAAGCCACAAATCCAGGCAGGGAATCTCAGCGTTTTGGCAAAGCTGCATCTCCTGCGGTCACGGTTCCGACAGATGAAATGCTTCAAAAGAACTTTGAGGCATCGTTTACCTTAAAGAATCTTTATTTTGAGTAGCACAACATCGGCACTGCATAATGGAAGTCAAAAACTAAATTCCCCTCCTCTGAATACATAGTATCAAAGCACAGTTCCCTCCTCCAATTAACTGTCATAAATCACATTCCCCAATTAGCCTGAAGTGCGGGCTTCCTCTCCAGTTCTCCAGCCAATTCCTTATCAACTCTGGTTACAATAACCTTGATTCTCACACTAGGTTTAGTGTTGCTATGTTTATCGCTCACATCCCCCCTCCCAGCATCATCTAACTCTAAAAGCAAAAGGTAAAAGATGGCTATATTTCCCTCTGTTGTCGATGCAAAAACATCTGATGTTAGCAGCGTTGACACCTGCCTTGTTATCTAATCGGAGCTGGGAAATCCAAGCGCTGAACGTGAGTCATTTTTCCAGCTAAGAAGGGGAATTTGGGTTGGTAGGGAGCCCCGAGGCCGTTCCCCGTGCCACGCTTGGCATGCAGCATGGCAAAAGTCTCTGCGTGCCTGTTGTGGCTTTGCATGGAATTTTACAGTGTGCAGGCTGGTGGAAGGTCCAAAGATCAGCTTTATCGGTGACTTTGCAGCTTCCTTATGGCCAACACAGCCACCCACTGAAACCGTTTTCAGAAAAACCCAGCAGTATTACTAGTCCTCGGCTTATGACTGTCATTGACCCTCAAAATTTTCCTTGCTAAGTGAGACGGTTGCTAAGCGGGTTTTTGCCCCATTTTACTACCTCCCATGCTCCAATTATCTTTTTTAAATAATATTTTATTAATTTTCCAATTTTACATTTAAAAAGCAACGTGGTGACTGGGTTAATCAATAGTTCAGTAACAAAATCTTTAGTGCAAATCTCAGGTTACAACATCAGATATTTCTTCTTTTTTTTCCTTAACCTTTATTGTCTCGTATTCAAGCTAGTACAGTTCTAATTACATCAACTCAATAAAGACACCATTATTACATTTATCAATAATTTTTAGCTTACACATATCTTAATTAGATTCAATCTTCATAAACAATCCATATTCTATTATTAATTTTTACCCAAGTTTTGATCCCTCATCAATATTCCAATTTAACCTTTGATATTTATAATTTTCATACTTTGGGTAACCAAGATTTCCTTTCTCTCACTTCATAACAAAATATAATATCCAAAATACACATTTTATCTATTTGAATGTAATCTTGTTCTATTCCCTAAAAGTTATCTATTTCCCACCATATTAAATCATCTACTTAATAATACAATGTCCCCTTTAATAAATCAAAACCATTATATATATATATATATATATATATATATTACCTGGGTTAATCAATAAATCAAGCATCTTCATAATAATTAATTTTCTTTTCGCTTTTAGCTCTAATGCCCCAATTGTTCAGCGAATCACCGCAGTTATGAAGTTAGCACAGGCACAATTGAGTCCCAAATTTACACCACTAAGTGAGACATTTATGATTTATGAGGTGAATTTTGCCCCAGTTAAATGAATTTTTGCAGTTGTTAAGTTCGTGACATGGTTGCTAAGTCCGATTTTCCCACTGACTTTGCGGGTCAGAAGGTCGCAAAAGGGGAGGACATGACCTTGGGACACTGCAGCCGACGTAAACGTGAGTCAGTTGCCAAGCATCTAAGCCAGTGGTTCTCAACCTTTTTAATGCTGCGACCCCCAACCGGTCATAAGTCGAGGTCTACTCAACCGGTCGTAAGTCGAGGACTACTCAACTGGTGCAGCACCGTTTGCAGAATGGGATTTTGGTGGGCTCAGCAGGGCAGAGACAGCCTGGACAATTCCTATTGGCTTTTGAAAGCCAATAGAATTAGACTCTATTCAAGAGAGTCTATTCTATTGGCTTTCAAAAGCCAATAGACTAAAAGGGAGTAGCACAGCTAAGGAAAAGGGGGAAAAAATGGCGGACTGCGTTGTTTGGCGACCCCCGTGAAATGGTCGTTTGACCCCAAATGGGGTCCCGACCCACAGGTTGAGAACCACTGATCTAAATTTTGATCACATGGTGGTGGGGAATGCTGCATGTTTGAAAAAACGGTCGTGTCGTGTCGTTTCTTTTCTCCAATGCTGTCGTAATTTGAACAGTCACTAAATGAACTGTAGTGAAGTCGAGGACAAGCTGTCCTTGCAGAGAGCCGTTTGTGATAACCAGGGCAGACCGTTTGAGCGACAGGAGAGTTACATTCATTTCCTGGTGGTGCTTCCTCCCCTCCCCCACCGTCTCCCCTACTCTATTTTCCAGGCTTTCGTGGAAGTAGAATCCCCAATAAGAGCTTCATGCTGAGCCAGAAGCAGGAGAGGACCCCAAAGGCTTAGATCTATTGCAGGGGTCCCCAATCTGTGGGCCGCAGCCCGTTAACAGGCCGCAGCCGCTTGGCAACTGGGCCACATGAAGGGATGGCCAGTACACGTGCACATGTGTATGCACTCAAATCCCCACACTTGTGCTAGCGCCCCCCTAAGTGTCCCACCAGCACTAGCACCGCCCGGAGCATCCCACCGGTGCTAGCGCTGCCCCATTTGCAGTACTCGCGACCGCACCCCATTTGCATGTGCGCATGCGCTCATGTGTGGCTGTTTGCATGTGCTTGCACACAGCCATTTGTGTGTGTGCATGCGCTCACATGTGGCCCATTTTTGCACACACACACGGGACTCGTTTTTGCGCACGCACGCAGCGGTGCCTGCCTCCCTTTTCAGGCCGCCAAATCAAAAAGTTTGATCTATTGTATGCAAAACTACATCTTCCACACCTAGTTACAGGGATCCTACAGGGAAGCAAATTACGCAGACAAAATCACACACACCCCTGCAAGAATCATCCCACCACCACCCCATGGAGCTCCCTCCCAGTAAGGATATCAAATATTAGCAGTCTGCTCACTATCCACCATCACAATGGTAAATTTCAGTATAGGTAGTCCTCAAAGTCCCAGCCAATTGCTTCTTGTCTGTTTTATTCAGGTGCTATCAACCAGCTGGCCTACCTTATAGGGTTGTTGTGAGAGGAATGGAATGAGAGCATTTTGACCCTGCAGAAATGGAGCTCAACCAAGGCCTAATTATGGTTTGTAGAAAGATGGAACCTGGTACTAACCGGCCACCAGTGCTTAAATAAATACCATACAGGTAGTCCTTGAACTTACGACCACAATTCAGCCCCCATTTTCTGCCGCTAAGTGAAACATTGGTTGAGTTTTGCCCCATTTGACGACCTTCCTTGCCGTGGTCGTTAAATGAATCATTGTTAGCTGTTAAATGAGTCACGCGGTTTGTTAAGCAAATTTGGCTTCCCTGTCCGCACTGCTCGTCAGAGGGTCGCAAAAGGGGATCACGTGACCCGGGGACACTGCGGCCGTCACAAATACGAGTCAGTTGCCAAGCGTCTGAATTTGGATCATGTGACCCTGGGGATGCTGCAACGGTCGTTAAGTGTGAAAGCTGGTCTTTATTGGAAAAGCATAACTTCGACACTTACATAGTCGAAGCCAAAAACTGGATTCCCCTCCCCTGAGCACATAGTATCAAAGGACAATTCCCTCCTCTGATGGACAGTCATAAATCACATTCTCCAATTAGTTTGAAATGCAGGCTCTCCCTCCAGTTCTCCAGCCTGCCAATTCTTATCATCTCTTATTTCATTAACCTTTGTTCACAGCTGGGTCCAGTTTTATTATGTCTAACTAAACCCCCATGCACATTCCTCCCCCCAGCACCATCTACCTGTAAAAGTAAAACATAAGAAGAAAATGGTTGCATCTCCAACTATTGTCAGAGCAAAAACATCCGATGTTAGCAGCGTTGACAACCGCTCTAACTTTGAACGGTCACTAAACGAACGGTAGTTAAGTCGAGGATTACCTGCATTGTTTTATTTGCATAATTTACAGTTAACACACTTAAAGCACTGGTTTGTTTAGATCAGTGTTTCTCAATCTGGCTGTTCTCCCCGGAGGGCCAGATTCAGTTCTGCCCAGATGGTGCTGGGTTGTGACTGGGTGTGACAAATCTTTAGTGAGGGAGACAAGCTTGCTCCTTCACATTAGAAGGCCTCCGGGGGGGGGGGGATGGGAAATCACTCCAAGCGTGGGCTGCCCATCTTCCAGCCTCAGTTTCTCCATCAGTAAATGGAGTCTCCTGGTTACTTCACGGACATGTCGGTCCTCTTTTGGGGGGGAAGCAGAAGGAAACTCCTTTTTTTTCCGACTGCCTCAGTCTGGGATTTTCTGATGGTCTCCCATTTCCTTTAATGCAGTGGTTCTCAACCTGTGGGTCGGGACCCCATTTGGGGTCAAATGACCATTTCACTGGGGTCACCAAACCATGCTGTCCGCCATTTTTTTCCCTTTTCCCTAGCTGTCCTACTCCCTCTTATTGGTGGCCACACCCACTTGGGGGTCACCGCAACATGGGGAACTGTATTATGGGGTCACGGCATTAGAAAGGTTGAGAATCACTGCTTTAATGTATGCTGAATAGTGTATATCTAAAGTGACAATAAAGTAAGTCAGTCTGTCTGTCTGTCTGTCAGTCTACCTACCTACCTACCTATCTATCTATCGGATGATGCCAGATTTTCTGTAACACCTGGAGCTTTGTGCTTCTAGAGCAAGTGGGATTGACTATTTTGGATGGATAGATAGATAAGATAGATAGATAGATAGATAGATAGATAGATAGATAGATAGATAGATAGGTGGGTAGATAGATAGATAGATAGATAGATAGATAGATAGATAGATAGATAGATAGATAGATAGATAGATAGATAGATAGATAGATGCAATTTATATCTATCCATTCATCCATCCATTCATCCATCCATCCATCCATCTATCCATCCATCTATCTATCTATCTTTTTATCTATCTATCTATCATCTATCTGTCTATCTATTGATCTATATCTAGCATCTGTCTCTCTATCTCTCTATCATTATCTATCTATCTATCTATCTATCTATCTATCTATCTATCTATCTATCTATCTATCTATCTATCTATCTATCGGATGATGCCAGATTTTGTGTAACACCTGGAGCTTTGTGCTTCCAGAGCAAGTGGGATTGACTATTTTGGATGGATAGATAGATAAGATAGATAGATAGATAGATAGATAGATAGATAGATAGATAGATAGATAGATAGATAGATAGATGGGTGGGTGGGTGGGTGGGTGGGTGGGTGGGTAGATAGATAGATAGATAGATAGATAGATAGATAGATAGATAGATAGATAGATAGATAGATAGATAGATAGATAGATTGATAGATAGATAGATGCAATTTATATCTATCCATTCATCCATCCATTCATCCATCCATCCATCCATCTATCCATCTATCTATCCATCCATCTATCTATCTATCTTTTTATCTATCTATCTATCATCTATCTGTCTATCTATCTATTGATCTATATCTAGCATCTATCTCTCTATCATTATCTATCTATCTATCTATCTATCTATCTATCTATCTATTGGATGATGCAGATTTTGTGTGACACCTGGAGCTTTGTGCTTCCAGACCGAGTGGGGTTGACTATTTTGGATAGATAGGTAGGTAGATAGGTAGGTAGGTAGGTAGGTAGGTAGGCAGGCAGGCAGGCAGGCAGACAGACAGACAGGCAGGCAGGCAGGCAGGCAGGCAGACAGACAGAGACAGGTAGGTAGGTAGGAGGTAGGTAGGTAGATAGATGTAATTTATATCTATCCATTCATTCATCCATCTATTGATCTATATGTAGCATCTATCTATCTATCTATCTATCTGTCTGTCTGTCTGTCTGTCTGTCTGTCTGTCTGTCTGTCTGTCTGTCTGTCTGTCTGTCTGCCTGCCTGCCTACCTACCTACCTACCTACCTCTTTCTATTTAGCTATCTAGCTATCTATCACTCTATCATCTCTCTTTTCTCTCTCACCTACCCTACCACCTATCTATCCCTCTCTTTTTCTCTCTCTGTCTCTCTCTCTATCCCTGCTTAGCTTTTCTCATGTTGCCCACCCCGGTGTTGCCGTAACCATTGCACACAAAAAATGGGAGCAGCTGTGACTGGCGGGCGATTGCTCAGCCAAGGTTTGCTTTTCAGGCCAGATTCAGCCTTGCAAGCAGAAAGCAAGCCCTTCAGGTCTCTTGAATTCAAACCGTCTGCCCGACGCAACTTCCTTCTTTGGCCGGCGAGCCCCCTTCCTCTCCGACGCCCCACCTTCCCTTCCTGCTGCAACGTTTGGGGGACCCTGGAGGCTGAACCCCCCCCCCTCCTCTCCTTCTGCAGAGCCACTCACCCCGGTGCTGATCTTGGTTACCCCGCGGTGGTCCATCGCGGCTCCTGTCCCCGAAGCGCTTCCGTGAAAACCCCGGCTTTGAGATCGAAAGTGATAGCGGAGATTCTCCGGGCGCAGCGCCTCCCGCGGACACCAGAGGGCGCCCCGACCTGTCAATCCGTCCCGGAAGAAGCGCCGCGACGGCTGGCGCAGAGCGGGCCTTGAACTACAGCCACTATTATCCCCAGCCGGTTAACCCCAAGGAAGGGAGCGGGGGAAGGGGGCTCGGCGTCGCTTCCCCACGCGCGGGGAATCCGCTTCAGGAAGCTGGCTCCCTGCCAAGGCGGCCTTTTAGAGGAAGGAAAGAAGGCTGAGCCAAGGAGCGCTTTCCAACCACTAGGAAATACTACACGCCTTGCTCCCTGCATAAGTGTACAGGTAGTCCTCGACTTACAACGGTTCGTTTAGTGACCTTTCAAAGTTACAAAGACACCGACAAAAGTGACTCATGCACCCTTTTTCACAGTTACCTTGCAGCATCCCCACGTTCAAAATTTGGACGTTGGGCCACCGGTTCATATTTATGATGGTCGCAGTTTCCCGGGGTCATGGGATCGTCTTTTGCCACCTTCTGACGAGCAAAGTCAAGGGAGGGGGGAGTCAGATTCTCTTAACAACCGGGTGACTAATTCACTTAACAGCTTTGGCAAAAAGGTCGTAAAATGGGGCAAAACTCACTTAAATGTCTCACTTAGCAGCATGAATTCTGGGATCAATTTTGGCTGTACGTCAAGGACTACCTGTACTGATATTAGATGATTGGCATCACCCCCGTGTCGGGCGTGCAGTATCTGGGATCCCTGCCAAGGATGTGAGCCAGCAATCAGCATCCGCTGCGTTCACATGACCCATGTACCCGATTGGCGATTTAACACTTTCTTAAAACAAGAGTTTGAATACGCTGAGCCCCCCCCCCCAAAGGACGAAGCTCAGTACAGCACCATACTTTGGCCTGGTTTGTGCACATGCAACCACAACATTAATGATCTTTACCCGACTTGTGTGAATGCGACCATGATGTAATTCTTGCTCACTTGGCAGAAGCTCATTCAGATTTGGCCTCCTTCTTGGGCAGGGGTGTCAAACTGCCGGCCCGCGGACCAGATGCTTCATAGCGAAACCACGCCCATCCCATTGCCGGCAATGGAAAAAAAGTCACGATACGTCACGTCACATCATGTAACATTGCGAGTTTGACACCCCTGTTTGGGGGGCTGGGTGAAAATGTAAACCTCCTGGCTACATTTCTCCATCCCACCCCTCCCAGTAGGTAATACATTACATTTCTCCTTTCTTTGTATAAGAGTAGATCCTTCTTTAGTCACAGATTTTATCTTCCTGGGCTCCAAGATGACTACAGATGGGGACTGCAGCTCTTCTGGATTAGTAAAAATAAATTGAGGGATGGGTTTTAATCACGTTTAAGAAGTTTAAGAAATTATGGCTAGGTATGGTGAAGAGAATAGATGGGGAAGAAATGGAGGTAGTGACAGATTTTATTTTTCTGGGCTCCAAGATCACCGCAGATGGGGACTGCAGCAAAGAAATTAAAAGATGCTTGCTCCTGGGGAGGAAAGCTATGGCAAATCTAGACAGCATACTAAAAAGCAGAGACATCACCCTGCCAACAAAAGTGGGTATAGTCCAGGCCATGGTTTTCCCAGTTGCAATGTATGGCTGTGAAAGTTGGACCATAAGAAAGGCTGAGCGCCAAAGAATTGAGGTCTTTGAACTATGGTGCTGGAGAAGACTCCTGCGAGTCCCCTGGACTGCAAGATGATCAAACCGGTCAGTCCTAAAGGAGATCAACCCTGACTGCTCTTTAGAAGGCCAGATCTTGAAGTTGAAACTCAAGTAATTTGGCCACCTGATGAGAAGGAAGGATTCACTGGAGAAGGGCCTAATGCTGGGAAAGATTGAGGGCAATTGAAGAAAGGGAGGACAGAGAATGAGATGGCTGGATGGAGTCACTGAAGCAATAGGCGTGAGCTTAAATGGACTCCAGAAGATGGTAGAGGACAGGAAGACCTGGAGGAATGTTGTCCATGGGGTCGCAATGGGTCGGACAGGCCTTCGTAACTAACAACAAAGCTCCCTCTTTTCTAGCAGGTTTTTTTTTTTTTTGCCTTCAAAAAGTATTGATTCCTGACGGCTACCAAGCCTAGTCTTTGCAGTTTTCCAGAAGTGGTTTGCCATTGTCTCCTTCCTAGGGCTGAGAGAGAGTGACTGGCCCAAGATTGCACAGCTGGCTTCCTATCTAAGGCTGGATTAGTCTTCAGAGTCTCCCACTTACTATCAGGTGCCTTAACCATTACATCAAACTGGTTCTAGGCAATTCTTTGGATCCTAACAAAGATCCTGTCTAACTGGCAACTGTGGTGAGGGGGAGGGGGCAGGGATGTCCTTGAGGTGCGGGCAAAAGAGTCAAAATGGCGGCCTCGCCTTTCAAAACTTTGCTTTTTTTCAACTGAGGCTTTTCCGTCTTTGAAGCCAAGGTGCTGCTTAGCTTTTGTTTTTTAAAGGCATCCCATCTAACTCTCCTGTTGATGCGGGAAGACAAGAGTGTCTCTGAGCGGCTACAGAGGGCATAGAAATTCCTTACCGAAGACTTGACCTGGAAAGTTAGGAGGAGGAGGAGGAGCAGCAGAAGGAACGTGTGACTTGGGGGGGGTGGCCAGCACACGCAAATAAGAGGGCGTGGATAGCGGGCCAAGATCTGATACATGTGGACACGTGTGTATGCGCAGGGGTAGGCAACCTTGGCTCTTTTATGACTCGTGGACTTCAATACCCAGAATTCCTGAGCCAGCCATGCTGAGGGGAAAGGGAGAGGTTTCCAAGCTGAGCCATGCTAGCTCAGGAATTCTGGGAGCTGAAGTCCACGAGTCATAAAAGAACCAAGGTTGCCTACCCCGATAGATTGTAGTCTATAGAAAAAGGGGGATTCCTTCCTTGGGTGTCATCACTAGAATACAGACAACAGAACGGTCCAATAAATTGGCCCGAAGAAATCCTCAAAGAATTTATTGCTTCCATATTGATTTAATAATCTATCAATTTGATGGACGGATGCCTGCTCTCCAGCTCTTTCCTTTCCTCACATTTGCGGTGTCCTTTCACAAGTCTTCCCCCTCCCGCTTCCTCTCCCTCTCCGCCTCTCCCCGTTTTTCCTCGACCGCATTCCCCCATCGCTTTCACTTTGCCCAACTTATTTTTTAGCGGGACGAAGCTACACCGGTTGAGCAACCGCCTGCCCGGAGCCAGACTTCCCTGGAAGTCGCCCAACATCTCCTCGCTCCTTCCGCCGCCTCTCTCCGCCTGCGGCTGCCCGCGTTTGTTTTCCCCGACTTTTTACTTTCACTTTCGGCTTCCGCGAAAGCAGCTGCTTGTAGCGAAGCGCCGCGGCTGGGGTGGTTTCCAGAGCCCGGCCGGGAGATGTGCCAAGACTCGCCTTCCGGTCCCCGCTGCCAGCGCCCTCCGTTCAGTTTGAGCCGGCTGCCGTCCGCGGAGGAGCTCTCTTAAATCCGTTTCTCGAGTTACTCGCCGACAGCTGCTTTCTCCACCGGCTTCGCGCCGCGGCTCTGCAAGCCGGGAAGCGCCCGGCGGCGGCTGGACTCCGCGAGAGAAGCGCCTCCAAGGGCCCGTAAGTCGGTTCTTAGCAAAGCCGCCCCTTCTTCCTTCCGCTTCGCTCCAATCTCTCTCTCCGTTGCTCTCATTTGTTTTCTTTCTTCCCTTTCTCGCCAGGGCTCCTTCCAGCACCGAGGCGCTGCTCGAGCGAGTTTGCGGCAAGCTCCCTTGGCCCGTCTAGAACCGGCGCGATGAAGCCGGGCATGTGGTCTTGGGTCGCCTTAGGGATGCTGCTGGATTTCCTGGCCCTCCACTTGGCTTGGAAGTGGAGGCCCTCGCCCTCGGGGAACCCCGTGGCTTTCTTGTGGGCCGTCGCCATGGGGCGCTGCGTGTCGCTCGCCCTCGCGGGGGGCACCCTCGCCCGCTCCGGAGAGGCCAAGCTTCCCTGGAAGCTGTTGCTGCAAGGCGCCTTGGTCCTCTCCTTCCAGATGCCCGGCTACGTCAGCCTGCAGTACCTCTACCAGCCGGAAGGGGGCGCCCTGGAGCTGGCCTACAGCTGGGGCAGGATTGAGGTCCTTGTCCTCAACTACCTGGTGTTGGGGTTGGGGATGCTGCTGTTCCATCTCCTCCTCCCTTCGGGGGCCACAGGAACGGAAAAGAGGACCTCGGCTTCCTTTGGGCGCCTCATCGCCTGCCTGAGGCCAGAGGTGCTGCGGTTTGTGGCCATCACGGGGCTTATAGTGATCTCCTGCATGGGTAAGTTGGACCTTTGGAGGGGGCCGATGTGATCCTTCCCCTCACTCTCACAATCAGCATAGAGTTTCAACAATATCTTATGTAGAGAGTCCTTGAATTACAGCAGGGATAGGCAACCTTGGCTCTTTTATGACTTGTGGACTTCAATTCCCAGAATTGGCTGGCTGGCTCAGGAATTCTGGGAGTTGAAGTCCACGAGTCATAAAAGAGCCAAGGTTGCCTACCCCTGGATTACAGCTATTCATTTGCGAACATTTGAAGTTGCAAATAGCACTGAAAAAAGTGACTTAGCAGTTGGTCCTCGCACTTACGACCATCGCAAAGTCAAAATTTGGGTGCGTGTCAACCAGACGTTGTGGGTGCTTCATCACTAGAGGTTTTTAAGAAGAGACTGGACAGCCACTTGTCTGAAATGGTATAGAGCAGGGTAGGCAACCTTGGCTCTTTTATGACTCGTGGACTTCAACTCCCAGAATTCCTAAGCCAGCATGGCTCAGCTTGGAAACCTCTCCCTTTCCCCTCAGCATGGCTGGCTCAGGAATTCTGGGAGTTGAAGTCCACGAGTCATAAAAAAGCCAAGGTTGCCTACCCCTGGTACAGGGTCTCCTGTATGAGCAGGGGGGCTGGACTAGAAGACATCCAAGGTCCCTTCTAGTTATGTGCTGATTCTGATTCTGATTCAGCCTGTATTAACAGTGACTGTAACATGCTGAGGTCATTTGATCATCATTTATAACCTTCCCAACCAGCAAAGTCAATAGCAGAAAAAAAGTCAATAGCAGAAGCAAGCTGGTAAAATCTGGTGCGACTCATTTAACTCATTTAACCACACCTTGCTTAAAAATGGAAATTCTGTTCGCTGTTGTGCTTGTAAGTCAAGGACTACCTATGTTAAGGATTTGTTGCAAGGAGACTCAAAAGAGTCAAAATGGCAGCAAACAATATATGATCAGAGTCCTGCCCTCTCCTTTTTTTATTTTTATTTTTTTTAAGAAAAGTTTATTGATTTTCTGGTTTTAGATTTAAATATTTAAAAAGCAACGTGGCGGCTGGGTTAATCGATAATTCAATAACATACAAGTATCTTTAGTACAGATCTCAAACTATTACATTAAATATTTCCTCTCTTTTCCCCTTAGTATTTACTGTCTCATGTTTAAACTAATACAATTCTTATTATATCAATAAAATAAAAATAACTTTCTTACATTTATCAATAATTTTTAGTTTAGACATATCCTAGTTATTTTAACATTCATTCTTTATAGACAGTCAGTGTCCTAATTAGTTTTTCCCGATTTTTAGTTTCCCATTTATATTTAAATTTAACATTTGGTATTTATAATTTCCAAGTTTTAAATAACCCCAATTCCTTTTATCTCTTTTCTTCTATTGATATTTAGGAATGTCCAAGAGTTGTGGGAAACTTGAAATGGGTTCTTTCAAAAAAGGGGGGGGGGCTAGAGAGCTAATGGAGTCTGAGGTGAAGGTAGAGGTGTCCTATTGTTGTTGTGTCTTTTTAGGCCCTCATCTTGATTTTTTTTCCCCCGTACTATAACAGATTTTGAATTTCTTTCGTTTTTATCTTGGTTGCCTAGGGCAGAGGCCCCCAACTTTTTGGGTACCAGGGACCAGTTACGTGGAGAGAGTTTTTTCCGTGGACCAGAGGGCGTGTGATTTTGTGTGCTGCCTGCATCCTCCGGATGGGGCTTTGCTTGTTTGTGTCGGCCCAGTTGCTGGCCTGCCGCAGCCCAGTACTGGTCCACGGACCGGGGGTTGGGGACCCCCGGCCTAAGCACATGAGCAGCCATATAAATGTGGCTTTATAAATAAGTAAATAAAATTTAGAAGTGGGATTTGGGAGAGAAAAGAAACAGCAAATTCCTATAGTCCCACTCGGAAGTAGCAAGCATATAAAAATGATTGCCCTCGGCAGAAATGTCTCATCAAAATGAGAAAAACATTGATTGTCTCATTCCAGCCCAAGCCCCGCCCCTTTCGCTCATGCACATGATGTCATTGTGCACCTACTTCCGTTGTGACAATGCATTGTTACTTTTAGGCCTTCACAACTGGTCACTTAATAACAGAATAACAGAGTTGGAAGAGACTGTGGAGATCTTCTAATCCAGGGATCCTCAACCCCTGGTACATGGACCAGTACCGGGCCGCAGCATCCCAAAATCCAGTCTGCACAAACAAGTGAAGCCCCATCCGCGGATGCAGGCAGCATACAAAACCACACTCCCTCCTGTCTGCAGAAAAACCTCTTTCCACCAACAGGTCTCTGGTGCCCAAAAGGTTGGGGGGGCACTGTATCTAGTCCAACCTCCTGTTCAAGTAGGACACCCTATACCAGGGGTATCAAACTGCCGCCCCGCGGGCTCGTGGTATCATACGGAGGCCACGCTCACCTCAGCTCCGATAATGCAAAAAAAGTCGCGATATTTCGTGACATGTCACATGACACGATGAGTTTGACACCCATGCCCTATGCCATTTCAGACAAGTGGTGGTCCAATCTCTTCTTTAAATACCCCAGTGATGGAGTACCCACAACTTCTGGAGGCAAGTTGTTCATGACTGTTTGAAGTTATGACAGATTCCCCCGAAATTATTCGCAACCCATCCTGGAAAATTACGATTGCCACCCGCGCACATGTGCACAGCCACACGACCGCATTTCAGGTGGTTGGCAACAAGCTTGCATTTACTGTGTTTCCCCAAAAATGACCCAACCAGAAAATAAACCCTAGCACGATTTTTCAGGATGCTCGTAATATAAGCCCCACCCCAAAAATAAACCCCAGTTAAGATCATCAGCCAGATGACTGTAGTACCGTATTTCCCTGAATATAAACCCTAACTGGAAAATAAGCCCTAATGCGCCTTTTTGAGCAAAAATTAATATAAGACCCAGACTTATTTTCAGCACAGGTACAACTGATTGCAGCATCCCATAGTCACATGTTTGTCATTTGCTACGTATTTTGCAGTTTTGGGGCAAAAAAAAGTCCCATTATATATCCTAGATTTCTACAACCCCACGGTTCATTTAATAACCACACGATTCACTTCACCATCATCAAAAATTGTCATGAAATCGAGAGGTCACATGATGACCCATCTAACGATCATGACTCGTGACCCAAATTCCTGTCTGAATTGTAGCGGTAAGTTTAGTATTTAATTCCTCCCCTCCGCTCTGCTTATGCTACGTGGGGATTTCTGAACATATGGAGGCGACTGTTCCCGGAATCCATAGCTGTTTATTTGTTTATTTTATGGAGGACTTTAATCCAAAACCCCAATAAAAAACAGCCAGAGTGAGTCGTGGCTGCGGAACTGGTTCTTACAATCGTGCAATAAAGATAATAGAAAATCGTTTTTCTCTTTTTACACTATGGAACATGAGAATCCACAAAAACACACCGTGATGGTGTGATCATTTTTTTTTACTTTTTTAAAACCACATTTTACATACATCCCTGCGCATAAAGGTAGTCCTTGACTTACGACCACAATTGAGTCCAAAATTTCTGTTGTTAAGTGAGACATTTGTTAAGTGAGTTTTGCCTCCTTCTACGACATTTCTTGCAGTTGTTAAGTTAGAAATCCGGTTGTTATAATGAATCTTGTTTCCCCATTGATTTTGCTGGTTAGAAGGCTGAAAAAGGGGATCAAGGAAGACCGTGGGGGTGCTGTCAAAGCTGTAACTGAAAAATGGTTCGTAAGTCAGGTTTTTTTTAGTGCTGTTGTAACTTTGAACGGGTCACTAAGTGAACCTTTGCAAATCGAGGAACCGTCTGTATATGCAGAAACTTGAAATAATGGTATTCGAAAGATAGCTTTTGTTGTGTTGAATGGAGAAAATGGTGCTTTTTTAGGCATAGCAAAACCAAAAATTCTTTTTTTTTAAGTTTTATTGATTTTCTAATTTTACATTTAAGTAGTAGTAGTAGTAGTAGTAGTAGTAGTAGTAGTAGTAGTAGTAGTAATAATAATAATAATAGGCGCCTTGGGTGCAATCCCAAAACAACTGGAGCACCACTTGAACACCATTGGCATTGACAAATTTGCCATTAGTCAATTGCAAAAGGCGGTCTTACTAGGAACTGCTTCCATCCTGTGACGATATATGTAATACCATCAAACATCCACATGTGCCTATTCCAGGTCCTGGGTAAGGACTCGATAGGTAGACCAAAATGCCAAATCCAGTCTGAACATCTGGCTGACTGTGTGATGATGATGATGATGATGATGATGATGATGATAATAATAATAAGTTGGAAGGGACCTTGGAGGTCATCTGGTCCAACCCCCTGCTCAGGCAGAAAGCCCTATACCATTTCAGACAAATGGCTGTCCAGTCTCTTCTTTAAAACTCAGTGTTGGAGCATTTACCATTTCTGGAGGCAGGTTGTTCCACTGGTTAATTGTTCTAACTATCAGGAAGTTTCCCCTTAGTTCTAGGTTGCTTCTCTCCTTGATTAGTTTCCATCCGTTGCTTCTTGTCCTGCCTTCAGACATTTTGGAGAAGAGCTTCACTCCATCAATAATACAACAACATACAAGTATCTTTAGTGCAAGTCTCAAGCTGTTACATTAAATTTTTCCTCTCTTTTCCCCTTAGTATTTACTGTTTCCTATTTAAACTAATACAATTCTGATTAAATCAATTAAATAAAAATGACGTTCTCACATTTATCAATTTTTGGCTTATACATATCTTTATTATTTTAATATTCAGTCTTTATAGACAATCAGTGTCCTAATTAGTTTTCCCCATTAATATTTAACTTAACATTTAATATTTCTAGTTTCCAAGTTTTAAGTAACCAAAATTCCCATTATCACAATACATCACAAAATCTAATATTCAGAATACACATCTTATCTATTTGAACATATTCTATTTCTCCCCATCTTACCTCAGCTAATTAATAAACGATATAACATTCTTATTTTCTATTAATTTCCAAACGTCTTGAATTAAGCAACTTTTCTCTCCTTTCAGCATCAAATACTTCCTCTCTTCTTCTCTTAATATCTATTATCTCACATTTAAGCTAATGCAGTTTTTATTATATCATCTAAGTAATTTATCGATATTACATTTATCGATATATTTTAGCTTAAGTATATCTTCATTAGCTTTACATTTAACCTCTATAAACAAATCGATATTCAAATTTAAGTTTTAATATTTATACTTCCAAATTTTAAAATAACCAAAGTTTTCTTTATCTCAGTTAATAACAAAATCTAGTGTTCAAAGTACGTACAGAAAATTCGAACACATGGCAGAAATCACTCAAGGAAAGGACACTTCTAACGGGTGTCTTTTTGTTTGCTGACTTGCAATCTTGCATGTTTGTAATGTGCCCTTTGCTATTTCTGACCTCATTCTCATCCGAGAATAGACTGGGGGGGGGGGGAAATGCTGGGGCATGCTTGTATAGACAGGCCTCGTTTCCACATTCCAAGGCATGGATGGTTGAAACGGAGCCAGAAACTTCGGGAACAGTAAAGGCAATTTGCTAAAATGGCTCTCGCGGAAAACGAGGACTTTATAAAGAATAATCCGGGTTTTGTAAAGCAAAAGAACTTTCCTACCAGATGAATCCACTTCAGGGCTTCTCTTCTCCGCTTTCTTTCAGAAAAGCCGTTTTAGTCAGCTGCCCTCCCAGCGTCTTTGTTTTAATTTTTCGGTTACTCCCCACCTCCTCTGAATGTGTCAATTCAAAAATGGACAGATGTCCTCTAATTGCGGGCATTTTTCCTGTACTGCATTACTTCTGAACGGTTTGCACAGAGTTATCTCCAATTTCCTTTTTATTTTCAACTGGAGTTTTGGGAATGTCATTTTAGATGTCACTAGGCCAGGCCTCCAATTTTTTTTTTTTTAATTATTTCAAAGTAACAATTATAAGCATCCAGGGGGGGGGGGATGGGATTTTTAACCAGGATTTATTTCTGCTTTTGTTGGGAAAAAGAAAGGAAATGGGATTTTAGTTTGAGCAAAATAAATTAATTAAAAATAGCAGTAAAAATGTTCAAGTATCCATGTCAGGCTGGCAGGAATTTACTTAACGTGGTGCACATTTCAAACAAGTATTTTTAAAATGCTTTGAGGCTCACAATGTGGATGAAGCCAGCAGAATTTTGTTATTAATTAGAGCAGCCTGTTACTTTTGACCCTGCTACTGCACAACACTGAACGCTGTAGTATAGTTGTTTTCAGCAGTCCACACAATTCATTCCTTAGTCTTTGCTTAATATTGTCTTCGTTCAGGATTGCTGGTTTTTTTGAATACTGTGTGGGTTGTTTATTCCGTTTGGGAACCAAGAATATCTCTCTCTCTCTCTCTCTCTCTCTCTCTCTCTCTCTCTCTCTCTCTCTCTCTCTCTCTCCCCTCTCTCTCTTTCCCCTCTCCCTCTCCCTCTCCCCCCCCCCCTCTTAAATTTAGAATAGCTGGTCTACAGGTTCCTGAATCTACTACCCTTCATTTCTCTAAGACCTCTTTTTCTTTCTTTCTTTCTTTCTTTCTTTCTTTCTTTCTTTCTTTCTCTTTCTTTCTTTCTTTCTTTTTTCTTTCTTTCTTTCTTTCTTTCTTTTTCTTTCTTTCTTTCTCTTCCTTCCTTCCTTCCTTCCAACTTTCTTTTCTTTCTCCCTTCCTCTCTCTCTCTTTGTCTCTCTGTCTCTCTCTCTACTCCCTCTCGCTCACACACATACACACATACACACAATCACTCAATCTCTGTCTTTCAGGGGAGATGGCAGTTCCATATTATACCGGGAAAGTGATGGACTTGCTCATAAGCAAGAAGGGAGCCTCGGCCTTCAAGGATGCTCTGTACATGATGACTTTTTTCACTCTGGCCAGGTATGATGGGGTTTGTTGTTGTTGTTTTTTCAATGCAAATTTGCACCAAACTATTTCTTGCCCATTTCTAACCACTGCGCAAATCAACCTGCGGTACGGTTGGAAATCAGCAAATTTTGCAATGCATTTTTAAGTCACAATAGCAGGGAAAGGTTGGATCACAAACGAATACATTTGGAAATGCCTCGTGTGTGTGTGTGTGTGTGTGTGTGTGTGTGTGTCTGTGTGTGTGTGTGTGTGTGTGGAGAGGGAGTGGGAGAGGAACAGTTTATCAGCGGGGTGCCCCATTAGACCAGGCAGAGAAGGCATACTATGGATACCATCTTCCAGGGACTTAATGTTTTATTTATTTAATTTAGTTATTAAATTTATATGCTGCCCATCTCGCTATTTAAAGTGACTCTGGATGTTTTACAATGCCGATGAACAATGTCCACCATTCAACTTCCTGAATTCTGCAGTCAGCAAGGTGGCAGGGGAATTCTGGGACTGGAAGTGATATACATAACTGAATGAAAGCTCTAATGAAATTTTGTGTTTTGAATCCTGGGTTTAAAATGAAGATGGCGTTTTTAGCCCTATGTATATAATACTTTATTGTTTAAAGTTTAGTCAAGTCCATGGTTTTCCCAGTTGCAAGGTATGACTGTGAAAGTTGGATCATAAGAAAGGCTGAGCGCCAAAGAATGGAGGCCTTTGAACTATGGTGCTGGAGAAGACTCCTGCGAGTCCCCTGGACTGCAAGGCGATCAAACCGGTCAGTCCTAGAGGAAATCAACCCCGACTGCTCTTTAGAAGGCCAGATCCTGAAGTTGAAACTCAAGTACTTTGGCCACCTAATGAGAAGGAAGGACTCACTGGAGAAGAGCCTAATGCTGGGAAAGATTGAGGGCAATAGAAGAAGGGGACGACAGAGAATGAGGTGGCTGGAGTCACTAAAGCAGCAGGCGTGAACTTAAATGGACTCCAGAAGATGGTAGAGGACAGGACGGCCTGGAGGAACGTTGTCCGTGGAGTCGCGATGGGTCGGACCTGACTTCGCAACTAACAACAACATACATAACTGTAGTTTTGTGTTTTGAGTCCTGGGTTTAAAATGATAGCTTTTTTCGCCCTTTATATATAATACTTGAGTATTGTTTAAAGTTAGTAAAATATCCAAACTAGAAAAAGTATTTTCTCCCTTTAGGGTTAAAAAAAAAAGAAATAATAGTAGATTCTCTTCATATGAATTATGATAAAGATGAATGAGTTAACAGAAGCATATATTATTCTCCACAGCAAAGAGAAGCAGATTGATTCTTTTATCCAAGGAAGAGAATATATCTAACCCTGTTTCTATTTTGAAATTGCTTCCACATTTTATGCTTGGAATTAAAAAAAAAATACATGAAACTTTGATTTTGGTTTTCCTAATGAGATAAGTTTATTTTTATAGAAATGGCTTGTACAGGCTGTTGTATAAAAATAAAAAAGTTGCGGTCATAACGTTGCTATCTTCTGTGCTAAAGAGAGTCGGACGTTGGTGCCTTTTTCTCGTCTTTTCCCTCTTTACACCATTTTTTTCCTTCTCCTCCTCCTACTTTTCTATTATTTTTTTGAATTCCTCTTCGTATTTTATATTTTGATGAGCCAATAAAACCAGGAGAGATTAAAAGAACATTTATCCTGAGGTAACGATCCCTGTGATGAATTTTGCATTTTGCGAAGTTTTGCAAAAAACGGTGACCCTGGGATTGAAAAAAAAAAAGGAAACCAAGGCTGTCGGGTCTTTTGATGGCAGCAGAGGATGAAATGTGTAATGGGGGAGGGGGGGAGATAGAGGAAAAGAGGTGAAAGGTGAAGCAGATAGGAGAAAAGAATGGAGAGAGCTAAAGATGGAGTCATGAAAGGTAACGGCTTTTCTGATTCCTCTCAGTGCTACAACGGAGTTTCTCTGCGACTTCCTGTACAATACAGTTATGAACCGATTTCACACCCGCTTCCAGGGCTCCGTCTTCAGGTCCGTCCTGCGCCAAGAGATCGGCTTCTTCAACGCTAACCGAACAGGTAGAGAATCCGCAATTCCCTTCATTGTTTCTCTACTTAGGACAGGGGTCGGCAACCTTGGCTCTTTTATGACTTGTGGACTTGACTCCCAAAATTCTGGGAGCCAAAGTTGCCGACCCCTGACTTAGGAACTGTCTTTCTGGTTCAACACCCACCCAACTCCCCAGGCTGCAAGCCAAAAATACAGGAATAAAAATGCTACCCCCTGAAACACTTCAGTAAATAATTTAAAGATACTGTGTGTTATAATACAATTCAGCTACTCTAGCTTTGAGTCAGGGCACAGACCTCTTTCAAAAGCAACTTGAAAGAAAAGGATTTTGCACATGTAACCGCTTTGAAGAATATCAGAAGCTGCTTTGTATCCCTTTTTTTTTCTTTTTTTCCGTTTTTTAAAAACTTTTTATTTCTTTCCTTGCCTTTTTGATTTCCCTTTGCTTTCTTTTTCTTTTTTCTCCTTTATTAGTTTGCATAAGTTTTTGTCTTCTTTTTTAAGCTTTGATAGTACCATATTTTTAAAAATACATTTTAAAAATCCTTTTTAAAAGGATACTCAGTGTTATACAGATCTTGCACGAAGGGGAATTGTCTTAGGGGAAAAAAAATTACTTCTCCCACTTCTACTACAGAGAGAACTGTATAGATTTTAAACTGCTTCCACTACCTGATCAATTAAAGTCTGAGCACTTGCAAGAAAAAAAGAAGGAGAGAGAGACGGAGAGGCAAACAGAGAGAGAGAGAGAAAGAAGAAAGAAAAATAAAAAGAAAGACAGAATAAAAGAAAGAATGAAAGGAAGGAAGAAGGGAGGAAGGAAGGAAGGAAAGGAAGGAAGGAAGGAAGGAAGGAAGGAAGGAAGAAAAAAGAGGGAGAGAGGGAGGAAGAAAAAGAAAAAAGAAGGGAGGGAGAGAGAGAACAAAGAAAGAGAAAGAAAAGAGAAAGAAAGGGAAGAAAGAAAGAGGGAGGAAGAAAGAAAAAAAGGAAGGAAGGAAAGAAGGATTTAGAGAAGGGGAGGGTAGTAGATTCAGGAACCTGTCACTTCTGGAAGTCTGTTCTAGGCCTTGGAGGCCAGGAGGAGGCCTCCTAGGCCTAAAACAGCGCACAGGAAGTGCGTTGATGTCACTGCCAGAAGCCCGTTCTAGGCCTCGGAGGCCCAGGCCTGCATTCATGCAGAGAACCGGATGTTAATGTATTTGAATCCCACCACTGGTCGAGTGATCTCTCCATTCTCAAAGTTGGTTCGGTCCCACAGATGGGTACCAAAAGAACAGGGGAGGTAAAGGCCGCAGCTGGTGTGGGCCTCCCCCAATTGACATCTTTTCCGATGGGCTTGTCCTGCTTGGCCTTCTCCTCAGGTGACATCTCTTCCCACATCTCGTCTGGCATCGATGCCATGAGCGAAGCCCTCTCGCACGATCTGAGCCTTTTGATGTGGTACCTGCTCCGAGGCGTCTGCTACTACGCCATGATGCTATGGATCTCTGTGCCTTTGACCTTCTTCATCACCGTAGCCCTGCTCTTCATCCTGCTGTTGCCAAAGCTCACGGGGAGCTACTACCAGGTGATCAAAGAGTGGGACGGTTCAAAGGTCCCTTCCAGCCCCGCTCGAGGGGTACTGCGGGGGAGAGGCCCAAGGGCCACTTCCCCAGAGGCCGCTGAGGAGAACTATTGCTTATTTCTTTTCTTTTTTTAAAAAAAAAATCTATTTTGTTGATTTTTTGGAATAACAATCTTTAGCACTTAGTAAACAACGTGTTGTCTGGGTTCATATATTTAACAACAAGCAATAATAATTAATTTCTTATGATTTCATAATCAACATACTAATTAGGAATACATTTCCTTGATCTTCTCTTCTTACAATAGCGTTCTCCTTTTACCAGCCTTGAGCCAATATAGTTCTTAGTACTTTTAATACATACAAAAATGAATATAAACATTTTTCTAGTATTTATGCGAATGATGATAACATCAATATATAGCATCTTTTCTAATCAGCTTATGTTACAGTTGCATTTGCAAAAAAACCAAAAACATCTTGTGTAAATCACTACAGGTCCTGTTTTCAGAATTTAAGCTTAATTTCCCCTTGGTGTTCAAAACATTTCTTATCGGTTGTAGTTTTCTCAGAATTGATTACATCTAAATATCCAAAACATTTCATTCACTTAAAATCATCCCAATATTTTTACATTTCCCATATCATAAAAAAAAATACTATACTACTTGTAAATCCTATCTTTCTTACTATGGAACCCATTCATATCCAAAATTTAACTATTCTTTTAACCACATTCAAACAAGTGTTTAGAAATGCTGCTTATTTCTACCAGCCTTTCCTGGGGACGAAAGCCCTAATGCATCTGGTGGGTGCTGAAGTGGGGAAAGATCCCTATTTAAAAGGGTTCTTTTTTTAATTGCTTTGTGAAGCCTTCTTGGAACTGTTGAAAGGACCGTGTTGTAGACTGGAGATAGATGATGTCGGATGCCTCCCCCTCTGTTGAGAGAGAGTAGTTCAATTTTGACATAGATGGCCTCTTTAATAAGTCAAAGAGGCTATTTATGTCAAAATTGAACAGCCCTCTCTCAACAGAGTGGGCGATATACAACATCAGTTATGTCCAGTCTACAGCACAGTCCTTTCAACAGTTTCAAGAAGATTCCACACCCATTTGCACTACTCAGGTGACCTTGGAGACACAGAGAAGCCTCCAGGTAACCGTAACAACTCGCTAAAAGAATGCAAGTGACCAGCTGTCTGCAAGGAGTATAAATCCTTCCATTCCCCAACATCCAGTCAGAACTGAAGAAGCTTCTTGGATGAGAAGCGAAACGTCTTCAAAGAAAAACAAGAAAGTCCCGTTGCCTCTGGAAAAAAGCATCTTTGGGATGGTTTCATTAATTTTCCCCTTGGCTCACTTCCAAAGTTGCAATAGAGTTGATTACAAAATTTGGGGGTTCAGATCGAACATCTTTAGCCTAATCCCATGGTGGCGAACCTATGGCACGCGTGTCAGAGGCGGCACTCGGAGCCTTCTCTGTGGGCACACGTGCCGTTGCCCCAGCCTTGCCTCCGCCTATGACCGCCTTCTCACCAGCAGGCTCCCTGGAGGAGAGTTGCCTCTGAGCATGGCCCATGCAGAGCAGCCACAGCCAAGGACATGGCAGCTTGGCAGTGTAGACAAGACTCATGCCCCAACGTGGACAGTTGATGCTGTGGGGCGTGGTCAGAGGGTGTGGCTGCCATGGCGCTGCTGGGTGCCTGGGTGATCTGTGGTGGGCCCTGGAGGCCATGAGTGGCCCTGTGGGCAGACAGGGTGGGGCGGAGCGGGGGCGGGGCAGGGGGTGGAGCAGGGACGGGGTCACTTTTGGGGCACTCGGTCTCTAAAAGGTTCGCCATCACTAACCTAATCCATTTAGGACATGCCTCTTTCTCTTTTCTCTCTCTCTCTCCTTCCAGAATTTGGCCATGCAGGTCCAGGAGTCCTTAGCCAAGGCTAACGAGGTCGCAATGGAGACCTTCCAGGCCATCTCCACCGTCCGCAGCTTTGCCAACGAGGACGGCGCGGCTCAGCGCTATGAAAAGAAGTTGGAAGAGACCTACCAGCTCAACAAGAAGGAGGCCGTGGCCTACGGTGCCTCCCTGGGGGTTCCTGAGGTAAAGATGCAGACCTGGGTGGGAGAGACTGAGAGAAATGCTTGGGGCTCCTTGGAGGGTGAGGTAGTGCGGGCTGCACAACTTCCGACACCCAAAGGATGATGCCAGATTTTATGTGACACCTGGAGCTTTGTGCCTCCAAAGCAAGTGGGGCTGACTATTTTGGATAGATTTAGATTTAGATCTACTGTCTGTCTGTCTGTCTGTCTACCTACCTACCTACCTACCACCTATCTGTCTGTCTATCATCTATCTATCTACCTACCTATCATCTATCTGTCTGTCTATCTATCTATCTATCATCTATATCATCTATATCTATCTATCCATCTATCCATCTATCTACCTATCATCCATCCATCTGTCTATCTGTCTATCAATCTATCTACCTACCTACCTACCTATCATCTATCTATATCTATCTATCATCCATCTATCTATCTATCTATCTATCTATCTATCTATCTATCTATCTATCTATCTATCTATCTATCATCTATCTACCTACCTACCTATCATCTATCTGTCTATCTATCTATCATCTATATCATCTATATCTACCTATCTACCTATCATCCATCCATCTGTCTGTCTGTTTATCTGTCTATCAATCTAAATACCTACCTATCTACTTACCTATCATCTATCTATATCTATCATCTTTCTATCATCTATCTATCTGTCTGTCTATCTGTCTGTCTATCTATCTATCTATCTATCTATCTATCTATCTATCTATCTATCTATCTATCTATCTATCTAATTTACCAGCTGCTCATTTCACTCTTGGGGGTGGGGGAAAAATATTCCAAAAGGAATGCGCCTTCACTTGGCCAACTAGAATTCCCTGGCCGATGAGGCCCGCATCATGCTTCCTCTGCTGTCCCAAGTGGGGTAGACCAATCCCGTGTTTGGGACCGGAGTGTCTGCAGCATTTGTTCAAAAATGTCAAAAGTGGTTCTGGTTGCCATCTTGACTTGTTTTACCACACTGACTGGACCTAGCAGTGAGGATTTAGTTAAGGCACTTACTTTCTCTCTTAAACCTACCGGGCTATGCTAAAATCTCTGGGCACTGTCTCTGATGTAGGGCAGGGGTCCCCAAACTTGGTAGCTTTAAGACTTGTGGACTTTAACACCCAGAATTCCTCAGCCAACATGGCTGGCTGAGGAATTCTGGGAGTTGAAGTCCACAACTCTTAAAGTTGCCAAGATTGGAGAACTCTGGTGTAGGGGATTAAGATACCGGGGTAGAAAAATTAGGAGACTGCAAGTGTTAGTCCTGTCTGAAGTCCCAGTTGGGCCAGTCCCTCTCTCTCAGCACTAAGAAGACGCAGGCAATGGCAAAGAAGACGTCTGGAGCTTGTTAGTTGCCAGGAATTAAAACTGACTCAAAGACACAAAAAAAATCTCAAAACTGTGGGAGCCTGGGAAGATATGGAAGCAGGCAGCATACTGACATACCGTATATTCCGGCGTATAAGACGACTTTTGAGAGCGTTGAAACAGCCTCCAAACTCGTGGGTCGTCTTATACGCCGAGTCGTCTTATATGCCGGAAATAAGGTAGTTTCTGGCGTATAAGACGACTTTCTAGGCATGCGACTCAACGTCGATCGTCTTATACGCCGGAAATAACGTAGTTTCCGGCATATAAGATGACTTTCTAGGCATGTGACGACTCGGCCGGTAGTTTCCGGCATGTAAGATGACTTTCTAGGCATGCGACTCGGCATCGATCGTCTTGCGACCTGGCATCGAACTCGGGGGTCGTCTTATATGCTGGGTTGCCCTATACACCAGAATATACGGTACCTTTGCTTCCCTGAGGACGTAGGAGAGAGTTTCACACTAATAAAGGAGAATATTGGTAGCTCAGGTTGAAATGAGGAGTCCCTGGTGCTCTCTGAGCTTGGTTGTTTTCTTGCAGACGTTTCATTACCCAACTGAGTAACATCATCCAGTCTAGTGATCAGTGCTAGTACTGATGACATCACCTAGTTGGGTAATGAAATGTCTTCAAGAAAACAACCCAGCTCAGAGAGCACCAAGGACCCCACAGTCCTCCTCCTCCACTATCTCCTCTACCACCTCCTCCTCCCTCTCCTCTCTGCACACCCCACTCCCTTCTAGTACTGATGACGTCACCTAGATGGGTAATGAAACGTCTGCAAGGAAACAACCCAGCTCAGAGAGCACCAAGGACCCCACAGTCCTCCTCCTCCACTATCTCCTCCACCACCTCCCTCTCCTCTCTGCACACCCAACATCCTTCCAGTACTGATGATGTCACCTAGTTGGGTAATGAAACGTCTGCAAGGAAACAGCCCAGCTCAGAGAGCACCGAGGAGTTTCATACTAATCCCCCCCCCTTTTTTTTCTCCTGCAGATCTTACAGCTGATCCTCAAAGTGGGGATTCTCTATTATGGGGGACACCTGGTCACTCAAGGGAAGTTGAGTGGTGGAGCTCTTGTTACCTTTGTCCTGCAGGAGAGTGAGCTGTCCACAGTGATGGAGGTAAGTTTTGTGACTGTGACTGGCCCAGCACCGGGGGAAGAAACCCGGCCTCGTGCCTGGAAGCAAGGAACGGTGTGAAGACCCTTCCTCAAAATATGTCCCACAACACCTGTTTCCTGTGTCTCCTAGGTCCTCATTAGGTCTTACCCCTCTGTGCAAAAAGCCGTAGGTTCATCAGAAAAGGCTTTTCAGTATATGGACCGGACACCCCAAATCAAGGCCTCGGGAACTTTGGCGCCCGCAAATTTAAAAGGACACATGAAGCTTGAAAACGTTTGGTTCTCCTACCCCAGCAATGGCAACTCTCCAGTCCTGAAGGTTGGTGATGGGGACTGGATTCTGAGAAGGGTGTGGGATCAAGAATGGATATGAGGAGAACTGCCTATGACCGAGTCCCTACTATCCTACGATCACTTAACTCTGTTACTGAATAACCCTGATAATCTGGGTTAGGCCAATTCACAACAGAATAACAGAACTGGAACAGACCGTGGAGATCTTCTAGTCCAGCGGTTCTCAACCTTTGTGTGACGGCGACCCCCGCGCGGCGCGGTGCGCATGCGCGGTGGCGCCCCCTGAGGGGGAAAATGGCGGATCACGTTGTTTGGCGACCCCCGTAAAATGGTCGTTTGACCCCAAATGGGGTCGCGACCCATAGGTTGAGAACCGCTGTTCTAGTCCAACACTCTGCTCAAGCAGGAGACCCTACAGCAGGGGTAGGCAATCTTGGCTCTTTTATGACTCGTGGACTTCAACTCCCAGAATTCCTGAGCCAGCCATGTTGACTGGCTCAGGAATTCTGGGAGTTGAAGTCCACGAGTCATAAAAGAGCCATGGTTGCCTACTCCTTGCCCTAGACCATTTCAAACCAATGGCTGTCCATTCTCTTCTTAAAAACTAGCGACGGAGCACCCACAACCTCTGGAGGCCAAGATGAAATTACAAACCAGTCAAATGGGTTGAATTCACGCAACTTAACTAAGCCAAGTTTAAAGGGAACCGAGGTTTTCATCTTGTGGGTCATACATTGACTCGGTCAAGGATGTTGTGTGAATGCAGCCAGAGAAAATCAGAATGTAGCTGAGGTCAGGAGATGAAACTCCAGTTATTTCTCTCCAGGAGAGTTGATGAAACCTGTATGGAAATCTGTAGGGCAGTGGTTCTCAACCTTTTTAATGCCGCGACCCCCAACCGGTCGTAAGTCAAGGACTACTCAACCAGTCGTAAGTCGAGGGCTACTCAACTGGTGCAGCACCGTTTGCAGAATGGGACTTTTGGCGGGCTCAGCAGGGCAGAGACAGCCTGGACAATCTCCTATTGGCTTTTGAAAGCCAATAGAATTAGACTCTATTCAAGAGAGTCTATTCTATTGGCTTTCAAAAGCCAATAGAATAAAAGGGAGTAGCACAGCTAAGGAAAAGGGGAAAAAAATGGCGGACTGGGTTGTTTGGCGACCCCCGTGAAATGGTCGTTTGACCCCAAATGGGGTCCCAACCCACAGGTTGAGAACCACTGCTGTAGGGTCTGTAAAAAAAATAAATAAATAAAGCTTCCTTAAAGGTGAACACAACTCATGGTGATTTTAAAGATGCATTTGTAGTGTTATCTTGGCAACCATATGGGATGTTTTGTCAATGTTCCAGTCCTAGTCTACAGCCCTTGGACTTCCTAGTAGTCTCCCGTCCAGGTATTGGCCAGAGCCAACCTAGATTAGCTTTTTGAGGTCACCCAAGTCTAACTTGGCTTAATGGGATTTAACTCAGTTTCAACGGTCAGAGATGCTCAGTGCCCAATCTGGGAGCCCAAGGCCATTTTGTAGTCTTATTCATCTCCGTGTTCAGATTCTAGCCAAATAATAATAATAATAATAGTAATAAAGTTGGAAGGGACCTTGGAGGTCATCTAGTCCAACCCCCTGCTCAGGCAGGAAACCCTACACCATTTAGGACAAATGGCTGTCCAGTCTCTTCTTAAAAACTTCCAGTGTTGGAGCATTTGCCGCTTCTGGAGGCAGGTTGTTCCACTGGCTAATTGTTCTAACTGTCAGGAAGTTTCTCCTTAGTTCTAGGTTGCTTCTCTCCTTGATTACTTTCCATCCGTTGCTTTTTGTCCTGCCTTCAGGCGCTTTGGAAAATAGCTTGACTCCCTCTACTTTGTGGCAGCCCCTGAGATATTGGAAGACTGCTATCATGTCCCTCCTTGTCCTGCTCTTCATTAAACTAGACATACCCAATTCCAGCAACCGTTCCTTATATGTTTTAGCCTCCAATTGACTCCGTCATCAGTGCTGGCCAAAGGAGAGAGCATCCAGCAATACATATCAAAGCCGAAGACTAACTTAGGAAGCAAAGGGGAAGGAGGGACAGATCTTAGTCGTCTCCTTGTTAATAGTTTCTGCTCAGAGAAAGAAATAAGCCAATAGGCAGCCCAGCAAAGGTGAAGAGAACTATTCAACGATGGGGGTCTACCGTGAGCTTGTTGCAATACTGTCCCATCCATCCCAGCCATTGCCGGAGCCAAAACTGCAGTCTGAAAGTGAAGTGTTAATACCATTTTACAATGCCTTGGTAATGCCACGCTTGGAATACTGCATCCAGTTTTGGTCACCACGATGTAAAAAAAGGTGTTGAGACTCTAGAAAGAGTACAGAGAAGAGCAACAAAGATGATTAGGGGACTGGAGGCTAAAACATACAAGAAACAGTTGCTGGAATTGGGTGTGTCTAGTTTAACGAAGAGAAGGACAAGGGGCGACATGATAGCAGTGTTCCAATATCTCAGGGGCTGCCACAAAGAAGAGGGAGTCAAGCTATTCTCCAAAACACCTGAAGGCAGGACAAGAAGCAACGGGTGGAAACTAATCAAGGAGAGAAGCAACCTAGAACTAAGGAGAAACTTCCTGACAGTGAGAACAATTAATCAGTGGAACAACCTGCCTCCAGAAGCAGTAAATGCTCCAACACTGGAAGTTTTTAAGAAGAGACTGGACAGCCATTTGTCCGAAATGGCGTAGGGTTTCCTGCCTAGCAGGGGGTTGGACTAGATGACCTCCAAGGTCCCTTCCAACTTTATTATTATCTCTTAAGTTGGATAGAATTGATACCCGGTGTTTCTCTTCTTCCAGGGAGTGTCTTTAGAGCTGATTCCTGGTACTGTGACTGCCTTGGTGGGCCCCTCTGGGTCCGGGAAGAGTACGGTGGTGGCCTTGCTCCAGAGGTTTTACGAGCCCAACCAAGGACAGGTGGTGCTGGACGACGAGAACTTGAGCGAATACGAGCATCACTTCCTGCATCAAAAGGTAAAGGATGCCATCTAGTAAAGGCAGGTGGCCGAGACAGGTGGTCCTCATTTTTACAACCATGACTGAGCCCAGCATTATTGCCACTAAGCAAGACAGTCCAGTAAGCTGCGCCCCATTTTATGACCTTTTTGCCACCATCGCTAAGTGAATCGTGCAATCATTAAGTAAACCGGGCTTACCCCCTTTGGCTTTGCTTTGGGTCGGTATATTCCGTGTTTCCCCGAAAATAAGACCCAGCTGGAAAATAAGCCCTAGCGCTCCTAATATAAGCCCCACCAAAAATAAGCCCCCAGTTCAGATAGTCAGCCAGCCAGACCGCATTTAGTACCGTATTTTCCCGAATGTAAGCCCTAGCCAGAAAATAAGCCCTAATGCATCTTGTGGAGCAAAAATTAATATAAGACCTGGACTTATTTTCAGGAAAACACGGTACGTGTATTTGTGTATGTGTATGTGTGTGTGTATGTATATGTGTGTGTGTGTGTGTGTGTGTGTGTGTGTGTATGTTTTCTGAGGTTTTCGCGGGTGTTTGTATGTAGGTCTTTGGTTATTCGGGTTTTCTCCCACGTAAAATTGGAAGTGTCTTGGCAACGTTTCAACAAAGTCCCATTCGTCATCTTCAGGCTGGTGTTTTCAGCTTTGTGCTTCGAGGAGCAAGTATGTATGTATGTATGTATGTATGTATATGCAGGGCTTTTTTGTCATAGAACAAGAATGGAGTTCCGGCACCTTTTTTGGATGGACTCTTGTATGGTAAGCAAGGCAGGTTGTATGACGTATGTGAGTTCCGGCACTTTTTTTTTTTTTTCAAAAAAACCCCACTGTGTATATGTATGTATGTATGTAGGTCATCTAGTCCAATCCTCTGCTCAGGCAGTAAAAAACGTTACTGAACTCCGGGATAAATATAAAGACAAACTGTTTTATTACTAAGCTTTCATCGGTCCTCTGCCAAAGGTTTGGCTAGCCTGCTTATATCGATCTCCTCATGAAACAAGTAATTGGTCCCTCCTCCCCTCGCCCCCCCAGTCTGTCTTATTGCTCCTACTTGCGTGGCATCTGCCTGTTCCGCTCGTATGCAGCTGCTCAATCACGGCAACAACTTAACTGAGACTACAAGACAAGAAAGTCCAGAGGATGATTCGGCAATGACGTTGAGCAGCTGCATACGAGTGGAACGGACAGAAAGAAGGAGGGCAGGCGGGGGGGGAGAAAAAGCGCCAGGATTTAAAAGCACACAGGCAGACGCGACGTCGGCAGAGGACCGTCGAAAGCTTAGTAATAAAACAGTTTGTTTTTATATTGATCCGGAGTTCAGTAATGTTTTCTATTGCTAGTATGAGTATACCTGGGATTCGAGTTTTTAAGATTATCAGAGACGTGTGTGTGTGTGTGTGTGTGTGTGTGTGTGTGTGTGTGTGTTTCTGTGCGTGTTTGTGCGTGGATGCTTGCATACCTATAGCATGTGTATATGTGTGGTACATATGTGTATAGCAGTGGTTCTCAACCTTTCTAATGCCGCGAGCCCATAATACAGTTCCCCATGTTATGGTGACCCCCAACCACTTATACATCACCGGGTGCCAGGGGCGTGGCCAAAGAAAAGGAGAAAAAATGGCGGACAGCCTTGTTTGGCGACCCCCATGAAATGGTCGTTCGACCCCAAATGGGGTCCCGACCCACAGGTTGAGAACCACTGGTGTATAGGTATATATATTTTTTCTTCCAAAAGCAGGCAACAGAATTTCATTTTTAATGTGGGCCAGTATGCTCATACTGATAGGAAAAAAATGAAGGTTATCTTACCTTGTCAGAACCTGGCTGGGAAGTTAAAAATGATGTCCACATGACCCCAGGACAGTGCAACTGTCATAAATACATCCCAGTTGCCAAGCACCTGAATTTTGATCACGTGACCATGGGGGGGATACCGCAGTGGTCACAAGTGTGAAAATTGGTCATAAGTCATTTTTCTTCAGTGCCATTGTAACAAATATTTGTAATTTGAGGACTTACTTATATTACAGTTTCCAAAGTTGGGGAAATGAGTGTTGCTTTGATTGGGATCGCCGTAAACTAGATAAAATAACATTTATTGTCTTTTTTTTTTACCATGGGCACCCTGGCACACATTAAAAATGAAATTCTGTTGCCTGCTCTCAAAAGTGTACACCCATATAAACATGCTATATACATACATACATACATAGATACATAGATACACACATACACTTCTGTCAGCTGACAGAAGTGAGGCGAGCCTGTGGCCTAAAGCAGAGGTGGCGAACCTATGGCATGCGTGCCAGAGGGGGCCCTCAGAGCCGTCTCTGTGGGCACGCGAGCCATCACCCCAGCCCTGCCTCCCCTTGCAGCCCCCTCCTCACCATCAGCCCCCCGGAGGAGAGTCACCCCCAGGCGCAGCCCATGCAGAGCAGCATAGCCATGGACATGGCAGCTGAGCAGTGAGGACGAGACTCCACCCTTGCACCCCATCACTTATAGATGATGCTGTGGGGTGCAGGTGGAGGGCGTGGCCACCATGGTGCCACTGGGCCGCCTGGGCAATCAGCTGTGGCGGGCCATGGAGGCGGCGGGTGGCCCTGTGGGCAGACGGGGGCGGACGGGGGAAGGTTTTGGGCACTCAGTCTCTAAAAGGCTTGCCATCACTGGCCTAGAGGTTAATACAGCTGCCTAATATGCAAGGAGCCCAAGTTCGAATCTCAGAAGGGTATGGCTAGCTGATAAGAGCTAAATAACTCGAAATAGCTATACTAGTCTCCCTTTAACTTTTTGTCGGCAAAATACAAATTGAATACATACATACGTATATACCTACACCCTTACACATAAATAACATATAAATATTAATCCTTTTCCATCTTGCGTACGTAGCGGAAAGAGGAAGCTTGAGAGTTCACAAGGTTGATAACTGTATGGAACAAAACTGGGACTGAATCGGGAGCTTCTGCTTCCAAACTCCGCTTGGAATAATCAAGCGCCTTGTTTTTTTTCCCCTCCTGGTAGGTGGCGCTGGTGAGCCAAAATCCCATACTCTTTGCCCGATCCTTGCGTGCCAACGTCGCCTATGGCTTGGAAGACCAAAGTCAAGAGAAGGTGATCCAGGCTACTCAGCGAGTGGGAATCCATCGATTCATCTCCACAATGAGCCACGGCTACGACACAAGTAAAGGAGTCCACGTATCTCTGGCAAGGGGTTGACTGCAAGGGTGTCCGTGGCTGATTAAAGAGGGTCACGTGGCAGTTGTCAAGGAATGGAAAACATCTGGGGTGGGGGGGTCCTTGGCGCTTTCTGAGCAAGGTTGTTTTCTTGCAGATGTCTCATTGCCCAAATTACAGGTAGTCCTTGACTTACAAGTTCGCTTAGCGACCGTTCAAAGTTATGACGACACCGAAAAAAGTGTCTTATGGCCATTTTCCACACTTACGGCCTTTTGGAGCATCCCCATGGTCACGTGATCAAAATTCAGACAACTTGGCAACTGGCTCATATTCAGACTCTTATTTATTTATTTGTATAGATTGTATTAGTTTTTATGGGGTTAGGAATAAGGTGGGGCCGGGGTTGGGGTTTTTCCAAGTAACATTCTCAATATTGAGCAAACAGCATAATGTCTGGGTTCGTGTGTTTAACAAACAATAATAGATAATAGTTAATGATCGTCAATATGTTAATTAGTCACTCAGTAGCCTTCTTCTTGCTAATATGTATTCAAAGTTACATACCACATTCCTTTCTCTGTAACTCACCTTTCTAGCCATTGATAGAAATTATCCCATGTTCGAAAGCACACTAAGTCTTCTTTCTCTTTTATCTTTAAAGTCAATCTGTCCATTTCTGCACACTCTAGCACAGTGGTGGCGAAGCTATGGCACGCATGCCAGAGGCGGCACTCAGAGCCCTCTCTGTGGGCACGCTCGCCATGCCCCGGAGATGGCAACTGTCCCTCTTCAACCAGCCGCCCACTAACTCACTGAGGTCCTACATGGCTGGATGCATCCCAGCTGTAAAGCGTTATGAAGCGGTGTATACATCTTAACTGCTGTTGCTGTGATGGTTGCAGTGTCCTGGGTTCGTGTGATCCCCTTTTGGGACCTCCTGACAAGCAAAGTCAATGGGGGATCCAGATCCAATGGACAACCAGGTTACTACCTTGACAACTGCAGTGATCCATTGTGGCAAGAAAGGTCATAAAATGGAACAAAACTCATTTAACAACTGTCTCACTTAGCAACAAAAATGTTGGACTCAGATGGCCTTAGGTTGAGGACTGTGTGTAGGGTGGGTAGTGGAAACATCTGCAAGAAAACAACCATGCTCGGAGAGTATCCAGGACCCCTCCCATTTCAATCCTGACCCACAGATGAAGAAGATGATGATGATAATAATTAATAATAATAATAAAGTTGGAAGGGACCTTGGGGGTCATCTAATCCAACCCCCCTGCTCAGACAGGAAACTCTACATCATTTCAGACAAATGGCTGTCCAGTCTCTTCTTAAAAACTTCCAGTGTTGGAACATTCACTACTTCTGGAGGCAGGTTGTTCCACTGATCAATTGTTCTTAACGATCAGGAAGTTTCTCCTTGGTTCTAGGTTGCTTCTCTCTTTGGTCAGTTTCCATCTGTTGCTTTTTGTCCTGCCCTCAGGCGCTTTGGAGAATAGCTTGACTCCCTCTTCTTTGGGGCAACCCCTGAAATATTGGAAGACTGCTATCATGTCCCCCCTCGTCCTTCTCTTCATTAAACTAGACATGCCCAATCCCAGCAGCCGTTCCTTATATGCTTTAGCCTCCAGTCCCCTCATCATCTTTGTTGCTCTTCTCTGCACTCTTTCTAGAGTCTCAACATCTTTTTTACATCGTGGTGACCAAAACTGGATGCAATATTCCAAGTGTGGCCTTACCAAGGCAGTGTAAAGGGGGGATTAACACTTCACGTGATCTTGATTCTATCCCTCTGTTAATGCAGCCTAGCACTGTGTTGGCCTTTATTGGAAAAAAAACACATCTGTCTGTGGCTCTGTGGAGCTTTGAGCACAAGGAAGAGGCAGGATTAGGCCTGATGAGTTGCCGTGTTCCACCACCCTGCCAGCTATTGGACCGGATGGCGAAAAAATTGTTCCGGATGTGATGTAAAAAGGGAGAGTCACTATTCCAGAACTAAGCTATTAGGGCAGGGGTCTTCAAACTTGGCCCTTCTGTGACTGGTGGACTTCAACTCCCAGAATTCCTCAGCCAGGCACATGTGCCTGGCTGAAGAATTCTGGGAGTTGAAGTCCACCAGTCACAGGGCCAAGTTTGAAGACCCCTGTATTAGGGGATCAACAAAGCAGTTGTTAGAATTAAAATGGACAAGCGGAAAGTTTGGGAGTGTCCGATTGCAGAATGCCTCCATTTCCGTCTCTTCCTGCAGGTGCCGGGGAAGCAGGCAAGCTGATTTCTGGGGGGCAGAAGCAAGCGATCGCTCTCGCCCGAGCGTTGATCCGCAACCCCACAGTGCTGATTTTAGATGATGCCACCAGTGCCCTGGACGCGGAGAGCCAGCAGCAGGTGAGAAGGCTGGGCACGAGGGGGAGAAACCTTCTGAGAAGACAAATTAGGGACAGACTCTAAGAAGCAAAGGAAAGAGGAAGTGGCCTAACCTTCAGAAGAATTCTGTGGGGTTTCCGTTAAACCACCGCAAGATTTCCGAACAGGAAAAGGCTTGCTGCTTGGCCCAGCTGGGCTCAGGGTAGCAGGTGGAACTGAGAGAGACCCTCCCCAGTTTCCACTGGAATTCTATATTGGGGGCAGAGAGAAGGGAGGGGGTATTGGAGGGTTAGCAGCCCCAAACAAACCTGAAAACAGGAGGAAGAAGAATCTTATGTTCACTGTATCTTAATAATAAATAATAAAAGCAGGAGAGAGAGAGAGAGAGAGAGAGAGAGAGAGAGAAGAAGAGATGATAAATGGTGATGGATGAGAGATGAGAGATATAAAGACAGATGAGAGAGATGATAAGATAGAGAGAGAAAGACAGATGAGCGAGATGATACATGAGAGAAAGATAGATGAGAGAAAAAAGAGATGATAAAGATAGTGATAGACATTAGATAAACATAGAGGATAGATGAGAGATTAAAGAGATTGATAGAGTAAGAGATGATAGAGAAAAAAATGATAGATGGTGATGGATGATAGAGAGGAGATAGAAAGATAAAGAGATGATATATTAGAGAGATAGATAGATAGTGATAGAGAGAGTGATAGAGTGATAGACAGATGAGATGAAAGATATAATAAATTAGAGAGATGATAGAGAGAGATGATACATGAAAAAGATAGATGAGAGAGAAAAGAGAGATGATAGAGAGTGATAGATGATAGACAGATGATAGAGGATAGATGATAGAAAGATAGATGATAGAATGAGACAGATGAGAGATGAAAGAGAGATTGATAGAGTAAGAAATGATAGAGAAAAGATAGAGAGAAAGATGATAGATAGGTGATAGATGATAGAGTGATAGACAGTGGTAGATGATACATGAGAAAGATAGATGAGAGAGAAAACATGATAGAAATAGTGATAGATGATAGATAAACATAGATGATAGAAAGATAGAGAGAATGAGAGAATGAGAGATGAGAGAGAGAGAGAGAGAGAGAGAGAGAGAGAGAGAGAGGATACACAGATCAAGTAAATCTTGATTTTCTTTATATCAGAAGAGCGATAGCTTACTTCCTGTAGGAAAGCTAGCCTGCCTATCCTCCTTCAAGTCTGCCTTCTCTCAGGGTCCTTCTATATACAATTGAGCCCAAAATTTCTGTTGCTAAGTGAGACAGTTGTTATTAAATGAGTTCTACTCCATTTTATGACCTTTCGTGCCACAACGGTTAGGTGAATCCCTGTAGTTCTTAAGTCAATCAAATGGTTGTTAAGTTAGGTGAGGGTTAGTAAGGTTAGGGTTCCCCATTGACTTGGGTTGTCAGAAGGTCGCAAAAGGGGATCACATGACCCGGGGCAGGGGTAGGCAACCTTGGCTCTTTTATGACTCGTGGACTTCATCTCCCAGAATTCCTGAGCCAGCTCAGGAATTCTAGGAGTTGAAGTCCACGAGTCATAAAAGAGCCAAGGTTGCCTACCCCTCACCTGGGGACACTGCAACCTTCATAAATACGAATCAGTGGCCAAGCGTCTGAATTTTGATCACGTGACCACGGAGATGGTGTAACAGTCATCAATATGAAAGCAGTCAGACGTCCCTTTTTTCAGGGCCGTTGCGACTTCAAAACGGCCACTAAACAAACTGTTCAAAGTCGAGGACTTCAGCCTGCCACCTTGGCAGCTTGAAGTTGAGTGGACTTCAACGCCCAGAATTCCCCAGCCAAGATGGCGGTCCACACCTCTTCAAGCTGCCAAGATGGAGGAAGACTTCGTAGGAGAGGCGATGAAGCAAGCGTGGGAGTTGTAGTTAATGGCGAGTGAGGTGCTTTTTTAAAAAAAAATTTTTTTCCCGATGCCCAACTTGTTTATTTTCTCTCTGACCCAGCCTTGTGGGTTCCCCCCTCTTTTTTTCTGCCTTTCTAACCTTTTCTTCTCTTTTGGACACATTTTTGGCCTCACGTAGCTGGAGAAAGAAATCTACGACGGGGAAGCTCGCGGCAGCCGTTCCGTTCTCCTGATCTCGCACCGGCTTCGCAACGTGAAGCGGGCTAATCTCATCCTGGTCATGGAAGACGGGGAGATCCGTGAGAAGGGGACCTACCGGGAGCTGGAAGACAAGAAGGGCCTCTTCTGGCAACTGCTGCAGAAGCAGCCCAATGGGGCAGAGGGGGGCAGGAACAGCAGCCCCAATGGGAACAACAGGCATTGATAACCGGCAGCGTGAAAACAGGCAGGTGTTCCGGTCTGGATCCCGAAACAGCATCTGTCGCTCCTTGTGAGGCTGGTACAATAGAGAGAAGACTCAGCAACACGACACTCTCGTTAAAGATTGACAATTGGTCATTCCGACAATTCTAAAACTGCTGTTTAGAAATCACAGTTTAAATGATGTGACGTCTGTGACAGCAGGAAACATTTTTTTGAGGGGGGGGAGGTGTTCATAGTTTAAGATGGCAGCAGGCACGCTGGCTGAGGACTTCTGGGAGTTGAAGTCCATGAGTCATAAAATGGACCATGTTTGAAGACCCTGCTCTTGATGGTTGATCGTAAAAATCAGAAACTGCTCACCCCTTCAATATCTTCCTTATTCGTTCTGAGGCGGGTTGTCTCAACTGTTGTTATTAGTTTGATGCTCTTTATACATTTAATCTTTTTTCCCCCAGCCTATTGGCTTTGACCTTGACTTTTATTACTGGAACTCACCGATCATTTGTATTTTTGGCTATCAGGGTAGTGTTATCAGCCTAGTGCAGATTATTGTGGTCTCTTCTTCCCTGTTTGAGCCCAAATTTCTTCCGCTGCGACCGTTGGTACCGGAAAAAACCAGCAAATCTTAAGTATTGGATCACCCAGCCAACGGCAGAAGAGAATGTCATTGCGTCAGCAGTTGCTAGGTAGCTTCAGTTGCGGAGGGTTACAGCTAGTGGGATTTCCCTTGACAGCTATGGAGAAGCTTAGAGGCGCCCCCTGGAGGTAGAGAGATGCAACAAAGTGGCCGTGGCGGGAATCTCGGCTTTTTCCAGGAAAAGAGGAGCAACATCAAGCAACGGGGATGGAGTCAGTGGCAATTGGGGGCGTCGTGGGAAGAGTTGAAGCATGAGGCAAGGGACGGATAATCCTGGAGAAACTCTGTGTGGCCCATAAGAGTCAATAATGACTTGATCGCACACAATCAATCTATCAGCTGATAGTAGAATCTATCAATCGATAGATGGATATCTATCCATCGATCGATCGGTGCAGGGGGTCTTCAAACCTGGCCCTTTTATGACTTATTCAAGTTGCCAGTTGCCTCTGAAAAAGCATCTTTTGGGAATCTGGGAGTTGAAGTCCAGAAATCTTAAAATTATAATAATAATAATAATAATAATAATAATAATAATAGTAGTAGTAGTAGTAGTAAAGTTGGAAGGGACCTTGAAGGTCATCTAGTCCAACCCCCTGCTCGGGCAGGAAACCCTACACCATTTTGGACAAATGGCTGTCCAGTCTCTTCTTAAAAACTTCCAGTGTTGGAGCATTTACTGCTTCTGGAGGCAGGTTGTTCCACTGGTTCATTGTTCTCACTGTCAGGAAGTTTCTCCTTAGTTTTAGGTTGCTTCTCTCCTTTTGCCAAGGTTGGAGAACTCTGCCTTAGTGAGGAGACCTTGGTGCTATGACCTTCAGAGGTAAATGCTTCCTTGAGACCAGCTTGGACACTGGGTGTCTTCTGGGAGGATGCCAGCCCAGCTCCTCCTTTTGTGAGCTTGCCTCTAATTCAGGGCTGTCTCTGCTACGGAGTGAGGCAGCTTCCTGATCTGAAAGATTTAGGCAAGTCAGACGTTAGAGGACTTTGCCCTCAAGCCAGGCAGAGAGGATTAAAACAGGCAAGATGGCATTCGCGCATTTGAAGCCTGTTCTCTCTCTTTTTTGGGGGCATGGATGCCACTAAACCTTGGGCACAGCTCCTCCACTGCCAGCTTCAGCTCTAGCAAAAGATGTCAATGCCAAAGTTATTAAGTCAGACTACCATCTTCAGAGTTAGTCCGCGTCTTTTCTTCGCCTAAAAGTTGTAAAATGGTTTGGATTCCATTCTTTTTTACCTTTGCTTTCCTCCTCTCCTAGCTGACCAGATCACATATTCGTATTTTGGGACCTTCTAATTTTGTGGCTCACGTGGGAGTTGTAACCCAGATTGGGGAAGGGTTTTCCATTGGTCCAAATTTTGAAAGCCAAAAGAGGCTCCTGCAATGAAGGGGCTGGTCTGGGTTCAGACTTAAATCAACAAGTTCACAATTGTTTTCTAGTGCACAAAAAAAAATGTATTTGTATATTTTAAAATAAATGCATGTCTAACATTTGCTGGTTTTTTTTAACTGCATCTATCATTGAATTTAATGTTTTTCACACTAATACAGTGGTTCTCAACCTGTGGGTCAGGACCCCATTTGGGATCGAACGACCATTTCATGGGGGTCGCCAAACAACGCAGTCCGCCATTTTTTCCCCCTTTTCCTTAGCTGTGCTACTCCCTTTTATTCTATTGGCTTTTGAAAGCCAATAGAATAGACTCTCTTGAATAGAGTCTAATTCTATTGGCTTTCAAAAGCCAATAGGAATTGTCCAGGCTGTCTCTGCCCTGCTGAGCCCGCCAAAAGTCCCATTCTGCAAACGGTGCTGCACCAGTTGAGTAGTCCTTGACTTACAACCGGTTGAGTAGTCCTCAACTTACGACCGGTTGGGGGTCGCGGCATTAAAAAGGTTGAGAACCACTGCACTACTAGGACGATTATATCAGAGTTCCCCAATCTTTCGGGATTGGTGGCCCTGGGAAGGGGGAAAGAAGGGATGGTGTTGTGATGATGGTGTTCTCAGTCATCCAGGTCACGGTTATGCCAAAGGTGCTTTTTCAGGAGGCAAAACTGGGCTTCCTTGTTAGTTTATTTTTAAGACATTTCGCTTCTCATCCCAGAAGCTTCCTCAGCTCTAACTGGATGGTGGCTTCAACCTCTCAAAAGCGAGGCAAGTGACCAGCTGTCTGCAAGGAGTATAAGTCCTTCCACTTCCCCACGATCCCAGTCAGAGCTGTAGAAGCTCCTTGGATGAGAAGCGAAATGTAATAATAATAATAATAATAGAAGAAGAAGAAGAAGAAGAAGAAGAAGAAGAAGAAGAAGAAGAAGAAGAAGAAGAAGAAGAAGAAGAAGAAGAAGAAGAAGAAGAAGAAGAAGAAGAAGAAGAAGAAGAAGAAGAAGAAGAAGATCGCACAGACTGACTACAAGCTGCGGCATGACAAAGTAGCAACAACGATGCATTGGAAGATCTGCAAGAAATATCATTTGCCTATAAGGAAGAACTGGTGGGATCATAAAATAAAGTCATAGAAAATGATAAAATGAAACTGCCCTGGTACTTCAGAATTCAAACAGACAAGCACCTGCAACATAACACCCCAGACTTAACAACTGTCGATAAGAAAGGCAAAAAAAGTTTGGATAGTGGACATGGCAGTGCCTGGAGACAGCAGAATAGACGAGAAAGAACTGGAGAAGATAACAAAATACAAAGACCTACAAATAGAAATAGAAAGACTGTGGCAAAAGCAAGCAAGGGTAGTACCAATAGTGATAGGCTCCTTGGGTGCAATCCCAAAACAACTGGAGCACCACTCGAACACCATTGGCATTGACAAATTCGCTATTAGTCAATTGCAAAAGACGTCCTTATTAGGAACTGCTTCCATCCTGTGATGATATCTGTAATACCATCAAACATCCACATCTGCCTATCCCAGGTCCTTGGTCAGGACCCGATAAGTAGACAAAAATGCCAAATCCAGTCTGAACATCTGGCTGACTGCGATGATTAATAATAATAATAATAATAATAATAATAATGCCGCCTTTTGCAATTGACAAATTTGCTATTAGTCAATTGCAAAAAGCGGCCTTACTAGGAACTGCTTCCATCCTGCGACGATATCTGTAATACCATCAAACATCCACATCTGCCTATCCCAGGTCCTGGGTAAGGACTCGATAGGTAGACAAAATGCCAAATCCAGTCTGAACATCTGGCTGATTGTGCGATGATCCATAATAATAATAATAATAATAATAATAATAATAATAATAATAATAATAATAATAGGACTTGATAGGTAGACAAAATGCCAAATCCAGTCTGAACATCTGGTTGACTGTGTGATGATCGATAATAATAATAATAATAGTTGGAAGGGACCTTGGAGGTCATCTAGTCCACCCCTTGCTCAGGCAGGAAACCCTATACCATTTCAGACAAAGGGCTGTCCAGTCTCTGCTTAAAAACTTCCAGTGTTGGGGCCATTCACAACTTCTGGAGGCAGGTGGTTCCACTGGTTAAAAAAAAACAAAAAAACAAGAAAGTCCAGTTGCCTCCTGAAAAGAAAAAAAAAAGCACCTTTGGGACACGCAGGAATGCACAGACGTGAGGATCTGCCCGGATGCAGAACGCGGGCATGAGAGGCAATTCCCCGTGGGGGGAACACCTCACTTTAGGTCCCTCGCCCACCCACCCACCCACCCCCGGCTCCTTTCTCCTTGTGGGCGTGCCCAGTCCTGTCCCCCCTGAACCGCGTTGGGGTGGGGGGGGCAGAGAGGGTCCTTCCCCTCCTAGCCCCGCCCTTGGAAAGGGGCGCGGAAGGGACCCAAGTTCTACTTTCGCTTTCACCGCGCCGGAGAGGAAGAAGCGGCAATGGCGCTCCTGGATGTCTGCGGACGCTCCCGCGGGGAGTGGGACTGGCCTCTGCCCGGAGGGGTCGCCGCCGCTGCCGGATCTCGCCAAGGATCCTCGCACTACGCTTTCGGGGTGCGGGAGCCCCAGATGTCGGTGCTCCCGGGGATCCAGGTGTGGGGCGCGGAAAGTGCCGGGCTTGGAGGCGGCCGGGCTGAAGAGGGAGGGAGGGAGGGGCGGAGTGGCTGGGGAGACCTGCGACAAAGGGCACCTGAGCATACGCAGAGTGCCTCCCCCACTTCCCCCTCCCACACCACCCCATCCCGTTGCGTTGTTTGGCTTAGTGCCCAAAACGGGACGTCAATTTTCTCTGCATGACTGTGGGGCAAAAGTGGCGGGGTGGGGGGCTTGGGCTGGATTCCGAGCCCCGGGGAGGGCTGAATTTGGCGCAAAGTTTTGGCCCGGGTGATGTGTCTGTGTGGTTGTGCGTGGTGGTGTGTGTGTCTGTGATTTGTGCGGCTGGGGTTGGGGGGGGGGAGAAGGAGGGAAGGGGGGAGGGAGGGCACACCTTTGAAGAAAGACGACAAAGTGCCTCTGAGCCTATGCAGAGTGTCCTCCCCTCCCCACTCTCTCTCCCCCACCCAACGCTGCATTTTTTTTGGCCCGATGCCCAAAACGGGACATCAACCTCTTGGGGGCAGCAAATTTCCACACACACACCCCAAAAAACTTTTAGCGTCCGGATGAGGGGGGGTGAAGGAGGGAGGGGGGGCTTGGGCCCGATTCTGAACCCTGGGGAGGCCTTTGCTTGGTTGCCTCCTTGCCCTCTTCCCCACTGGAAGGCAAAGAAAGGGCCAAACGTGGCTCAAGTTGTGTGTGTGGTTGTGTGTGTGTGTGTGTGTGTCAGAAGAAGCCACTGTTCTTCCCGCTGGTAAAATGGAGCGGTGGACGGTTCCCCCACCTCCACTCTCCATCCTCATCAGGACCCCTCCTCACCTCTCTCGCCTTCCCTCCCCGCAGCCGTCCGAGGTCCTCAACAGCCTCTCCGAGACCAGTGGCTCCCGGTTTGCACCAGTCCACGGCACCACAACCCTGGCCTTCACCTTCCAGCACGGGGTCATCGTGGCTACCGATTCCCGAGCATCGGCCGGCAACTACATCGGTGAGCAATTCTGTGATTTGGGAAGGTGTTGTTGTTGTTGTTGTTGTTAATTGCGAAGTCGTGTCCGACCCATCGCGACCCCATGGACAATGTTCCTCCAGGTCTTCCTGTCCTCTACCATCTTCTGGAGTCCATTTAAGTTCTCACCTACTGCTTCAGTGACTCTATCCAGCCATCTCATTCCCTCTCGTCCCCTTCTTCTATTGCCCTCCATCTTTCCCAGCATTAGGCCCTTCTCCAGTGAGTCCTTCCTTCTCCTTAGGTGGCCAAAGTATTTGAGTTTCAACTTAAGGATCTGGCCTTCTAAAGAGCAGTCGGGGTTGATCTCTTCTAGGACTGACCGGTTTGAATGCCTTGCAGTCCAAGGGACTCGCAGGAGTCTTCTCCAGCACCACAGTTCAAAGGCCTCAATTCTTTGACGCTCAGCCTTTCTTATGGTCCAACTTTCACAGCCATACATTGCAACTGGGAAAACCATGGCCTGGACTATACGCACTTTTGTTGGCAGGGTGATGTCTCTGCTTTTTAGTATGCTGTCTAGATTTGCCATAGTTTTCCTCCCCAGGAGCAAGCGACTTTTAATTTCTTGGCTGCAGTCCCCATCTGCGGTGATCTTGGAGCCCAGAAAAATAAAATCTGTCACTACCTCCATTTCTTCCCCATCTATTTGCCAGGAATTGAGGGGGGGGGGCGGATGCCATGATTTTGCTTTGGGAAGGTGGGGCTGGGTCAAATCCATCTGTCGGTTGTTAACTTTTCTTCGGAGCAGACCAGACGGAGAAGTCAAACTCTCTGGAGAGAAGCCAGATCCGCTGGGGGGGGGGGGACTTTACTGGTACTTGATACAGGTAGTCCTCAGCTTATGACTACAACTCAGCCCCAAATTTCCGTTGTTAAGCGAGACGTTTGTTGTGTGACTTTTGCCCTATTTTCTGGCCTTCTTTGCCGCAATGGTTTAAGTCAGGGGTCTTCTTCTGGCTGAAGAAGGACTGAAGGGCTGAAGAAGCCCTGAAGAAAAACTGAAGCACTGGAGAACAGTCCTCCACCATCCAGTTAGAACTGAAGAAGCAAAATGGATGAGAAGCGAAACAACTTCAAGGAAAAACAAAGCAATTTAGAACTAAGGAGAAACTTCCTGACAGTTAGAACCAGGGCTTTTTTTATCATAGAACGCCCAGAACGGAGTTCCGGCACCTTTTTTGGATGGAACCTTGTAGGGTAGGCAAGGCAGGTTGCATGACATGCATGAGTTCCGGGACCTTTTTTTTTTTTTTTTTTTTTTTTACAAAAAAAGCACTGGTTAAAACAATTAACCAGTGGAACAACCTGCCTCCAGAAGCTGTGAATCCTCCAACACTGAAAGTTTTTAAGAAGAGACTGGACAGCCATTTGTCTGAAATGGTACAGTAGTGGCCAAAATTGTGGAAACCTTTTGGGGAAAGTGTATTTTTGAGGGTTGATGGCTAATAACACCACTACCATAAAATCAATGGAAAGATAACTTAATCAAGAACGTAATGCAACAGAGTTTGTTCAATTATATGTATTGTATTCTATAAAAAGTTATAGCCAAATAACCAGAAAAAGGAAGCACAACTTGCTTAGGTTGATATCAGGTAGTTTGCCTTCATCTGGTTGTAGCCAATAAGCATGAGTGTTTAGAGAGCCAATCTGGTGTCATCTTGTTTTGGCAATGAGCCAATCAGATCACAGCAGGATTCAGTTATTGATGTCATGCATTGAAGCTGAGAGGAGAACATTTGTCAGGGTGTTATGTGATGGCTATCAAGTTGGTTGGGTTTTTTTTTGTGTTCTTTCCTTTAGTGAGCTTGTAAAACGTAATAAAAGTGAAGTAATGGTGCAGAGAGTTGACTGGTCACCCAGAAAGCCATGTAAAATAGTATTATGAAGTGAACAAGGCTACAGTTATAAAGAAATTAGAAGAAAAATTGGTGGAAACTTAACCAAAGGTGGCATTTCTACTGTACACTTTTCCCAAAAAGTTTCCACAATTTTGGCCACTACTGTATAAGACAGTGGTTCTCAACATTTTTAATGCCGTGACCCCCCAACCGGTCGTAAGTCGAGGACTGTTCAACTGGTCGTAAGTCGAGGACTACTCAACTCGTGCAGCACCGTTTGCAGAATGGGACTTTTGGAAGGCTCAGCAGGGCAGAGACAGCCTGGACAATCCCTATTGGCTTTTGAAAGCCAATAGAATTAGACTCTATTCAAGAGAGTCTATTCTATTGGCTTTCAAAAGCCAATAGAATAAAAGGGAGTAGCACAGCTAAGGGAAAGGGGGGGGGGAAATGGTGGACTGCGTTGTTTGGCGACCCCCGTGAAATGGTCGTTCGACTCCAAATGGGGTCCCGACCAACAGATTGAGAACCACTGGTATAAGATTTCCTGCCTGAGCAGGGAGTTGGACTAGATGATCTCCAAGGTCCCTTCCAACTTTATTATTATTATTGTAAGTCCAGGTTGCCTTTCGAAAAAGCACCTTTAGTCTGGTAGAGTTTTTTTTTCAGGCTAACACATGTTACGAAAAGGCAACCCTGCAGCTCACTCCCTCCGATGCAGCCTGACTATTCCAAATGCAGTCGCCAAAAGCAGATAAAACGCCTTATTATCAAATCTGTTCTTATTATAAGATCAGCTTCCTTCTGATCTATGTTGTTGTTGTTAATTGCGAAGTCATGTCCGACCCATCGCGACCCCATGGACAACATTCCTCCAGGCCTTCCTGTCCTCTATCATCTTCTGGAGTCCATTTAAGTTCACACCTACTGCTTCAGTGACTCCATCCATCCAGCCATCTCATTCTCTGTCGTCCCATTCTTCTATTGCCCTCCATCTTTCCCAGCATTAGGCCCTTCTCCAGTGAGTCCCTCTTTCTCATTAGGTGGCCAAAGTATTTGAGTTTCAACTTCAGGATCTGGCCTTCTAAAGAGCAGTCGGGGTTGATCTCTTCTAGGACTGACCGGTTTGATCGCCTTGCAGTCCAAGGGACTCGCAGGAGTCTTCTCCAGCACCATAGTTCAAAGGCCTCAATTCTTTGACGCTCAGCCTTTCTTATGGTCCAACTTTCACAGCCATACATTGCAACTGGGAAAACCATGGCCTGGACTGTACGCACTTTTGTTGGCAGGGTGATCTGATCTATAGCGGGTGTAAAAATCTTTGGTTAAAGCTGCCCAGCAGCTGTGCCGACTGGGGCTGAACTAGTGTTCTTGTCTTCCTTTCCTTTTCACATACAGATACTTTCCAGTGCAACAAGGTGATTGAGATCAACCCTTACCTGCTGGGCACCATGTCTGGAAGTGCAGCCGATTGCCAATATTGGGAACGTCTCCTGGCCAAATACTGCAGGTAAGAGATCCGATGCTGGTGGCTTGATTGGCTGCACCTGCCAATAATCCATTGCCAGCTTTCTTTGGGTCGTCAGTGACGAGATGGAGTTACGGAAATCGAGCACAGTCAGCCCAAGTAAAAACTGGGCAGGCAATCAGGAATGATAATGTTCAAATGAGGGTGTCAGGGTTCCGATAGAGCAGGGGTTCTCAACCTTTTTAATGCCGCGACCCCCAATCGGTCGTAAGTCGAGGACTACTCAACCGGTCGTAAGTCGAGGACTACTCAACTGGTGCAGCACCGTTTGCAGAATGGGACTTTTGGCGGGCTCAGCAGGGCAGAGACAGCGTGGACAATTCCTATTGGTTTTTGAAAGCCAATAGAATTAGCCTCTATTCAAGACTCTATTCAAGAGTCTAATTCTATTAGACTCTATTAGACTTCTATTAGACTCTATTCAAGAGTCTAATCCTAAAAGGGACTAGCACAGCTAAGGAAAAGGGGGGGGAAAATGGCAGACTGCGTTGTTTGGCGACCCCCGTGAAATGGTCGTTCGACCACAAATGGGGTCCCGACTCACAGGTTGAGAACCACTGCGATAGAGGAAACCAATTAAAAGAACTTCAAGGCAAGGATTTGTTCCTTTAAGACTTTTGAAAGCCAATAGAATAGACTCTCTTGAATAGAGTCTATTCAAGAGAGGGGGAGGGGGGAGGGGAGAGTATGGGTAGTATGTTCAATAGTTCAGATTTTGGTGATAGAGGATTGCTCGGGCATTTTCCCGCAGACCGCATCCGATTGAGAAGAAGAGGAGAGGGACAAGTAAGTAGAAAGATGGAGGAGAGAGAGAGGAGAGGAGGAGGTAGAAGGAAGGGGGAAGTGAAGAGATGAGAGGGGGATGCGGTCTGGGGGGAAATGGGTGAGCAATGTCGGAATTTGCGTGTTGTATTTTAATGTATCTGAATTTTTTTTCTTATGATTGTAATGAAAATAAAATAATAAAAATTGGGGGAAAAAAAGAACATTTTATTCAGGAAACAAAGTATCGGCACTTACATTGTTGAACCCAAGATTGAGATTTCCTCCGCCCCAGATACAAAATAACATTTCCCACCCCCAAAAGATGTCATAAATCACATTCTCCAATTAGCACATTCTTGGGCTTTTCTCTCTGGCTCCTCAGCCCATCAAAGGTTTAGGTCTCTCTTTGGGCAACCTTGAATAGAATAGAGCTGGAAGGGACCTTGGAGGTCTTCTAGTCCAGCCCCCTGCTCAAGCAGGAGAACCTATACCATCTCAGACGAGAGGTTGGCTCAACCAAAAGGATCCTGGGACCCTTCCCCTTACACAGGGAATCCGATGGGTCCATTGTGGTCAGGCAGAGACTGGAGACCGGGGACACGGAGTAGGAAGATGGACCCTCTCCCTCTGACCTTGCCTTCCTTCTGCCCTCCCAATGCAGGCTCTACTTCCTTCGGAACAAGGAGCGGATCAGCATCTCAGCTGCCTCCAAGCTCTTGGCCAACATGCTGGCCGAATACCGGGGCATGGGGCTCTCGGTGGGCAGCATGGTGTGCGGATGGGACAAGAAGGTAATGGCTGGCAGGGAGGAAAGGAGGGAGAAGAGATGGGCCAGGGGGACTTGGGGAAGGGAAGGGGAAGAGAGAAGAGAAGAGAAGAGAAGAGAAGAGAAGAGAAGAGAAGAGAAGAGAAGAGAAGGAGGGGAGGGCAAGGCAGGGCAAGAGAGGGAAGGAGGGGAGGGGAAGAGAAGGAGGGGAGGGCAAGGTATGGCAAGAGGGGAGGGGAGGAGAACAAGAGAAGGAGGAGAGGGCAAGTTATGGCAAGAAAGGGGGAGGGGATGGGAGGGGGAGGAGGGAAGGGGATGAGAAGAGAGAAGAGAAGGGGAGGGCAAGGTAGGGCAAGAGAGGAGAGGAGGGGAGGAGAGGAGAACAGAAGAGAAGAAGGGGAGGGCAAGTCAGGGCAAGAGAGGGGAGGGGAAGGGGAGGAGAACAGAAGAGAAGGAGGGGAGGGCAAGGTATAGCAAGAGGGGAGGGGGAGGGGAGGAGGGGAGGGGACAAGAAGAGAAAAGAGAAGGGGAGGGCAGGGCAAGGGGAGGAGGAGAGGAGAGGAGAACAGAAGAGAAGAGGGCAAGTCAGGGCAAGAGAGGGGAGGGCAAGTCAGGGGAGGGCAAGTCAGGGCAAGAGAGAGGAGGGGAAGGGGAGGAGAACAGAAGAGAAGGAGGGGAGGGCAAGGTATAGCAAGAGGGGGAGGGGAGGAGGGGAGGGGACAAGAAGAGAAAAGAAGGGGAGGGCAAGGCAGGGCAAGGGGAGGAGCGGAGGGGGAGGGGAGGTTAACAGAAGAGAAGGAGGGAAGGGCAAGGTATGGCAAGAGAAGGGGAGGGGAGAGGAGGGGGAGGAGGGAAGGGGAAAGAGAAGAAGGGGATGGCAAGGCATGCCTAAAGAGTAGGTGGAAGGGAGAGGGGAGGGGAGGAGCAGCTGGGAGGGGAGAGGGAGGAGGGAAGGGGATGAGAAGAGAAGAGAAGAGAAGACGGTAGAAGGATAGCTATTCTAGCAGAAAATCAAAAAAGAGGAAGGCTGGGTGTTTAGGCATCAGCTTTGGAAGGAAGCGTTGACGGTTATCTGGTAGGGCAGAGTTGCCCAGAGTGTGGCCCACATATAACCTAAGTGATCCTCCCTTAGGGTCCCTGGAGTGAAAGGGTGGGCCTTTTCAGTTTTAGGAGGGGGGAGGGTTACAGGGTTTTTTTTTTTAGAAGGATAAGATGGCTTGTCCAGGTAGCTGTCTTGGCAGCAGTACAGAAACGGTTTGCATTGGGGGGGGGGGGTTGAACTATTTTTCCTTTTTAGAATGTTTTATCCCACCATTATTTTTTTTATAGAAACATAACTAATACTCCTTTCTTCTCCTGTTTTCCTCACAACAACAACCCAGTGAGGTGGGTCCAGTTGAGAGAAAGTGACCGGCCCAAAGTCACCCAGCTGGCTTTCATGGCTAAGGCGGGACTAGAACTCACAGTCTCCTGGTTTCCAGCCTGGTGTCTTTGCCACTAGATCAGTGGTTCTCAACCATTTTAATGTCGCGACCCCCAACCGGTCGTAGGTCGAGGACTACTCAACCGATCGTAAGTCGAGGACTACTCAACTGGTGCAGCACCATTTGCAGAATGGGACTTTTGGCGGGCTTAGCAGGGCAGAGACAGCCTGGACAAGAGAGTCTATTCAAGAGAGTCTATTCTATTGGCTTTCAAAAGCCAATAGAATAAAAGGGAGTAGCACAGCTAAGGGAAAGGGGGGGAAATGGCGGACTGCGTTGTTTGGCGACCCCCGTAAAATGGTCGTTCGACCCCAAATGGGGTCCCGATCCACAGGTTGAGAACCACTGCTCTAGATCAAACTGGCTCCGCTTTCACTTTTACTTCTTAGACTAGCCTGGGAATTTCTTGGTGGTCTCCCACCCAGAACTAATCGGATCTAACTGCATCAGCCTAGATTGACCAGGCACTGCGATGGGTTACTGTTAAACTGAGTTGTGACCTGCCCATGTCTGGAGTGTAGCCCTCAACCACAAGGAGCAAGGAGTGAGGCTACTGCGCTCTGGACAGGGCTGGGCCGCCCAATCCCACAGGGAAGGTAAACGAAGGCAGAGCTGCAGAGAGTCACAATTTCCTCCCTTTTCAGGGCCCAGGTCTCTACTATATTGATGACAGAGGAGCCCGGCTGAAAGCCCCCCTTTTTTCCACGGGAAGCGGAAACACGTATGCCTATGGAATCCTGGACAGTGGCCACCGGCCCGATCTTAGTGTGGAGGAGGCCTACGAGCTCGGCCGAAGGGCCATCTGCTATGCCACCCATCGTGACTCCTACTCGGGTGGGGTGGTAAACAGTACGTTTCCCCAAGCAGCCACTGGGTTCTTTAGCCCATGGGGGGGAGGGGCAGAGGCTAGTTTTGCACTGTCCCTTACTGACCTTCTGCTGGCGTCTCGATCCTCCAGTGTACCACATGAAGGAAGATGGCTGGATCCGTGTCGGGAAGACGGATGTCAGTGACCTGCTCCACCAGTATGTGGAGGAGAAGAAATGAGATGGGCAGATGACTGCAAGCACGGAGATCTTCTGACACTCAGGGCTGACAGAGAGGAAAGGGATGGGGGACTGTTCCCCCTGTCTTTTTACGGGGCAACAATAAACCACATTTGAACTCGTTTTTCTTTTGGCTCTGATTTGTAATTTAAAAGTGATCCAGATGTCTGAACGAGAATATGTCTCTTTGATAGTGGAAAATAAAATTGGTACTATTGGAAGCTCCCGTTCTGAATCTTTAGAACAGGGGTCCCCAACCTGAGGGCCGCATCCCACTACACAGTCCGTGTCCTATATATGCAACTGGGCCGTGTGAGTGGCTGGCTGGTGTGCAAGCATTGAGGGTGCTTGCACTCGTGCAAGCATTGAGGGTGCTTGCAGCCCCACTCACATTAGCATTGGGGTGCTCGGGGCCTCCTTCACACAAAGGTCGGGGGCCACGCGGCACTCCACTCGTGTGAGTGTCGCAGGCACTTGCCTCTCTTGTGAGCGTTGTGGGTGCTGGAGCCTCATGCAAGTGTTGTGGGTGCTTGGGGACTCATGAGGCCACTTGGGACTTCACTTGCATGAGCGCTTGGGGCTTCTTTCATGTGAGTGTTGCAGGCACTCCCAACTCCATTTATGCAAGTGTCGTGGGTGCTCGGGGCCTCACTCGTGGGTGCTTGCTTGAGGCCTCATTCACGCAAGCAGCATTGACGTGAGTGCACTTGGCCCCACTCACATGAGCAATAGATGCTCTTGCACCTGCCCCTCCCAGAAAACCATTCCCTCTTTCCACCCTCCCCCTCCAGGCTATCAATCTGGAAAGGTTGGGGAACCCTGCTTTAGAGCAATGACCCCCAACCTTTGGGGCACCAGGATCCGGTTCTGTGAAGAGAGGTTTCTCCACGGACCCAAGGAAACATAGTTTTGCTTGCTGTCTGCATCCTGTGTGGATGGGGCTTCATTTGTTTACACAGGTATGCTGCTGTTGAAGGAAAAGTCTTCATCATGGTTCAGTCCAAGCTGGGAATAAACAACATGGCGACTGCTTTAGAAAGAAGGTTGCAGTTTATTGAAGAGGAGAGCCAGAGAGAAAGATGGCTCTGGAAGAAAAGAGAGAGCACATGTAGGGAGTGGGTTTTTATACCCTGTGGGGCTCTTGAGGTTGTTTCCTGTTCCTGTTTGAGGCTTTGTATTTCCTGTGTCATGTATTTTGACCTGAGTCTAAGTGTGCCCCTTTGGCATTTCTTATGTTAATCCTATTATGTCCTGTCTTAGAGTTTGGGTGGGGTATGTAGATTTTAGGTGTCTTTGTCTTCTTAATCTTCTAGCTTCAACCTTCCTAAATGGATTATTACATCTGCATTTCTACAGAGTTAGTTTCTGGTTGGGGGAGGGAAACTTGGGGCTGTTAAGAAAACTGGCCATGCTTTTCTGCCTCTTTAAGATCCTTTGAGGAAATATGTTTTTCTGCCCTTTTAATATTTCCTTCTCTGGGGGGGGCTGACTTTCCACACTGCGAACCGATGCGGGTCCACAGACTGGGGGTTGGAGACCCCTGCTTTAGAGGGAACTCAAATTTTATTCCTGCCATGTATACACATACCACTCCCAACTGCACTAGATAGGGAGTTTTCTACGCAGATTCTGCCCACAGGGATTTTTTTGGCAAGTTGCTCAAGCGGCACTCCTGACAAATTCAAGCATGCAAGGAAACGCTGGATCGCAACTTAAAATAACCCATGTTTAAAAATGGAATGCAGGTTTGCAGGATGTTGGCAGTCAGAGGGTAAACAAGTGGTCAAAGAACACGAGGCAGAGAGCAGGAATCTCTCTTTGGGGAAAAGTAAATGCGAATCCCTCAAGAATTATGATTATAAAGATGCATTTTTAATTGTGTATAATTTGTTCCTCACTTCTTGTTCTTTAAGAGGATTCAAGGGATGCTTTAATTGAAGGCGGGCAGAGTTAATACTTACACCCAGAAGTATAATAATAATAATAATAAAGTTGGAAGGGACCTTGGAGGTCATCTAGTCCCCCTGCTCTGCCTCAAGGAAGTCATTTATCCTCTAAGTAACTATCCCTTTTCTTTGATTATGGATTGCCCAAAACAGTTAGTTTTCAGAAGTCATGGGAAAAAAATCAATTATATAATAATAAAGTTGGAAGGGACCTTGGAGGACATCTAGTCCAACCCCCTGCTCAGGCAGGAAACCCTATACCATTTCAGACAAATGGCTGTCCAGTCTCTTCTTAAAAACCTCCAGTGTTGGAGCATTCACCGCTTCTGGAGGCAGGTTGTTCCACTGGCTAATTGTTCTAACTGTCAAGAAGTTTCTCCTTAGTTCTAGGTTGCTTCTCTCCTTGATTAGTTTCCATCCATTGTTTCTTCTCCTGCCTTCAGGCGCTTTGGAGAATAGCTTGACTCCCTCTTCTTTGTGGCAGCCCCTGAGATATTGGAACATGCTATCATGCCCCCCCCCTCGTCCTTCTCTTCATTAAACTAGACATACCCAATTCCATCAACTTTTCCTTATATGTTTTAGCCTCCAGTCCCCTAATCATCTTTGTTGCTCTTCTCTGCACTCTTTCTAGAGTCTCAACATCTTTTTTGCATCGCGGTGACCAAAACTGGATGCAGGATTCCAGGTGTAGCCTTACCAAGCATTGTAAAGTGGTATTAACACTTCAGGTGATCTTTGATTCTGTCTCTCTGTTGAATTGTGACAGGATGCCTGAATGGAGCAAACAAATAAATTCACCCCGGGTCCTTTTTTATGTTTGGAATTTTAGAAGGTTTTAGTTTAATGAGGGGATAAAACAGATGCCTGAAGCATAGTGACTGTCTCACTTCCTTCTGAGCTCCTCCCCAAATTGTCTTTGGCTCCACCCCTTTTGTGAAAGCTGGGGGGGGGACATGAAACACACCCCGGTTGTGCTCCTCAATTTACAGCTGAAATGGAAGAGCAGGTGTGATCGTTGTAAACATCCACCAAGGAGTTAGGATAGTAGAGTTTGGCAAAAATATGGAATAATAGGATTGTTTCTGGGCAGGAGAAGGTGATCAAAACTTTTGGTTCATTTATTTGTTCCCAAAAGAATGGGCAGCATACGATGTGTAAAAGGATGCTTTTAAACATTAACTGTCTGGATAAAACTACCGGTAGTCCTGGACTTACGACCACAATTGAGCTCAACATTTCTGTGGCTAAGCAGGAGAGTTGTTAGTCAGTTTTGTCCCATTTTATGACCTTATCGTTCAATTACTCTGTAAAATAAAATCAAAATAAGAGAGATCGGGCGTTTACTAGGCTTGCATAGCGGAACGCGGGCGCTATCTGGTGGTCACCGGGCTGGTAGAATAGCTTAAAATTTTATTTAACGGGTTAAGGAGATTTTTAGAGATATTGATTGATTTAATATTTAGGACCTAGATTTATAAAGGAAATGAAAATTAATTGTTAGATTATAGTTTTGAATTGTAATATGGAAATTATTTTAAGATATTTTATTAGCAAATGAGGAGCTACCAGGATGAGAAATAGAATATATTTGTGAAATAAAGTAAGAATCTAATTTTCGGAATAATATGTGTATTCTAGACACGATAATTATTTGGTAATGAAATGAGGGAAATTAGGGTTACCAAAGTTTAGTAATAGTAATAGTACAGCTGGAAGGGACCTTGGAGGTCTTCTAGTCCAACCCCCTGCTCAGGCAGGAAACCCTATACCATTTCAGACAAATGGCTGTCCAGTCTCTTCTTAAAAACTTCCAGTGTTGGAGCATTCACCGCTTCTGGAGGCAGGTTGTTCCGCTGGTTAATTGTTCTCACTGTCAGGAAGTTTCTCCTTAGTTCTAGGTTGCTTCTCTCCTTGCTTAATTATTACGGTTATTAATGGCTAAATTGGAACATGGTAATCGGAATTAAGTAAAACTTTAAAAACAGGATTTGGATATGTATAAGTAAAATTTTACTGGTACGTGTATTGATTGATTGAGCTCTATCTGGAAATATATTAACTTGAATATGATATTAAAAATTAAGGGAAATAGAGAGGGAACTTTTAATGAGGTACTCTGAGATATATATGAATGATTCTGTTATTGGATTTTTGATTTACCCTATCACCACGCTGCTTCCTAATTACTTGGATGTAACAATTGAATAATTAATAAAATTTGTTTTTAAAAAAAGAGAGAGAGCGGGCGTTTACTAGGCTTGCACAGCGGAACGCGGGCGCCATCTGGCGGTCACCGGGCTGGTAGAAGCGGGGAGGAATTCGAAACGAATCGAAAGCGAAAGCGCCGCGTTGGGGGATTTTCGGCTCTGCACAGGCGGCAGTGGGTGCGGCGAATTTGGGGGAGAGAGAGAGAGAAGCTCAGCCCGGCTCGGCTGAAACGAGGCTTCGGATCGAGAAGGACCAAACGCCCGCGACGGAAGGGCTTTCCCGGCCGCGGCAGGAAGGTGAGAGGCTGGGGAAAGGGCGGAGGGTTGCATTGATCTGGGCGACTGAACGGCTGCGGAGGTGCGGGGGACTCCACTCCCCATCATTCCCATCCAGCACGGCTGCTCATTGTTGGCTGCGGATTACGGGGAATGCAGCCCACTGAAGTAGCTGCGTAGTCCGCTCCGATTTCCTGCCTTCTTAAGAACTAACCCGGACGCGTTTCCTCCTGCTTTGCGCGGGATCTAAACTTTTGGGGTCCTCTTTTGCGTCGCGCCTCTACTCCGGAGGATGGGAGCGGGGTTCAAATCTTTACTAGCCTAAACCAGGGGTAGGCAACCTTGGCCCTTTTATGACTCGTGGACTTCAACTCTCAGAATTCCTGAGCCAGCTATGCTGAGGGGAAAGAGGTTTCCAAGCTGAGCCATGCTGGCTCAGGAATTCTGGGAGTTAAAGTCCACGAGTCATAAAAGAGCCAAGGTTGGCAACCCCTGGTATAGGGTTTTCTGCCTGAGCAGGGGGTTGGACTAGAAGACCTCCAAGGCCTCTTCCAACTCTGTTAGTCTGTTATTATTTTGAAAAGGCAACTGGACTGGTTGTTTTGTTTTTTTGAGGAAAAACAAGACGTTTCACTTATGCTGGCTCAGGAATTCTGGGAGTTGAAGTCCATGAGTCAAAAAGAGCCAAGGTTGCCTACCCTTGGCCTAAACCAGTGTTTCTCAACCTTGACAATTTTAAGGCATGTGGACTTCAACTCCCAGAATTCCACAGCCAGCAATGCTGGCTGTGGAATTCTGGGAGTTGAAGTCCACATGCCTTAAAATTGTCAAGGTTGAGAAACACTGGCCTAAACGAACCGACCTGGATATTCAAACGCTTCTGTCACAGTTCTGGGGTTTCTTTGCCAAGGAAACGAAACAAAGAAGCAATCTAGAATTAAGGAGAATTTTCCTAACGGTGGGAACAATTAACCAGTGGGAACGGCTCGCCTTCGGAAGTTGTGGGTGCTCCATCACTGGAGGTTTTTTTAAGAAGAGACGGGACAGTCACTTGTCTGGAATGGTATATAGGGTGTCCTGCTTGAGCAGGGGGTTGGACTAGGTGACCTCCGAGGTCCCTTCCAACTCTTGTTATTCTGATTTCAGTCTTCCTGAGCAGTGCTGGGGTGCCTGTGGGAACGGAGAACGTGAGGCAGAGCGGAAAAGTGTCTCGTAACCAAAGAAACCTAAATGACTGTGAATTTGATCTTTCTCAAAGTTGCCACCTGACCTGCTGCACTCAGAATAAATATTTAGGGCAAGGGATCTGTTGCTGGGAAGTCAGCTGATTATATGTAAGATCTTGGGTTGTACAGTATTGGGAGACAGATTAACTGAATTCTTTCTCCTTTCTCTTTCTCCTTCTCATTCCCTTCTCCTCCTCTTCTTTCCCTCCTCCTCCACCTCTCCCTCCGTCTCCTCCTCCCTCTCTTCTTTTCCTCCTCCTCCTCTTCTTTCCGTCCTTCTCCATCTCTCCCTCCTTCTCCCCCTTCTCGTATTCTCCTCCTTCCCCCTTTCCCCCTCAAAGGTCTTCTGCAGTGATCCTCCTCTTAAATCCATTATCCTGGATTCCGATAAACAGTAATATCTCCCTCCCCCCCTCTCTCTCTCTCTCTCTCTCTCTCCCCCCCCCCCAAGAGCCCATCAGCAAGATGCTGGTCCCTGTCACGTTTCAGGCAATTCTCCTGCTTTTCTGTGACCGAATCCTGCTCTCCTTGCTGAATGGATGGAGCCCCTCCCTGGTCCCCCTGGGGGTCTCAGCGGCTTGGCTGGAGGCCGCTCTCCGACTGCTGGTTCTCTTAGGGGTCAGGGGTCTGCTCTCCATGGGTCGGACCTCGCCAGTGTCCTTCTCCACGGTGGCTGCAGTCAGCATCCTGCCCCCTTTGTACCTGTTGGTGGGACACTGGCTTGGGGACCCTCCCCTCCTGGTCTCTTCGGCCGCGTGGTCTTGGTGGCTGGCAATCTACGGGGCAGTGGGCTTCTCCCAGCTCCTCTGGGGGATCCTGGCAGAAGGGCGAAGCCCAAAGGAGTCCCGGAAAGAAGACAAGGCCACCCTTTGGAAGATGCTCCATCTTTTCCGTCCAGACAAGCTGTATCTCACTGGCGCTTTCTTGTTCCTCGTCCTGGCGGTGATTGGTGAGTTGGTAGTGGATTAAATCATTCTCTGTGTCACAGGATAAGTGAAGAGAATAGAATAATAACTTTATTGTCACCTTGAATGTACACTAATTGGCATACATTAAATGAAATTGCATTGCGTACAGCTCTCAAAGAGTCACCACCTCCGATAGACACTACATAAATATGCTATAAATAAATAAATACAGAATTATGCATAGACCTACATATATTATATGACATAGAGAAACAACAGCCTAGTTCGGGTTATGCAAACGTGCATGGCGAGAAACGCGAATCTTGTGAGAACCACAAATAATCACCAGGGCTGCAATCACACCCTACACCAGTGGTTCTCAACCTTTTTAATGCCGCGACCCCCAACCGGTCGTAAGTCGAGGACTACTCAACCGGTCATAAGTCGAGGACTACTCAACTGGTGCAGCACCGTTTGCAGAATGGGACTTTTGGCGGGCTCAGCAGGGCAGAGACAGCCTGGACAATTCCTATTGGCTTTTGAAAGCCAATAGAATTAGACTCTATTCAAGAGAGTCTATTCTATTGGCTTTCAAAAGCCAATAGAATAAAAGGGAGTAGCACAGCTAAGGAAAAGGGGGAAAAAAATGGCGGACTGCGTTGTTTGTCGACCTCCGTGAAATGGTCGTTCGACCCCAAATGGGGTCCTGACCCACAGGTTGAGAACCGCTGCCCTACACTAAAGAAAATAAAATAACTCAGTCGCACCAAAAGGTCACCAAAAGGTCTTTAATAGACCTGACCTCAGTCTTTGAAATTCTGCTGCTCCTTTTGACATTCTCCCTGAATCCCCTCTGATTCCCTTCTTGGTTGCCTCCTGCCACGGAGCAGTTCCTGCCCATGTAAAATGTGGCGTTCTGGAGGCTTTGGCCGTTGGCTCTGAACTCGCTTTCACCAGGGTGTGTCCTGTTTTTCAAACTCTCCATTCAGCCCATTCAGTGTCCAATTCGAGCATCTTTTCTCCCATCCTGAGGGGCTGCCCCGTTCTTTCCATAGTTGGGGCGGGAACCCTGGAGCAAAAAGCTCATGGTTTCCTTCCATTTCACAGAACAAGACGTACAATTTGCAGTGTTTGTATGTGTTTGTGTGTGTCTGTCTCTGTGTGTGTGTGTGTGTGTGTGTGTGTGTGTGTGTGTGGATTAAGCTGCCTTTCCTGATAGAGGTCCTACATCACCTCCTCTGTTCTTCCCCCCCCCCCTTTGCAGGTGAAACATTCCTGCCCTATTACATCGGGCGTTTGATTGACATCCTGGGCACCAAATACGACGCAGAAGCCTTTTCCACAGCCATCTCTCTACTCTTCCTGATCTCATTTGCAAGGTGAGCTTATTCCAGGCCCCAGCAGCATCTTTGCTGCAGCTGCCCTGAAATACACACCCAGGATTACGGTTCTGTTGTCTCCCGGCATCTTGTTCACAAGGCAGTACAAGGGGTGATCACGTTGGATGAAGTTGCCTTCATGGAGATACTGGGGCATTTTTTTCCCCTTGCCAGCTGTAAGGAAGCTATTGACTGTTGCCTTCTTTGGGGATGGTTTTTTGTTTTACTTCCTAGTGTAACCTCTGCTCTGGGATTTCCTAGTAGCCTCCTGTCCCAATGCCAGCCAGCTTTGATGCTGCTTCTCTTTTTGAGATCAAGTGAGCTCAGCCAGATCTCTGCTGTAAATGTGGTTTTGATCTTGGCTTCATCATTTTGGATCCCAAAGCTGCTTACTCCAGAGGAGGTGCCTTTTCCCTCCTGGCCTGCCAGTGAAAGGCAGAGTGAGGCCTAAACGTTACGGTCCCCGCCTGATGTTTTAAGACTTCAAGAAAGATCTGAAAATGAGGTTGTTTTCTGGAATCCTCCTGAAGCAAACCTTAGCCCTTGCTTTCTTTTAGCTGCTTGTTTTGCAACCTGGCAGAAGTCTAGCCAATTAAAACTTGTGATCTATTCCTAGCTTTCACTTGAATGCAAAACTGAAAAAAAACAACAACAAAAAAAACCTTTCTAAAGGAACATCCATTCTTGGCTGATATCAGGGATAATTTAACTGATTTAAATTCTGATTTAAATTCAACCTGAAAATGAAAGCCGTTTCAAAATGGAGGGAAGAGCATCAGAAGTAACTTATTCTTAAACGGTGGGTTAGATCTGTTTGTGTGAACATTTCGTTCTCTTTGTACCCGGGTCAAATCCGGTACGTGCTCATATATGGATCTGTGACTCAGTTTCCATTGATGAAGCAGGAACCAACCCACCCACCCCTCTTGCTGTTTTTCTTTTCTAGCTCCGTGTTTGCCAGCTGTCGTGGGGGACTCTTCATGTTCACGATCTCACGGATGGTTATCCGGACTCGCAACTTACTCTTCTCTTCTCTGGTGAGGCAAGACCTGGCCTTCTTCCAGGAGGTGAAAACAGGTGAGGGCCCAAACAGGCAGCTGCTGTTTCTGGAACTGTCTAAAGGAAAAGAGTCTCTTAAATGAAGCTTGACTGATGACTTAGGCTGACCATTCATTTAATATTTTGGAGGGAAAAGATGGAAATTCTTCACCAGTGCCAATTTCTGTTCTCTCTCCCTCTCCTCTATCTCTCTCTCTTTCTCTCTCTCTCTCCCTCTCCCTCCCTCTCCCTCTCTTTTCCTCTCTCTCTCTCTCTCTCTCTCTCTCTCTCTCACACACACACACACACACACACACACACAGGATTTCCTGGTGGCCTCCCATCCATGTATTGGTCAGTTCTCATCTTAGCTTTTCAAGCAAAACTAATGCCACAGCAGTTAGAGTGCAGTACTGCAGGTCACTTTAGGTGACTGTGTTCAGCAGGTCAGCGGTTCAAATCTCACCGGCTCAAGGCTGACTCAGCCTTCCATCCTTCCGGGGTAGGTAAAATGAGGACCCAGATTGTTGGGGGCAATGTAAATATATATATACATTGCTTACTGGTATACACCGCTTAGAGCAGTGGTTCTCAACCTTTCTAATACTGCGACCCCATAATACAGTTCCCCATGTTGTGGTGACCCCCAACCACTTATACATCACTGGGTGCCAGGGGCGTGGCCAAAGAAAAGGGGGGAAAATGGTGGACAGCCTTGTTTGGCAACCCCCGTGAAATGGTCGTTCGATCCCAAATGGGGTCCCGACCCACAGGTTGAGAACCACTGGCTTAGAGAGTGCTTGCACTTAAAGTGGTATATAAGTATCATAAATAAATAAATAAATAAATAAATAAATAAACTCTGCTCCCGGGGACAACATGGTTACAACCGTGTTTTTTCCTTTCCGGCCCTAAAGACTTGTTTTGATTTGACTTTCTTCTGGGATATTCTTTTTCCCCCTACCTTTTCAATCCAGTCTGCTCTCCTAGTGGTTTCCCATTCAAGTACTAATCAGATTTAGGCTTAATCGGTTTTTTTTAAAGATCCGCAGAAGTTGGCCGGGAAGGAGTTTTTAACCTGCCCAAGAGAATGCAACCTTTGGCTGATGTAAAACAACAACAACAAAAAAACGAACCTCGGTTGTCAGTGGGACAACTTGCCTCTGGAGGTTGTGAGTGCTCCAACACTGGAGGTTTTTAAGAAGAGATTGGACTGAAATGGATTTGTCTGAAATGGTCTAGGGCAGGGGTAGGCAACCTTGGCTCTTTTATGACTGGTGGACTTCAACTCCCAGAATTCCTGAGCCAGCCATGCTGAGGGGAAAGGGAGAGGTGTCCAAGCTGAGCCATGCTGGCTCAGGAATTCTGGGACTTGAAGTCCACGAGTCATAAAAGAGCCAAGGTTGCCTACCCCTGGTATAGGGTTTTCTGCCTGAGCAGGGCGTTGGACTAGAAGACCTCCAAGACCCCTTCCAACTCTGCTTTCTGTTATTATTTTGAAAAGGCAACTGGACTGGGTTTGGGGGGGGGGATTTTTTGAGGAAAAACAAGACGTTTCACTTCCTATCCTGGAAGCTTCATCAGATGTATGGAATGTTGTGGGAGATGGAAGGACAGTGATTGACAGTTGAGATTAATGGGGGGGCAGAAATGATAAATTCTGAGAGGATGGTGATGGTGGGGGAATGGAAAGATTGTGTTTTTTCTTTGCCGTCAATTGGTCATAACACTCTCTGAGAGCCATTGTGGTCATTTGGAGTTTTATCTATGACAGTGGTGGCGAACCTATGGCATGGATGCCAGAGGCGGCAGTCAGAGCCCTCTCTGTGGGCACACGCACCATCGCCTCAGTCCTAGGCCTTCAGCTGGGTTTTATAAAATCTTTTCACTTTAGGCCTCTATCGCCATGTGCAAAAAAAAAAAAAAAGGTTCGATCAGTCAATTTCAACTTCTCACAGGGGAAAAAAAACATCTTGCAAAGTTGGAATTGATTGATTGAACTTTTTAGTTCCACCCAGTCTGCCGTTACCATCGCAGCCATGTCCACCCAATGGGCCACACTCACCCAAGGGGCCACGCCCACCTGGCACTCGACGATACATAAATGGGTTTTGGGTTGCAATTTGGGCACTCAGTCTCTAAAAGGTTCGCCATCACTGATCTATGACCTCAGGGTCACCTGAAACAGGGAAGTGGAATCTCCTTGGAACAGTCAAAAGGATTGCATTGTAAATTGGGGATAAATGGTGTCTTATCCCTCCTCCTCTGTTGAGGGAGGGCTATAATGTTTACATAAATGGCCTCTTTTTTTGTTACAATCTTATTAACTTTTTCCATACAAACAATAATAATTTTTCAACCACCGTGCTGTCTGGGTTTACATATGCTAATACATATTTAATTCCTAATCCTTTATTCTTTCCTCTAGCCAATAGTAAAATAAATTCCAGGTTTGATAATAGTCCGTTTCTTCCTTTTCTTTCAGTCTCATAGTTAATCTGTCCATCTGTGTGCATTCTAGTTTTTTTTTAATTATTTCTTCTTCTGATGGTATTCCTTCATTCTTCCAGTATTGCGCAAATGTAATTCTGGCCACTGTTGTAACGTGCAAACTCAAATCTAAGCTTTGTTTATTGATCTTTTCTGGCATTATACCTAATTTTAAACGTTCAGGTTTAAAATCCACATATTCTCCTAACATCTTTTCTAACCAAGTATGTATCTTTTCCCAATAGTTCTTTGCTTATCACATGTCCACCAAACATGATAATACGTGCCTGACTTGTGTTTACATTTCCAACATCTGTCTGGCATATTTTTAAACATTTTCACTAATCTTGCTGGTGGCAAGTGCCATCTATAAAACATTTTATATAAATTTTCTTTATAGGAAGTTGACATTGTCAGTTTATAATTTCTTTCCCATAAGTTTTGCCATTATTCTGAAACATATGTAACCCTAACTAGAGAGCAGGTATCAGCATGTTAGAATATCTGGCAGTTATTGGGTTAAATGCTAGGTATGTTGATAGGTCAGTGGGAGGAGTCTAAAAAGGTCATTAGAGACTTCCTGGACACAAGCCACATGGGAAGGTCTTTGTCTGTAAGAAGCAAGGGCCATGGAAAGTCACACAATAAGCCTGAGCCATTATGAAGATGGTATGGAAGAGCATCATACTTTTACCTAAAGATATAGTCTGAAGAAATGGACAAAAGATGTATTTTCCAGGAGTATCAACCACAGCGTGAATGCAAGTAATCCTCATTAAAATATATTTTTGTTTATTATAAGATCGTTTCTTTTGAGTTATCTGTCTGACTTGATAGGCGTTTTATATCAGAGTCAGAATAGCCATCTTTCTAATTCTATATTATATCCAAAATTTTTCACTCATCATTGTTTTTTTAACTTGTTTGTCTTCCATTTCCAAAATTTACCCTCCTTTCAAACCAATGGTCTTCCACATCAGGGGTCCCCAACCTCTGGTCCGTGGACCATTACCAGGCCGCAGCATGCCAGCAACTGGTCCACACAAACAAGCAAAGCCCCATCTGTGGGATGCAGGCAACACACAAAACTACATGTTCTCTGGTCCGTAGAAAAACCTTTCTCCACGGAACCGGTCCCTGGTGGTGCCCAAAAGTTTGGGGACCTCTGCTCTATCCAAGTTGTGGACTTCGTTGTCTTCAAAAGAATGACCCTTATATTTCAAATGCAGATGGGTCCTGAATCCAGTCCAGTGTTATGCCATAGGTTTATGAAGTGGTGGTTTTGTTTCCCCAATGTACAGATCTGTTTTTGTATGCCTTGTTTTACCTCAAAAACCAGTCCAGTTGCCTTTTCAAAATAAAAACCACTTTTGATACAACTATGTTCTGGATAACTGAGAATCTTCATAGACAGTTATTCTGATACGTTCCTTGAATAGGAGGCTACCCTGAAATCCTAGGGGCATAGCCTGGACTTAGGTGGAAATGGTGACTTGTTACAAAGAGGATACTATATCGTCCGATGCCACATCAGTGACTTTGCCCTCTCCTTCCTGTGGGGATTGTTCCCTATAATCTCCCTCCCTGTGTTGCCAGTGTGGCATTTGTTAAATAATAATCTCTTTGCCCACAGGAGCGCTGGCGTCCCGCCTTTCCAAAGACACAACTATGATGAGCCGCTCGGTGCCACTCAACACCAATGTCTTCCTGCGATCCCTGATTAAGTCCATTGGGCTCTACATATTCATGATTCGCCTGTCCTGGCGCCTGACACTGCTAATGCTGATCGAGACCCCACTCATGATGGCCGTCCAGAAGTTCTATAATGTCCGTCATCAGGTATGGATCAGGGAGGCAGATGGCGGCCTAGAGCAGGGGTAGGCAACTTGGCTCTTTTATGACTCGTGGACTTCAACTCCCAGAATTCCTGAGCCAGCCATGCTGAGGAGAAAGAGAGGTTTCCAAGCTGAGCCATGCTGGCTCAGGAATTCTGGGAGTTGAAGTCCATGAGTAATAAAAGAGCCAAGGTTGCCTACCCCTGGCCTAGAGGGAATGGTGGTCACTTCTGGGTTTCTGAGACCAATTGCATGTGGGGAAGGAATCCCAGCTTGGGTGAGGGAGGGAATGGGCCAGCTCAGAGAAAGGAAAAACAAGCCAGAGAGGGGAAGAAAAAAACTTCAAGGGAGCTGAGCAGCGCAGAACACAGTGCTGTTTCCAGAAGGTCAGAAAAGGCAAGATGGCAGCCGTGTGATCAAAATCCACTCCTTTGTCTCTGTGGCTTATACAGAAGGATTGATTGTTGGTTGTGTGGCCTGGTTTCCTCTTTTCCTGGGCTGAAAGCAGGGATTGTGTGTGTTTGTGTGTCCCTGGCCATGTCTTCAGGTGAAAAGAGGATGAGAGCGCCACCTGCTGGCACCTACAAGGACAGATAGAGAAGGAGTTGGGGAAAGACAAAGAAGAAAGAAGGCCGAGACAAAAATATAGAGAAAAAGCAGAGGGAAATCCTACACATTTATCCTCAACTTGTGATCACAGTTGGGACCAGAATCTTGGTCATTGAGTAAAATGGTCATTAAGCAAGATGCCCACATGATTGTTTCGATTATGTCTGCAATCCTGGGATTCCCGGTTGTGGTCATTAAGTGATTTCCCAGGTCATTAAGAGGACGCAGCAAAAATGCTGCAAACTGCAGCTGAAATGTGTGCAGATTTTTGTGCGGAGTTGAAATCTTCCTGGCAGGCAGCCCTTTCATTCTCATATGCTCCTGCGGCCCACGGAAGAATTTCAGCTGCCCTCCAGGTGTGGAGGGGAAATTGCAACCTTTCTTACCGGTTCCCCATTTTTGCAGTTTTCTGCCCAAGCTGGCAGAGAAGTTCTCAAATGGTGATCACATGATCATGGGGAGTTTGACAACCAGTTGTAAATGTAGTCATGTGATCACAGGTGGGGAGCAATGTTTTATGACAGCCAGAAATTCTTTAAAGCAGGGGTTTCCAACCTTGGCAACTTGACTTGTGGACTTCAACTCCCAAAATTCCTCAGCCAGCCATGGTTGCCAAGGTTGGAGATCCCTGCTTTAAAGGCAGAAAGCACCGTTTCCAAAGCTACCGTGACTTTGACCAATCATTAACTGACTGGTGTTAAGTTGAGGGCTTACCTACAATAGGACTACAGAAATAGTTCTGAGAAAGAGACAAGAGTTGCTTAAATAAATGACGATGATGATATAACAACAACAAAACAACAACAATAATAATAGTAATAAAATTGGAAGGGACCTTGGAGGTCATCTAGCCCAACCTCCTGTTCAGGCAGGAAACTCTATACCATTTCAGACAAATGGCTGTCCAGTCTCTTCTTAAAAACTTAAAAACTTCCAGTGTTGGAGCATTCACCACTTCTGGAAGCAGGTTGTTTCACTGATTAATTGGAAGTTTCTCCTTAGTTCTAGGTTGCTTCTCTCCTTGATTAGTTTCCATCTGTTGCTTCTTGTCCTGCCTTCAGGCACTCTGGAGAATAGCTTGACTCCTTCTTTTTTGGGGCAACCCCTGAGATACTGGAAGACTGCTATCATGTCCCTCCTCGTCTTTCTCTTCATTAAAGTAGACATACTCAATTCCAGCAACCATTCCTTACATGTTTTAGCCTCCAGACCTCTAATTATCTTTGTTGCTCTTCTCTGTATTCTTTCTAGACTTTCAACATCTTTTTTACATCATGGTGACCAAAACTGGATGCAGTATTCCAAGTGTAGCCTTACCAAGGCATTGTAAAGTGGTATTATAGGGATCCAGAAATAAGATGTAGAACAATGTTTGTTAGAAATAACAGGGCTGTAAAATGAGCAGGACTAATTTTTTTTTATTTGTAAAGGCAATAAATGATATATAACTAATACATTGTAATAAAATTCCTTTTCTGAAAGGAAACAACATGGAAAAAATGGATGATGCTGAATTTCTTGGACTCTTGATGCAATCCAACTCTTATCTCAGAGATGGTTTTTCCAAAAGGCGATTGGACTTTTTTTTTCCTTTTGAAAATGTTTCACTTCTCATCCAAGGAGTTTTATCCTGCCCATGCAGATCGAATGCTTCCCTCTCCACTTTAGACAGGCAGTATTCACTTAAATGAATAGATTAGAAGATTACTTTATTCACAGGTATTCTCAATCAATAATTCACAGTTACAGCTGAGATGCGTCCGGAATACTGTGGCAATCTGAATCCATTTCATTAGGTAAAAGGTTAATGGTTCTTTGTCAACCTGTATACAATCACATGTTTGCAGAACAAAGCTTCCAACACATGCATCTGGAAGCCATGGAAGAGAATGAGCGAAAACTAGGCACAAAGCCAGGAAGTACAGTCGTAAAACTTTGCAACTCCTCCCACATAGCATTAACTAACAGCTAAGACTACATTACCTATAAGCCATCTCTTAAGGAAACAGCGTTTAACCCTATAAATGCCAAACATTCTAACATACAGTTCATTCAATAATATATCATTAATCTTATAAATACTAAACACAATAACACAATTCTCAAGTATATACTGTGATCAAATGATTACATAACTGGTCCAGAACAAGTTTCTTCAGTTCTAATTGACTGCTGGGGAATGACCTACCAGTCAGAACTGAAGAAGCTCCTTGGATGAGAAATGAAATATTTTCAAAGGAAAAAAAAAAACACAAGAAACCCCAGTTGCCTATTGGAAAAAAGCACCTTTGAGACAGCCGTGATCTGGATGATTGAGAATCTCCAGAGACAACCCAACTTTTAATTTGAGTAAATGAAGCCCCCCTCCCCAGAAATAATAATAGGAGGGTATACCTCCTTCTCTGTCAAGCTTGAAGCGTGTGTGTGATATTGCTACCATTACTGCTTCTCAGCTTGCCAACGCGCTAGGGCACGGATCAGCAGTCCACGGCTCCAGAGCCACATGTGGCTCTTTGAGCCTCCTGCGGCTCCCATCCGGCTCCCATCCTCCTCTGCCATTTGCAGAGAGAGAGGCACTTGCGCTTCTCTCTCTCTCTCTCTCTCTCTCTCTCTCTCTCTCTCTCTCTCTCTCTCTCTCTCTTTATGTATGTATGTGTGTAAAAAAGAGAGTGGCCTCACGCTGTTCTCGGACATGCTGACAAGCTTATTGGGTGGGGCTCCTGCCTTTGCTGCATCTCAGCAGAAAGCAGCAGCTCGCTCTCTCTCTCTCTCTCTCTCTCTCTCTCTCTCTCACACACACACACACACACACACACACACTGAGTGGGGGAAGAGACTGGCAGACCAAGGGAAGGAGAGAGCCAGCCCAATAAAAATGTGTGTCAGCTTGTCGGAGCACAGTGTGAAGCCAACTTGCTAGGTGAGCAGAAGATTGGAGACAGGGAGAGAGGGGGGAGAGGGAGAGAGACAAAGACGGAGAGAAAGAGAGAGGAAGATAGAACTCATGCACAGCAACCTCTATTTCTTTTTAATTAAACTCTTCAATCAAGCTCCCCCCCCTTGCATGTGCACGAATGCACACAAGTTTTGCGGCTCCCAGTGTTTTCTCTGGGAAATGGGTCCAAGTGGCTCTTTGTGTTTTTAAGGTTGCCGACCCCTGCACTAGGGGAAAGGAGAGAGGGGTATGGAATGCAGGCTCCAGACAAGAAGTCAAGCCGTGTGAACCAAGGACGTTTCAGCAGGTGTTGGCCAACCCACAGAGACACTTTCTCATAACAATATTTTGACAACTGCTTGGACAGTGTGACCTGCACTAATAGGGGGAGGCAGAATTCTATATTTTAATTATCATGGTTTGCATAGGAAGTAACCAGAGCTGATTTTTGTTTTCATTCGTGCCAAAATGATGTACGCAATAAAATTTTGCATTAAGAGATTGGATTGTCTCGTCGGTGCGTACTTAGTTGGGTTCGTCAGTCGGAACCTTGACATTCTGGCTTGCATCCGGTCGCCTGCAAGTGAGAAATAATTGAAATAAAATAGAGGGAAGGGGAGCGAAGCAGTTTTGGAGTCTCTCCCCTCCAAATGAGGCCCCTGGATTTGGGTTTGGGTATCACCACCACCAGCAAGATGCCTGATCCAAGGTTGCTTTCAGGAGGCTCACTTTGCCACTTCCTTCATGATCCACCCAGGCATTACTGAAGGCGATCCAGGACTCGGTGGCCCGCTCAGAGGAGGTGGTGCGCGAGGTAATCTCCTCCGTGCAGACGGTGCGCAGCTTTGCCACTGAGGAGAAGGAGTCGCAGCGCTACGAGGCGTCCTTGGAAGACACCTGCCGGCTGAGGAACCAAAGGGACTTGGAAAGGATCGTTTACTTATTCACTGTACGGGTAAGTCTGCTAGGACTCAGGGATCTTCAACCCTGGCAACTTTAAGACTTGTGGACTGCATGGTTGGCTGAAGAATTCTGGGAGTTGCAGTCAAGTCGTAATGTCGCCAAGGTTTTTTTGAATCCTAGCAACCACATAAAGTTTTTCCAGGGTGATCTATCTCTAGCCTGTTTTTTCAAGTCTCCTAATGGTGCATTCATCACCATTTGTCTGAAATGGTACCTATTCTGTTCTGTTCTATTCTGTTCTATTCTATTCCTATTTCTATTCCTATTCCTATTCTGTTGTGTTCCTATTCCTATTCTGTTGTATTCCTATTTCTATTCTATTTATATTTCTATTCTTTTCTATTTGTATTCTAATTCTATTCTATTCTATTTCTATTCTTTTTTTCTATTTCTATTCTATTTCTATCCTTTTCTATTTCTATTGTAATTCTTTTCCTAGTCTATTCCTATTCTAATTCTATTCTATTCTCTATTCTCTATTCTCTGTTCTATTCACTATTCTATTCTACTCACTATTCTGCAACTGAATCCATTTACCTTGCTGCTGGTCATCCTCTTCCACCTTTCCTGGCATTGGAGCCTTTCTCAGGAAGCAGGGTGCCCACATAATGTGTCTGAAGTAGGATAATTTGAGTCTGTCATTTGTGCCTTGAGTGAGAACACTGGTTTCATTTATTCAATGACCCATCGGTTTGTTTTCTTGACTGTCTGTGATATTCTCAGGAGTCTTCTGTGACTCCACAGTTAAAAACTGTCAATACTTTTCCTATTCTTCCTCTTCAAAGTCCAACTTTCGCTTCCATAGAGTATCACAGGGAATACTACTGTGCTGGACCAGTTATGTAATCATCTGGCCAGAGTATATACTTGAGAATTATGTTAGAATGTTTGGCATTTAAAGGGTTAGGCGTTGTCTCCTTAAGTGATGGCTTATGGGTAATGTAGTTTAGCTGTTAGTTAATGCTATGTGGGAGGAGTTTCAAAGTTTATTGCAGTACTTCCTGGCTTTGTGTATGTAGAAGCCATTGTGAAGACAGACACGAGGTGATGTGTCCCAAAAGAGCCACGGGGTGAGTCTACCATTAATTTTTTACCCGAAAGAATGGAGAAGGTTATGATATGTTCATCAGAAGAACTCTTCTTGACTATAAGTTATTGATTGAGATTCCTGACGAATAAATAATCTGAATATTATCCCATTCTTTGGAGTTTATCTGCCTGAGAAGAACAGGATTAAAGCAGATATCTTGTTTGGATCAGAACAACTACGCCTTCACAATCTTTGTGGGTTTAAATGCATCATGGCATTTGAATATCTTTTCCATTCATGGCTGCGCTACCGTTTCTCCCACTCCAGGTCCTCCAGTTGGGCCTGAAGCTGATCCTGCTTTACTGTGGCTACCAGCAGATCTGCAACGGCCTCATGACCAAAGGAAACCTGGTCTCCTTCATCCTCTACCAGGCAAATGTGGGGTTGTACGTGCAGGTTGGTAAACATACAGATTTGAAAATGTTTTCTTCTGTATTATTTCCATCCCTTTAAGTTACGTGTCCTCAGAAATGCTGTTTTTCCAAAAATAGCACTTTGGGGGGCAGTTACCTGGGGATTTAATTGTGTTGGGAATCTCCATAAGGAGGGGAAGGCGTTCCAGATTTCAAATCGGATGTCTTTTCTCTTTTAAAAGTAATTTATTGCCACTTTAAACCATTGGGAACAGAAACCAGTAATTTGCACAAAGTTACAAGCTGAAAATTGCAGATAAGACTTGGCTGAAACTGGAGGCTCGTCTTCAAGAAGCAAACAATTATTTTCTACAGTTCGGTTGCTTTCAGAAAGTGCTTGAAACAACATGAGATACACTATAAAAAAAAAACTTTTTTCCTCCCTCCCCTCCTTTTTCTTCCTGGACTTTCTCACCCAGCAGGAGGCAGCATCTGCTCTGTAGGTTCAGAAAGCAGGGGTTGGCCTGGTTAGTTGGATAGGAGACCACCTAGGGATCCCGAGGTAGTGAATTGGACTACAAATCTCCCACCAAAGGCCCAGGCCAGGTTCTTCTGCATTGTTGCCAAGAAAACTGCAGAGACACATCTGTGTGGTCAGCAGGAGTCAGGCTGGACTTGAGCATATCATTAAAGTTGATCCTCTCCCCAAGGCAGCTTCTTTCAAGAACTTCCAAGTTTAGCTTTCAAAGAGATCATTAGTTATTGCAGGATCCAATCTGGGTCTGGTCCTGGTGATTGACCCAGATTGGATCCTGCAACTTTTATCCTGGGACACATATCTTCGCCTTCATTTGTGAGATCATTAATATCCGTAAGATATTCTATGCATAATGTTCTGGACCAGTGATGGCAAACCTTTTAGAGACTGAGTGCCCCAAAACCTTCCCCCCGCCCGCAGGGCCACCCCCCGCCTCCACAACCTGCCGCAGCAGTTCGCCAAGGCAGCCCAGCAGTGCCATGTGGCCATGCCCTCTGCCTGCACCCCGCAGCATAATCTGTGTGCAATGGCGCGAGGGCAGAGTCTTGTCCCTGCTGCCTGGCTGTCATGTCCTTGACTGTGCTGCTCCGCGCAGCCCGCGCTGTGGGGTGACTCTCCTCTGGGGGGCTGTGGATGAGGAGGGGACCATGGGAGGAGGTGGGTCTGTGGCTCTGAGTGTCCCTCTCTGGCACGCATGCTATAGGTTCGCCACCACTGCTCTGGACAAATGCACTGAGATCCTTGGGAGGAAATTCAGTTCTCATTCCAACTGGACTTTTTGAGTGTTGCTTTAGACAAGGGCTTTTCAACGGGTGGTACGTGTTCCACTTCTGGTACTTGGCCACATGGTAGGTGGTACGCCAAGTGTAGCAGGGGAGGGAAATGAACCAAAGTGAGCCAAGCCTGAGGGAGAGGCAGCTCCAGCTGATTGGCTCCAGAAGCAGCTGATTGGCACTTCCAGAAGCAGCTGAGAACTGGAGGTGAACTGAAGAAAAAGAGGGGGGAAGAGAGGAGAGGCTATAAAAGAACGTGGTTTGGGTGGGGGAAGGAGAAAAAAGACAACAGGAAAGGTTTAATCCCTTTAAACAAATGTAATTGGTTTTACCACTTTTAATTGAGTCTGTCTGTGGCTTTTAGAAGGTTTTTTTTTTTTTAAGGTAAACTGGCTTAGTTTAAAGGTAAAGCTTTCCGCAATTGCCAGAGCTTTTCAGTCTAGAATTGCAACATTGTGACATGTGACATGCCTGAGACAGCTTAAAGAGGAAAATAAACCAAAGTTTGTGTTTCTTTATTTTCTTGCTTTGCACTTGATTCCTGTGTCTTTAAGGGTACAAGGAAGGGATTGGGGGGTGCATTCTTACTACACCGTGGAAGAGCTCAGAAGGGTCAACCAGCTAGCTCAGGAGTCGACAAACTTAGCAACTTTAAGACCTGTAGACTTCCAACTCCCAGAATTCCTCAACCAGCCACAAGGGCTGAGGAATTCTGGGAGTTGAAGTCCACAAGTGCCAAGTTTGAAGACCCCTGAACTAGCTGGTAATGGTGCATATTAATAAACATGGATAAATGCATCATACATTTGTCAGGGCAAAGGGAAAGTGATTCAGCAAAGGAACAGCCACCGAAGAAATTAAAACTGGTTCTTTTTTTCTACAGTTTGTAAGATTTTATTAGATTATAAAATAAAATACAAAAATACAAAAGCAAATAGTAGAACACGGGGGGGGGGGGAAGTGAGGGGGGGAAGGGAAAAAGAACAGGCTTCCTCTGTTGCAGTAGAAGAAAGCGTTAACATTGAATGTCAACTTTTTACTTTTCCATAATATTATAAACTAGCTATTTCTATAACAACAAATGAATCTAATCAGTAAAACCCACCCACCTCCTTTTTTTTAGTCATTAAGTTTTTGACACTTTGCTAAGCACTGGTGGTACTCAAATATTGTCATGTCCTAAAAGAGGTACAATCTGTGAAAAGATTGAAAAGCCCTGCTTTAGACAACCAGTCAGAATAGAGCTGGAAAGGACTGTGGAAGTCTTCTAGTCCAGCCCCCTGCTCAAGCAGGATACCCTATACCAGGGTGTCAAAACTGCCGGCCCACGGGCCAGATGCATCCTAGCAAAACCGCGTCCACCCATTGATACGTCGTGACATGTCACGTGACATTGCAAGTTTGACACCCCTGCCCTATATCATTTCAGACAAATGGCTGTTCAGTCTCTTCTTTAAAATCTTGAGTGATGAAGCTCCCACAACATCTGAAGGCAAAGCTGTCCACTGGTTAGTTGTCCTGACTGTTAGGAAGTTTCTCTTTAGTTCCAGGTTGCTTCTCTCCTCAATTAGTTTCCATCCATTGTTTCCTGCCCTCTGATGCTATGGAAATTAAGTTGAGCCCCCTCCTCCTTGTGGCAGCCCTTCAAATACTGGAATACTACTCTCGATGCTCAAAACACAGTAGCCAGCTGTATTCCTCCCTTCGCAGATGTTCTCATGTCTTAACATTGTTGCCCCTTCCTTTTCCTCCCACAGACCTTGATTTACACTTATGGGGATGCCCTAAGCAATGTGGGCGCAGCAGAAAAAGTATTTGAATATATTGACCGGAAACCTTCTGTCAGCACAGAAGGGACGCTGTCTCCAGAAACCCTCTCTGGACACATCTCCTTCCAAAACGTTACCTTCTGCTATCCTTCCCGCCCCGAGATCCAGGTCCTGAAGGTATCTTATGGGAAAATGGGAAGCACCCGGGTTACTTTGCATGACACCCTAACACAGTGGTTCTCAACCTGTGGGTCGGGACCCCATTTGGGGTCGAACGACCATTTCACGGCGGTCGCCAAACAATGCAGTCCGCCATTTTTTTCCCCCTTTTCCTTAGCTGTGCTACTCCCCTTTATTCTATTGGCTTTTGAAAGCCAATAGAATAGACTCTCTTGAATAGAGTCTAATTCTATTGGCTTTCAAAAGCCAATAGGAATTGTCCAGGCTGTCTCTGCCCTGCTGAGCCTGCCAAAAGTCCCATTCTGCAAACAGTGCTGCACCAGTTGAGTAGACCTCGACTTACGACCGGTTGAGTAGTCCTCGACTTACGACCGATTGGGGGTCGCGGCATTAAAAAGGTTGAGAACCACTGCCCTAACAGTACATCATTCAAATGCAGTTGCTAAAAGCTTTAAGTAACTCAGTTAAATGGGTTGTGTGTTCTACAAACGTCATCGCGATCATTTAATTTTGATAAAGAACGTTGGAAGGAAGAATGTTGAGACTTTAAAGGTCTTTAAAAAGACAAAGCAAGTTTCTCTACAGGCACCCCTTAACTTTACGACAGTTTGTTTAGTGACTGTTCAGAGTTAGGACAGCAGTGACAAAGGGGACTTAAGACAATTGATCATGCTAACGACATGCAGCATCCCCATAGTCAGGTGATCAGTATCCAGACACTTGGCGACTAACTCATATTCATGACGGTTGCAGTGTCCCGAGCTGCAGCCTTCCGACGAGCAAAGTCAATGGAGAAGCCAGATTCACTTAACAACCATGTTATTAACTTAACAACTGCAGTAATTCACTTAGGAACTGTGGCAAGAAAGGTCGTAAAATAGTGCAAAAGTCACTTAATCACAGACTCACTTAGTAGCAAATATTTGGGGCTCAGCTCTGGTGGTAAGCTGAGGACTATTTGTGCTGTATGAGACTGGGACTATGGCATCTAAGTATGACATTAATTAACACAGCACATTGCTGCTGCATTTCGCGTTTTATTTGCATCTCATTGTGCCCTAGAATGTCTCCTTTGAGCTCTGCCCTGAGAAAGTGACGGCGCTGGTGGGCCCGAACGGCAGCGGAAAGAGCAGCTGCGTCGCCCTCCTGGAGCACTTCTACGAACCCCAGTCTGGGGAGGTCCTGCTGGATGGAGAACCAATTGGGAAATATGAGCACAAGTATCTCCATAAGCAGGTGAGATAGGACTATCACCTGCAGGAAGAGGCTTTGGGAAGGGAGGGGGTGATACATGACATTAGGATGATATGGTTGGAATTGTCTGGGCTTTAAGAACATCTATATCATCCGTCCGTCTATCTATCTATATATCTATCATCTATCGATCGATCAATTGATAGATTATAGATAAATGATATAGGTAGGTAGGTAGGTAGGTAGGTAGGTAGGTAGATAGATAGACAGACAGACAGACAGACAGACAGACAGACAGATGACAGATAGAGATAGATAAGAGCTGTGGTGGTGCAGTGGTTAGAATGCAGTACTGCAGGCTACTTCTGCTGACTGCCAGCTGCCAGTAGTTCAGCAGTTCGAGTCTCATCAGCTCAAGGTTGATTCAGCCTTCCATCCTTTTGAGGTTGGTAAAACAAGGACCCAAATCGTGTGGGCAATATGCTGGCTCTGTAAACTGCTTAGAGAGGGCTGTAAAGCATTGGGAAGAGGTATATAAGTACTGTTGCTATTGCTAGATAGATCACAGATGGATGGATGGATGGATGGATGGATGGATGGATGGATGGATAGATAGATAGATAGATAGATAGATAGATAGATGATAGATAAATAGACAGATAGATGATATAGATCAGGGATGTCAAACTCAATTTCATTGAGGGCCGCATCAGCATTACGGTTGCCCTTGGGGGGCTGGGTGGGTGTGGTCAGGGTGGGTGCGGCCTACTGGGTGGGTGTGGCTGGAGTGGGTGTGGCCTACTGGGTGGACATGACCAGCTCTACATCGTTCACATCAAGGGTGCCTGTCAGGGCCTGGGCAGGAGTGGGACAGATCTGAGGGTCTCTGGAAGAAGGGGGTGGGACCAGGGCAAGCGCCAAGGCATGGTGCATTTCTTCATTCCTCACAAAGGGTGACACCTCCCCAGCATGCACCTAGGGGGTGGGGCCAACATGGCAGGGGTTGGTTCCTTGCTGTTTCCAGACGGCCTTGTGGAGCTAAGACTGAATACGTTTCCACATAGATGGCCACCACAAAATTGTACATTGGCTCCCTCCCAGCCGGCCAGGACCAAGGCAGGGGGGCCGTTCTCTCACTGTTTCCAGGCCGCATCCGGCCCCCGGGCCTTGTGTTTGACATGTCTGATATAGATGAGATCGATAGATAGATAGATAGATAGATAGATAGATAGATAGATAGATAGATAGATAGATAGATAGATAGATACCGTATATGCCGGCGTATTAGGCGACCCGGCGTATAAGACGACCCCCGTCTTTATAGCCGGGCCGCATTCCTAGAACGTCGTCTTATACGCCGGAAACTACCAGTATTTCCGGCGTATAAGATGACCCCCGTCTTTGGCGCCGATTTCAGTGCTCGCGGAAGTCGTCTTATACGCCGGCATTTACGGTAAATAGATAGATAGATAGAAGTCATCCATCTTATCACATGCATTGCGTTTTTCTTTGTGTGCTTGTTTTAAAATGCTATTTTTTATGGCATACACTGCATTTTTTATGCTGTTTCTTCCTCAAAAAAGTGGGAAGAGCCTCTGATTTTCAGAAATTGTGTGGCTGACATCCACAATTCCCATAGACAAAAATGAACGCAGTGCCACTAAGGCAATTTTGGAAGCCACAAAATTGGGGCTTGGAATGTCCAAAGTTCCTCAGATCTGCTCTAGTGCAGAAGATAGTAAAAGATGCCTGGGATGAAAGGCTTTTGATTTCTTATGTTCCTTGATAAGTAAAAAGGTGCTGCATTCAAGAAATTCTGCACATGTGGTTCATATCCTGAGATAAAAGATTAGAATCTCCTTTGGTCTCTGATTGTGGCTATGCCATTTCTCTGGCGACAGTGTAAAGGTTATGATATGTTTTGGTGACCTTGAATTAAATCCAGGTGCCAACAAAGTTTGATCCTACTTAGCTTTTCAAAATCAGGTGAGGTTGGCTGGGTGCCACCACTTTGCCTCCAAATTAAAAAGAGCAGAGAACAGCACAAGCTCTACAGTTGGGAGTATTGAATCATACAACTGCACGTAAGATTCACTATAAGAAAGATTAGGGGTGAACATGATAGCAGTGTTCCAATACCTTGGGCTGCCACAAAGAAGTGGTCAAGCTTTTCTCCAAAGCATCTGAAGTCAGGACAAGAAACAATGGATGGAAACTAGTCAAGGAGAGACCCAACCTAGAATTAAGGAGAAATTTCCTGACAGTGAGAACAATTAATCAGTGGAACAATTTGCCTCTAGAAGTTGTGAACGTCCCAACACTGGAAGGTTTTAGGAAGAGATTGGGAAACCATTTGTCTGAAATGGTAATAGGGCTTCCTGCCTGAGCAGGGGGTTGTACGAGAAGATCTCCACGGCCCCTTCCAACTCTTGTTATTCTGAATTCTGCATATTGAGCATCAACCTTGAGCATCAACCAGCCCCACCTTGGAAAAGTGTTTGATGAGGAAGATCAATAGAGTTTCTCCCTCAGTTCTGATAGGCCTCCCTGTCCAATTGCAGGTGGCCCTGGTGGGCCAGGAGCCCGTCCTATTCTCCGGGTCCATCTGGGACAATATCACCTATGGCCTGCAAGGCTGCACTGAAGAAGATGTGATCAGAGCAGCGAAAGAAGCTGATGCCCTGGGATTCATCAATGAACTGGAAGGAGGCTTCACTGCAGGTGGGCAAAATCCGCTCTCCCCCTTTGATTCATCCCAGAAAACCCTATGTTCCTCCCAAAAAACCCACGAGGCCTGATTATTGGCTTTTATAAAGTGAAATCCTCATTACTTTGTTGCAATATATACAGTAGTGTTAGGATCATTCCATTGTTCCAAATTACAGTGGCGCTGAAAAAAACAGAGGTGGCAACTAGTCCTTGACTTTGCCCCTCCCCTGCAGTCATGGGATCGCAATCTGGGTGCTTGGCAACCCTTGCACTTACAACGGTTGCGGTGCCCCACGATCAAGTGAGCACCATTTGCAACCTTCCTTGCCAGCTTCCGACAAGCAAAGCCAGTGGGGAAGCCGCAAAGTAGGTGACGAGTCGCTGGGATAAATCTCTCCCACCTGGCAGGAGCTACTTCAGTATCTAGTATCCGCAAAGATAGGCACGACCTGCTCCGACACCCGCTCTCCTTTGCCTGGCAGCAGACACTTGGGGGCCCCAAAAATGTAGTACATCTCTGAGAGGTGTGGCTGCCTATGTACCCTCCCACACCAATTCCCGCATCCAAAAAGCCGCACCCAGAGTGCTGGAGCCACCCACACACCCTCGCCCCCCTGACATCAGCCACTTATTGCCTGCCAGCCTTTTTGTGAGCCTCCTGGGATTTTGAAATTCCTGTAGCCAACCCTCCTGACTTTGCTTGTGAGAAGCCAGCAAGTAATGGCAGGGGGATCCTAGCCTAATGACCAGTGGGGTTAAGTTAACAATGGCAGTTAGGACTGCATGCATGGATTGCCTTCACCAAGCAAAGCGGTCACACGATGTCCCATTTTACGCGTAGCTTGCTTAGCAACAGAAACCCCAGTCGTACTTACTGGTGTGTAACCTGAGGCCTACTGGTAAAGCTCTGGGTTACACGGATGGCTCCAATTGTAATGATGTCATTGAAAGACTAAGATAGGAAAGAACATTCCAAGAGCTGATTGCACTCTTGCGCCATTTCCAAAATCACGTGTCCTAAAATCTCTTCTGCCGTTGTTAAAAGTACAAGGAGTTGGTTTTTCTCCTCCGGACTTTTTGCACTGAAATTACCGTAAGAGAGCCAGCTGTCCTGATTGCAGTTTCCCCCTCCCACTTCAGAGAGTGTCGGGCTTCAGGGTTTGCCTGGGTCTGCAGCTCATTGCTTTGCCACCCCTTAGGGCAAAAGATGAATAGGAGTAGGAGTAGAAATGGTGTGGTGTGTGGAGTGGAGTGGAGTAGAATTCTTTATTGGCCAAGTGTGATTGGACACACAAGGAATTTGTCTCCAGTGCATAAGCCCGGGGTGGCGAACCTATGGCACATGTGTCACAGCTGACACAAAGAGCCCTCTCTGTGGGCATGTGCGCTGTCACCCCAGTCCTAGGCCTTCAGCTGGGTTTTATAAAACCTTTTCGCTTTAGGCTTCCACCGCCATGTGCAAAAAAAAAAAGGGTTCAATCAATCAATTTCAACTTCTTCTGGGGAAAAAAAGATCTCGCAAAGTTGGAATTGATTGATTGAACTTTTTAGTCCCACCCAGTCTGCCGTTACCACTGCAGCCACACCCACCCAATGGGCCACGCCCACCCAATGGGCCACATCCATCCAGCATCCGACAATATATAAGTGGGTTTTGGGTTGCAGTTTGGGCACTCAGTCTCTAAAAGGTTCGTCATCACTGGCATAAGCTCTCATACAAGCAACAATTGATAAATCACGATTACAATCTTTGGACGACCTTGACTTCGCTCTTGATTGCTTCTGTCTTTCTTGTCTTCCTGCAGAGGTGGGGGAGAAGGGAGGGCAGCTCTCCATCGGGCAGAAGCAACGATTGGCCATTGCCCGGGCCCTGATCCGTGACCCGAAGGTCTTGATACTGGATGAAGCCACGAGTGCCCTCGACACCAAGAGTGAAGCTGCAGTGAGTGCAAGGGATCTGTGAGGAGGGCTGGGGATGGACTTTAGCTGGGTTAGTTCAGGGACCCTGAAGAGCTTAATCTGAACGTTTGTGTGGTGACAGCATAGGAAAACTGGGCTTATTTGACCAGAAGTGTCATAATTTCTTCCTAGGTGATAGACTTTAAACTCTGGTGCCATCCCAATATGGTAAATTTAGAGTTTTATATTGAGTTGTCTTCTCTTTTATCAGCTTGTCTTCTGGGGGTTATTGTGATTTGAATCTCAAGTCCTTAGAGGGCTGCTGGCTTATGTACAGTGAAAACTATTTAACAATAGTTTGTAAGCAGATATGAATCAAGGTGGCGCAGTGGTTAGAAGGCTACTTCTGCTGACTCCTGGCTGCCAGCAGTTTGGTAGTTCTATTCTCACCGGCTCACGATTGACTCAACCTTCCATCCTTCCGAAATTGGTAAAATTGTTGGGGGCAATATACTGTAAACCACTTAGAGAGGGCTGTAAAGCACTGTGAAGCGATATATAAGCATAAGTGCTATTGCTATATGGATCTAAATGTTTGAGATGTTGGGTTGGTGGCTTGATCCCTGAGCTTGGCGATTTGGCTGCAAACGTTTCATTTCCATTCGGAGAGGCATCTTCCGCGCATTATGAATTGTGCTCATCTGTCAGAGCACTGGCCTTTAAATACCTTTTTGTGCAATGTAAATTGGTGTGGATGCTGTTTGTCTGGATTTTGTCCAGATCCGACCATTACTCAGCAAAATCCAGACAAACAATACCCACACCAATTTACCTGACACAAAAGGGTATTTAAAAGGCCAGTGCTCTGACAGATGAGCACGATTCAAAACGCACTGAAGATGTCTCCCCGAATGGAGACCAAACGTTTGCAGCCAAATCGCCAAGCTCGGGGAACAAACCAACAGCCCATCTAAATGTTTATTTGTACAGATGTAAATATGTTTATTCACTTTACCAGCCTGACATGCCCCTCTGGTTTTAAACTAACTTGGAGCTGCTGACACACTTAACCATGCGTAAAATTAAAACAACAAATACAGCCAAATGGCAAACAGTATTGCAGGAGAAAATCAAATATTGTGAATATTTTGCATCAGTAATTCTCACCGGATTGTGATGCTAGGAAGGGAAGTGAAAATGGTGGGCAGCTTCTCCTCTGTGGTACTTACATTCTGGTGAGAGAGAAGTTCCCTGAGGATGGGCTCCAACATGAGTCTGAAAGCTCAGAAGGCTAAACCTCTGGTCCTGGTGACTGACCCAGATTGGATCTTGCAACATTATCCTGGGACACACATATTTGCCTTCATTTGGGTGGCTTTTATTGTTTTCCAGACTGCAAAACATTTGGGGCCAAACTCTATTGCAGAGCTGGAGAAACCCTTTTCGGTGGAAATGTGAGGGAGATTCTAGCTAGTGCTTCTAAGGAACTGAGGATTTCCTTTGGATCACTGCTTCCTTTTCCAGATCCTGGAGTCTCTGCAGAAAAATAAAGCTCGGACCGTGCTGGTGATTGCTCACCGGATGCAGACGGTGGAAAACGCAGACAAGATTGTGGTGCTGGAAGACGGTGTTGTGAGTCTGTGCCAGCCAGTGGACCCAGCAGCTGAGTCCGTGAAATCAGAGGAGAAGGAGGAGGGGTTTGCAGAGCCATCAGAGTCGAAGGAAGGCTCTGATGAGTTACAGGACTCACAATCGGATGAAGAGCGTGGCCCCTCCAGTCGTGCTCCGGATGAGACTCAGCTGTGTGGGGAGGATGAGTCAGACTCTGAGGACTCACAGCTGGAAGTCATTAGAGATGCTTGTAAGGCAGTTAACTAGAGCAGGTCAGAGGGAGACAATACAGCAACTCCAAGGGAGGAGGAGAAGGCATTGAGAAACCACGCCTTGGGGCTGTTTAATAAAAAGGGAAGGTATGGGCGGTGCTGGTTGCTGAAGGCAACCATTGCAAAGTACTTCCTGGGATCATGTTCTGTTGGTATTGCTAGTGACTAATTCCGTTTTGCATTGTGTTTCGTGTGGACAATTTCCTCCATTTGGATTGTATTTTGTTGCTTTTGTTTTTGGACCATTTGGCAGGTTTGTTACCAATATTAAAAGGGTTTTTTGTTTTCTTCTGAGTCTCCAGCCTATTTCTCAAAAGGGGTTTTGTCCTTGTGCATTTAACAAGGATGGCCATAGGCTGGGACAGAATAGGTAGAGAGGTTGTGGAGGAGTAGACTTACATGGAATTGATGGACAGGAGAGGCCTCTTGTACAGACTGGTGGAAAGGACCCAGGCGGAGTGACTTCCGGCATTGCAACGGAGATGCTTGGCCACGGGATCCACTGCTTTTGTAGATGCCAAATGCATGATTGGCCGGGGAGATAGACAACAGCACCCTTCTATGGAAAGAGAATGACCCAGAAGGCCACCTGTCCATCAGCTCTTGATCAGTCAAGAGTTGATGAATGGCAGCCATTTAGAAGAGGCGGTTGTCTTTCTTATCTGAACACAATTCATGTGGTGTTAAGTAGTGACTTGGACCCCGGAAACTCTTATGAAAGATGCACAATCCTGTTTCAAACACACCAATACCCCAGTTTTTCCTTTGTTTGAATTTAGCGTGAGAGGCTTCTCTTTTTTTGGTACAACCTGCCTTTTTTGTCACACTTTTTAATATTGGTTGCGGTAACTTGACCTCTTGTTTATTTAACAAAACAAAGTCTGTGTGTGATCCCTTTTAGTTCTAGCAAATCTGCTTGTAGATGGAAGTCACATAAGTAGCTCTCAATTAGTACGGTTAGAGAATCCCACAAAATGGCTGCATTATTTGAATTTGTACTACTGGAAATGATATTGAATATATTATGCAAAGAGCCAGCTCTCTAGAGAACGGTCTAACACTGGGAAAGAAAGGCAGAAGGAAAGAGAAGTGGATGACCAATGCAAGAGGAATGGATTCAGTTTCTGAAGTGATGGGGAATCCTGAAGATCCAGGTAGATATTTGAATGCTAAGAATTGACACGGAAGACACTCAATCAGTCATTAGTCAAACATCTATACCAGGGGTAGGCAATCTTGGCTTTTATGACTCGTGGACTTCAGCTTCCAGAATTCCTGAGTCACTGGCTCAGGAATTCTGGGAGTTGAAGTCCACGAGTCATAAAAGAGCCAAGGTTGCCTACCCCTGATCTATACAATAGAATAGATAATTCAAACAGCAGTTTTTCTCAGCAACAACATAAAAATGGGTTAACCATTACCCCTTTCACAGGTTTTCAGCTTGCCAGTGAAGCTCAATTTTGAGGCAGCAAACTGTGAGCAAGGGATTCATGGATTCAAAGGCAATGAAACAGCGGATAGTTGAAATAATATATTGAGCAAAGCAATAATTACTTTAATCATACACTGTATTCAACAAGAAAATACAGTAGTTGCAAGCAAGGCTGTAAAATAACTGAAATCTGCACTGGAATAAAAAATAAGAGCAAAATATGGTCTGTTGCATCTTTTAGCTTCATTCTGTCCCTGCGAGAGAATACTGCAAATCTTCAATTCTGGCAGCTGCTATGGTATTAAATCAGCCAAACCCATTTTAATCTGTATTATGACAAGTAAATGAGTCTGTCAAGGATCTTCCACATTTAATTTGAGTGGATTCCTCATTTGGGCTCTTGATTTATAAAACAGGCAGGGAGAATTTATCAGTTAACTGTATGTATTTTATCTCCTATTGGACTTGCTATCTAATCAGACTCAAATATTTACTTTCTAAAGATCCCAGCTTATCATTAACCATGTCCCAGTGTAATTAATGCTTGGAGGATAAATAAAATTCCAGCTCAAAGCATCATTCTTTGGCCCACACGGTAAGCTTTCCCCCCATGTTTGAATCCTTTAAAGATGAGTAACTTGTTTTGAATTAATTGCATGGCTTTACGTGGTTTCTCCTGTATGGATCCATTTTGTAAAAAAAGCAAATGTGCTGCAATCATTAAAACTATTTTCACACTCCATACGTTTATATGGTCACACCTGTGTGGATCTACTTATGAGAGTCAAGTTGTCCTTTCTTAGCAAAGCTCTTTTCACACTGCATTTATGTGGTTCCTCCCTTGTGCGGATCCTTTCATGACCTGTAAGATGTCCTAAGTCAGTGTTTCTCAACCTTGACCATTTTAAGGCATGTGGACTTCAACTCCCAGAATTCCACAACCAGCAATGCTGGCTGTGGAATTCTGGGAGTTGAAGTCCACATGCCTTAAAATTGTCAAGGTTGAGAAACACTGTCCTAAGTTAACTTCCCAGGATTCATACATTTATATGGTCACTCCCCAGTATGGATCCTTTTATGAGAATTAAGGTGTCCTTTCTGAGTAAAGTTCTTCCCACATTCCACATTGCATCTATCATGTTTCTCCCCTGTGTTGATCCTCTTGGCTTTTTCTGCCTTTTGTGCTTGGTTGTTCCTGGTTGGTTGAGTCTTCAAAAGTTGATTGGGTTTCAAGAGGCTGCATAACCTTAAAAAAAAAACAAACCCAGAAGTTTACTCCTTGTGCTGTTTGTCCCCCTGGCTGGGCTGAAAAGTGGGTATTGCTGACCACAGTGGTCGGGTTCAGACACCAAAAAGGGAATACAGAAAGCAAACCAGGTGTCAAAGTTCCAACTAATGGGACGCTTCAAAGAACCAATATTAGCAGTGTTGACACCAGGATTACAGTTAATAATGTATTAATAAACTCCCAAGATTGCAAGTTTGAAGATTTTGTTCCTTGAAACGTCTCCAGAAGCAGGAGTGATAAGGAACAATTGCCATGGCAACTGTTCAAACAAAGGTTATTGCCTTTATGGGGCTGATCTATCTATTCCCTCCCTCCTTCTCCCACCCCATGAGAAGGTAACAAAGGGAAATGACAAGCTTTTTTTTTAAACCTTGCTAAGCCCCTGGAGGACCAAAAGCAATCCTCAATTAACACCTTAAGGTCTGGCTGGGGTGCTTCTCAGATCATAACAATAGCTGCACTTGACAAGCAAAGGGTAGAGCTCTTTGTGTAACCAGTCCTGTTTCTGAGGTGTTAATTAAATTGTGGATCACTTTAAGGAGCCTATCCTTAAAACTAATAATAATAATAAAACATTTAATCAGTGGTGAACCTTCCAAGATGGAAAGTGGCAGCACTTGGTGGCTTCCTAGCTGAGAAGGTAAGTGTGAGGTGGGAGATAACATACTTTCTTGGCTATGAAAGCAATGCCAGTTCTTTATCACATCCTAATAAAAAGGTGGAATCCATGGGAGCAAATTCACTGGTGCCAAGGATGTCAGTGTTAGCTATTTCGTATTTTACAGAGTGCGCTTTTCTATGTTGACACTTCCTATGTTCCAGGTTCCCACTATAATTCTGCTTTGGGTTTTCTTTTCCTGCATGGGACCATCAGCAACAAGACTTCCTGAGGTTTTAATCTAGCAATTCTTGAAAAGAGAGCTCCGTCCATATTCTCTGTATATATAAGGTTTCTCCTGTGTGAATTTATAATTTATTTATTCCTCATATTTATAGGGCTCTCCAGCTCTCCAAAATCTCTAGACCAGGGGTCCCCAATGCCACGGAAATGGCTGGCCAGTGGGCGCGCGAGTGGGCGCGCATTCACCCTCCACTTGCACTAGAGCCCCTGGCCGCTTGCACGTGTGCGTGGATGCAAACAGAGACGCTAGCGCAGGGTGGGTGTCTGCGGCCCTTACATGCATATGTGAATGGGGCTGATAGCCGAGGTGAGTTGCACAGCCTGTTTGCACTTGTGTGAACCGGGTGCTAGCTGCCGTGAGCCTGGAAAGGTTGGAGACCTGCTTTAGACGGTGTATAATAAAAAAACAGAACAAATAATTAACAATATTAAAAACAGTATATGACAGTGGTTCTCAACCTGTGAGTCGGGACCCCATTTGGGGTCGAACGATCATTTCACGGGGGTCGCTAAACAATGCAGTCCGCCATTTTTTTCCCTTTTTCCTTAGCTGTGCTACTCCCTTTTATTCTATTGGCTTTTGAAAGCCAATAGAATAGACTCTCTTGAATAGAGTCTAATTCTATTGGCTTTCAAAAGCCAATAGGAATTATCCAGGCTGTCTCTGCTCTGCTGAGCCCACCAAAAGTCCCATTCTGCAAATGGTGCTGCACCAGTTGAGTAGTCCTTGACTTAACGACTAGTTGATTAGTCCTCGATTTACGACCGGTTGGGGGGTCACGGCATTAAAAAGGTTGAGAACCACTGGTCTATGATTTTAAAAAATTATTCACGTTAAGGAGAAAGGATTCAATATTGTAAACAGTTCAACTCCTCACTAGTTCACTATTTATTTATTTATTTATTTATGAGACTTATATACCGCTTTAAGTGCAAACACTCTCTAAGCAGTGTACACCAGTAAGCAATGTATATATATATATATATATATTTACATTGCCCCCAACAATCTGGGTCCTCATTTTACCTACCTCAGAAGGATGGAAGGCTGAGTCAACCCTGAGCCAGTGAGATTTGAACCGCTGACCTGCTGAACACAGTCAGCTAAAGTGGCCTGCAGTACTGCACTCTAACTGCTGCGCCACCTCGGCTCTACTTCCTTGAGCTTTCTTGAGCTCCAACACAGCCATGTTTTGAGTGATTTCCAGAAGGGTATCAAGAATGGGTGCCACAGCAAAAAAGGCCAGTCATGTACATCTCACCAAATACAACTCCTTAACAGACAACCTTTCCTGCCAGAACTGATGTGATGGACAGATGCAATTAGGAAGAGAGTCCCTCAAATTACTTAGCTCCATACCATTAAAAATGGAAAGCACTATCTTGAACTGGATCTGGGAGCAAACTGGCAATCAATGCAGCTTGCAGAGTAGAGGTGGGATAGATGCATCACCATCAGATGAATGGTGTAACTGGCTGACAAGCCATACACAACGAGTAATCCTTAATGGTATTAGGTCTACATCAGTGGCTCTCAACCTTTTTAATGCCGCGACCCCCCCCAACCGGTCGTAAGTCGAGGACTACTCAACTGGTGCAGCACCGTTTGCAGAATGGGACTTTTGGCGGGCTCAGCAGGGCAGAGACAGCCTGGACAATTCCTATTGGCTTTTGAAAGCCAATAGAATTAGACTCTATTCAAGAGAGTCTATTCCATTGGCTTTCAAAAGCCAATAGAATAAAAGGGAGTAGCACAGCTAAGGAAAAGGGAAAAAATGGTGGACTGCGTTGTTTGGCGACCCCCGTGAAATGGTTGTTCAACCCCAAATGGGGTCCCGACCCACAGGTTGAGAACCATGGTCTACATGGAGGGAAGTAAGCAGTAGGATACCACAAGGTTCTGTCTTAGGCCCAGTACTCTAACATCTTCATAAACAACTTAGATGAGGGAATAGAAGGGGAACTTGTCAAATTTGCAGATGATACTAAGCTGGCAGGAATAGCCAACACATAGGCTCAAGATCCAGATGGATCTTGACCGACTTGAATGCTGAGCCCTATCCAGCAAAGTGAAATTCAATGTAAAGAAAAACACTACACTTAGGCAAGAAAAACCAAAAGTACACATATAGATTGGGTGAAACCAGGCTTAATAGACCTGTGAGAGGGATTGTGGAATCTTAGTGGACAATCAATTAAATATGAGCAAAGTGTGTGGTGGCAGCTAAAAAAGCCAATGCAATCCTAAATTGCACCAACAGAGGGATTAAATCAAGGTGTAAAATATGCTGTTCTCCTGCCTTTTGTATCAGCTGAAGTTTTCATTTACTCAAGGGCAGACTCATATAGAGCACATTACAGTATTTCACCTGGGGGATGTCCAAGGCAGGAGACTGTAAGCAGAGGCTGCTGATCCAAGGATGGGCATAACTGATACACATGAAGCTGTGCAAAAACCCTCTTAGACACAGCTGCCATTTGAGCTTTGAGCAGGAGTTGGAATCTTTAAGAGTACCCCAGATCGCACAGAAAGTCTTTCAGCAGTAAGTTATTCTTGGAATGAAAGACTATTTGTATGGTTTCTCACCTGTGTGGATCCTTTGCTTGTGAGTAAACCAGGGGTTCCAGATGATATTCCAGGGGGTGTGAAAACTTGGGTTTTCAAAATTAGTGTATATGCATAATTTGTTGCCATTATTTCAAATGTTTGTAAGGGGTAGATGGATAATAAAAAATATTATTTAGCTTTTTAATAATTTATATTGAAAAGCCAATTTTCTTGAAAACCCAAACTTTTTTTCCCTTTTTTTATTATTATTTTCTTCTTTCTTCTTTTCTATTTCTCTTTTTTATATATATATTACCTTTAATTATTTTATAATTTGTTTAAGTAATGTATTTAGATTTGTTTATAGTTTTATAACTTATATTGAAAAGTTAATTTTCTTTTCATATTTTTTATGTATTTTTTTTCTTTTTTGGTATTTATGTTTTTCTTTTTATATATATATATATTGTTGTTAATTATTT